TCTTTTTACACACTTGCCACTCGTTCATTTTGACTCGCTATTGTCTGACGTTGCTGCTAATCAAGGCGCGCTTATCTAGCCAACTTGTTCAGTGTGCTAGTGTTGCTGTGTGTGTGTTCTCAAGTGCTTGGTGTTGTGTGCAAGGCTCTCTCTCGTTCTCTCCGCTTATCAGTGTTGATAGGTCAGTTGAAGTGATGCGAGGGGTGGTAGGTGCAGAGCAGAGGAGGAAAGCCTGAGTGTGTGCGTTCATTTATGTTATGCGAATCAAAGTGCTGCCATTGTAGTAGTTTTAGTTGTAGTTGGTTGTTGTACTTCACTGTACCGCTTTGCCGTTCAAAACGTCAAATGCCATTGAAAATGGATATTGACACGTTACGTTATGTCGTTATGCTGGACGTTATAGCAATTCGATTACGATTCAATTACCAACAACACCACATCAAAAGCAACAATCACATTAATAACAACAAGCAAAGCACATTTGTAGCGTATTGTCAATTGAGCTGTTTTATCTGCTTCGCTATTATATGTATACTCATTTATTTAAAAAATAATTTCATGAGGTATATAAATACATAAAGGAGTACATTTAGGTGTATTACAAAGATAAAGATCCTATGCGATAGCAAATACTTTTAATCAATTGTCGAATCCAAGCAAGGGAAAAGTCCAAAATTTATAGAAATCTTCATTATTGTGGTATGTACATATTAGAAAATGAATGATCGTTTGATACTAAAAAAATCTTGTTACAACATTTAAGAGTATACCCGCTTCGGATATTTATGTTAGCTGCACGCCTTTTCAATTGATTTGCATAATTGAAATTCAATTGCTTGTGCTGGCAATTATAATAAAATTGTTTGTTTGTATAAATAGAAATTACAGCAACAAATCAATTGTAAGCCTTTGGAAGAGAGCAAGAGAGAAAAAAAAAAAACAAGTACTGCATAACGTCACGACAAATCTCTAACTGATAAGGCCCCCCACAGCTATAGACATACGCACTTATCACTCAATTTTCTTTATCATTTGTTTATTTTTAAACGCCATTTGCTTTCTATGATTGCTTATGTAATTTCCCCAAATTTTTTGTGACTACCAAGTTAATTTTTGTGGCTTCTTTTATGAGTGGCCTTTTCAGTGCTTTAATTAAATTTACAATTACGCGTGTTAGTCACAGTTTGGAAACCACTGTGTCACCTTGATTTCAATCAATATTCCGTCAAATTAGGCAAAAATTCTTTTGCGGTTTTATACTGCTTATTGCTTCAGAGAAACACTGAAAAAACGAACTAACTAGGAATGAACTTAAAATAAAAAAAAGAAACTAATTAAAAACAAATTCAATATGTTATCTCTTACATTTTGGTAGAGATAAAAGTTCAACTTGTTTTAGTTACTCATTTTGTATAATATTTAATAAGACGTGTGTTATCAGATAATAGCTATTTTTCTTTCGGTGTCGTGACTGTTGTTGTCGCTAATGTTGTGGGATTCTAATTGGGATTTTCCGCTGTTTGCGGTTTCTGCTATTGCCGTCATCAGCGCAGGTTCTCTGTGTTCCCTGTTCTATTTCTCTCCTTTCCCCGCCCTTTATTCTTTGAGTCGGATTTGTGTTCAATTTACACTTGATTTATTTATGAGGCACACACTGATACAGATAAGAGTGTCCCACACACATACATGCATAGTCCTCCGTTTGGAGGTATGAGTGACTGAGTTTGGTCAACTCACCTTGTGCATAATTTTATTTTTAGCGCTTGGATTATTTTTAAGTATCGATTTTGTTCTCCACTGCGTTCAAACGCAGCAAACAAAACACAACATCCGAAATATTGTTTGTTATTTTGTTTTCATAATTCACTTTCTTTGAAACGGGTTTCTTAGCGTTGTATTGCTGTGAAAAAACGTTTGGTTTGGCAACAAGTGTTTATTTCTTTTGACGCTAAACTTATGTCATATCTCGAAAAAATGCGCAAAGTCAGTCTAATTATTTAAATCAATAAATCCAAATTAGCTAGTTTGTTGACTTTGTTTGTGGTTTTTAGGTTTTATGAACTTTTATTTGTTATCTTAAAGAAAAAACAGTGATTAAACTAAGCATTGCCAGTAGCGAAGTAAAAAATATTAGGACAAAAACTTGTTATTGGATTAAAACCAAACTTGTATACATACATTCGATAATCGAGTGCTTATTGAGCTGTGCTTATTATTAACCCCTTGCCGCCAAGGAAACCGCTTTGCGAATCCCCAGCTGCGATTTCCAGCCGAGAGCCTTTTTCTCACATTCTGATTCATGAAAAATAAGACAATCTTTAAGAACAACCGGCAGCGACAAAGTGAGAACCCGTTTCGAGACCAGGCCACAGGCCACAGGCAGTGGCAAGAAGCAGAACCAGAAGGCGTAGAAAGCCAAGAAACCGCCGACCCCAAAAAGTAATGAACACAAAAAAGAAAAACATTACGCGGAGACCAACCAAATAAAAATGGTTTTAAGTGGGGAGCAGCCAGATACACCGGAGAAGTAGCGACAGACGGCGATCGATCGATGGACATTCAGCCATTTATACGTTTATACGTTAATACCCGTCCATATGTACACAAAAAGACACAGTTGTTTGTGTGTGTATGTATGAACCAGTTTTACCCCCAGGATATTAAGCCATAAAACAGTCAAAGCAATAACAAGAAAAGCATGAAAAATGAGACTTGCCGAGGCGACCGATACCCTAGGAAAGCTAACCAACTAGAAATAGCCGACTAATTAGGAATTGATAGATGAAAGACATTTTGTTTTCATTAAATAGATAAAATGTAACAGGAAAGAGCACAGCATTCCCGTTTAGACTCCTTAATTGTTTGCTTATGAGGTGACACTATATTAAAGTCTTTGGTTTATACGTTCTTGTTGGCATAAATGAAATGCTTTTGGAATTAAAAAGAGTAAATTTGTTTTTCTTTTTCACTAATTACCATTAAACTGCTTTTAGTGGACCAATACTGCGGTGTTAGTTTGTAAATTTAAATGCAGTTTCCAGTGTTTTTTGTTAAGTGGCCAGGAGGTGATTGCTAGGGGCGAAGAAGGAACTTGTAATCGAACTCGAACTCGAACTTGTTTCTGATTCATTTCGTCGCCTGCTCGATCCCCTTGACTCTTGCCCACAGTAATTTACTCTTTAATTGTTATCGGCGGTTTTTAGTCTTTGTGATTTTTTTTTACAGTCCCGCTTAACGGTACAATTATCGGTTGTGTGTACGTTGTTATTGGCTCTCTTTGAGTTTGCAAAGAAACTCGTGGGCAGATAAGATTTTCCGACTCCCGTTCGCAGCTGGTAAAATAGTCGGCAACCAGCAGACTGATATTAGATGAAAGTAGAAATTATGGCAACGGTAAATGAGGGAGGGGGGTTGAAAATGTGGTCGTGGAACGAGTGGGAATACCTAATAATTTCCTGTTAATCGTCTTGGGTTGAGCGGTTGCCAATATCGAGATTCTCTTTTCATCAGATATTCAATTAAATGTTGCCATTCAAACTAGACAATGCTGAAGAGATTTCGTAATTTCAACTATTTGGTATTGATTGTTTTCAGCGGCAAAGTAAGATTTTTAAATATAAATCTAAAATCTAATAAACTAACTAATATAATTAAAATAGATGCAATTATCTAAATATTATGAATAAAGTATGCCATATAACTTCATTTGAAACGAAAGGGAATATCTGACCCACTCTTTAAGTAATCAGTTTTCTTTTATCTTCGATAGCATTTGTCAATTTTTAAAATTTAAAATCAAATTTGATTCGGATTTTGACCTAGTAATACACCAAGTTATCATGATAAAATATAACAGCTCGACCTAATTATTAAAAGATTATAGATTATAGTGTGCGAGAGCTGATAGGAATATCTTTATTATATGTATTTTCGTTTACATTGTGTCGCTTTTGTCACATTGGACTGAGTTTTTCCCCTTTCGTGGTGATTCATTAGCGTTACAATATCTCCCAAGAACGATGTCCTCGCCAAAGAATATATTTGCTGAAGGCAACGTAACCCTTAACCCAATTAAGCAACTCTTGGGGAGATGTAATACCGATTAACCCCGACGACATTGAACTAAATTTTGCAACAATGGAAAGCATGGGAAAATAAAAGATCTTTCAGTGGCCACACCCATCCCGAACTGCAACAAAGCAAAACCTTTTGTCTTAATCAAACATATTTCCCTTGTCTGACCATGAGTCACTCCACTACAATCCACTCGACTCGAATTCGCTCCCCCAACTCCACTTGAATGGTTACGGCTGAGCGGACTCTCTGGACATGTGGCCATAACCAGCAGCTAGTTCTCTATTCCCTTTTCCAAGAGCTTAGGTAAACAGAAACTCACCTGGCCTACACAACTCGATTCGAATCGATTTTTGTTGTCTGTGCTCTGTTGTGCTACTTCAAAATGCAAAAAGTTTCTGTGTCATTGTCCTGGGCCGTTTTTTTTTTAACGGGTACAAGAATAAAAACTTATTTATGAGTCGGTAGTAACGCCCACCTACAGAATGACAATTTTCGTTTTGTGGACGAACAGGTTTTTGAACTTTACTTCTTTGATTTCCGTTTGTGAATAGTTTCGATCCTGTATACCCGGGGCTTTTTGGTCTTTTAAATTAAATGTTCCGGAAATATCTATCCATACAAACAAATATTATCAATCAGAAAAAGTACGTATTGATACGTATTAAACTTCTAAACATTCTATAAGTGTCAATAGCTTACGAATTGGATTTTTTTTTTTTTTTTAGTAGCTTGACATTTAATGTTGGGCACACTGCAATTGAAGTTTTTCCAGAGTTTAGGGATCTACCTAATGGAATCCAAGTTCCTAAAGAAAATTAAAGCCTTTATCAGGTGGTTGTTGCTCTCCAATCTGGGACCCGTGAAATGTTTATTTTGTTGCAATCAACTTGTTACTAATCGATTTCCGTTCTCTTTCTTTGCAGTGGCGGTGGCCCACAAACGACAACTGCCGGTCCATCCGCTGGTAATGTGGCAAATGCCACCACAGCCCTAGCAGGTGGTAAAAGCTCAAGCAATAACATGTATTCCACCCGCCAATCTGTAAGCACCACTACCGGTGTACTTATGGTCGGACCAAATTTTCGTGTCGGTAAAAAAATTGGCTGTGGTAATTTTGGCGAATTGCGTTTAGGTAAGTACAAAATTATGATTAGAAGAAGTACACAATCAATCAAAAATGTTTTAAAATCATTTGTTTATAATGTTATACTCATTCGTGTAGAAATGTGTGCAGTGTTTATCGTGACTTTGCAGTTGTTAAATGTTTTCTATGCTGGATACTAAAGGAAATGTGTTTACGGATTAATAACAGTGCTAGCGGTTTTTAAAGAATCATTTCTTAACTTCTAGTTAACTTCTGAAATTCTAGTCTGCAATTAGAGGAACTCTAATTTCTTCCACCTTCATCGCGAAATGATTTCGCACTCAATAAATCAACTATTTTAATAATACGCCTTAAAATCATATTGAATATAAATGAGTTAACACTTTTTGATTTTTGAGTAAATATCTTCTTTCGAATCCCGAAAACGGTTTTTTTATTCAAAGCCAATCTCTTGCCCAATTTTTGCCTGTTGGCATGCAAATAATGTCGCGTTTGGGGCTTTTGGTGTACATTTTTTCATGTTTTTTTTTTGTTGGCCACTTCCTTTCGCCGGGCATTCCTTACCAGGTCTGTTAACCACAATGGGAACAGTTGCCCGCTCCTTTTCACTTGCGGCGAGAGTGCACAATACAGCAGAAGAAAAAACAAAATAATGCCATTCCATTCCGCCATCTGTTTTCTTGGCATCGTCGTCGTCGTCGTCATTTTGGCTTTGTTTGCTAAATGCGCTTTTATAAAGTTGTTTCATACAGTTCCCGCCCCTCTGGCCGTTGTTTATTTCATTTTTTTGGGGGCTGCCACTTCCTTTTGTGCATTTGTTGTCACATTGCCAACAGGTAGTACTATACGAGCACAGTCTAGCTAATTCCCAGCCGGCGGTTGTGCAGTGCCCACCAAACTGTAATTAACATGCGCTCTCTTTCACTCAACCCCCTCAGTCCTCAGTCTGTCTCTTTCAGCCGGTCTGAGCCGTGCTTTTTCTTTGTTCCACCTCAGCATCTCGAGACTTTTTGTTTTGTCGGGGTTTTTGCATGACTCATTAAACTATAGCGGCGGCAAAAAGCAAAAAATAATCATCTCTCGAAAGCTGTATTTAATTGGTCCATTTGTATGGATCTTTAAGATTATGATAACCGCAAAGTTTTAAAGCAATTGATAGGATCTCTTCTGTTACGTACAATAAAAATTAAATTTGCTTCTGTGACGTAGCATTTTGCCCAATTTCATTTTGCTTATGATATCATTTTTATTAATTGTGGTCTATAAATACGTTTCGCCAAGTGTGTGTTTGTTGGCTCTTTTCTTTTGTTATTGAATTAGATTAGTGCTGACGTTAAGATAAAAGCAAAATGTTTGGGCTTTTACTTTTTCGGCATTTTCTTGAATTGCAATCAAAATGACATAATTTCGTTTTTCATTTTGAGCAGGCTCGTTTCTTTTGTGTTTTTCCCCATTTCGAATAAGAATATATTAGAGAAACAGTTGGGAAACCAGACCGTTGACCAACCTAAATACTTTCCGCCTATTTTCTTGGCTCGTTTTTATGGGCGCCTTGCGTGGGCGTTTCTCGTTTAATTTGGGAACTTTCGTTTTATTTTCGTTTAGCGCAGCACGCCCTTTATAAAATTTCTTTTCGTTCTCGCTTTTTCAGTTTTTATAAACCACTTTATTGTTTCTAGCGCGCAACTTGTTTACAACGAATCTTTTGAGGTTTGTTTCCATTTGTTTGCGGTTTTTTACTATGATTAATATTGTATATTGTGTTAGGTCACGGTATTTGTTGATTTTTTGTAGGGAGGTTTTTTGTATTTATAGACAGGGGGTTTTATCAACCAGTTGCAATTAAAAACTTAAATCATTTGGGAAAGAGGTTTCTTTCAACTTCAAAGCTTTGTAATTTCTATTGGCTGAGCAGTACGAAAAAATAAATAAAATTGTTTTCAACTGACAAACCAGCAGGATCAACAAATAATTTTTCATTTGCAATTATGTTTCTAAGAAATCTTAAAAGAAATGCTTTTGAAGGGCGTGGTGGGCAAAGACAATTTCTGGCGCTATATTATTTCAGCATGTAATCAAAATCATGCGGATTTCTATCGTCGTGTTTATATCTATGTATTTATGTATTTGTGTGCGTCTGAGTCTATCAGCGTTCTAATGTTGTGTCTGTTGATAAGCAGCAACGGCTGTCTCATCCAACCACCCACCCAGACAACTCATGAACCGAACCCAAGCCACCCACACACTCTCAGTGGGTTCTCTCACCGCCTTTCTCATGACATAATTTCGCACATGAGCGCACTCTTTCGACGTTAACATCTTCTCTCAGCTTCTGTCTGCGTCTCCGTCATGTCGTCATATCTAAAATGCAATTCTCAAATTATATACGGCCTTGTTCTCAATTCCACTTCCGAAAGATTTTCTCAAATTCCATCCATAATACGGATTATGGAATGCAATAATAATTTTTAATAGTGTATATATTATGAATCCTATTACAAACACAAATTATAGTTTGTCTTAAAATATAAACTTTAAAGTTAAACAAGAAGTGGTTGAGAACCAGGCAATGAATGTGCCTCAGTTTTACTATTATTCTTTTCCCCACTTGGCTAGGTCGTCGTATGTGTTGCTTTGGTGGTGGTGGTGGTGTCGGAGGGCGTAATGGGCGTGGCACTGCTGACAGCAGTGGGGCAGGTAAAACCGTTGAGTGCATGCAAATCGCGATGGTCTTGAGCATGTAAAATCACCTTACGTACGTGGTCTCCTTCTCTGATTTGATTGCAGTTTGGGCTTTTTATTATTTGTTTTAGAACGATTTTACTTTCTTTAATGACCAAAGTTGTTAGATACACTAAACTAACCTATATTCTTCTTTTTTGCAGGCAAAAATCTTTACAACAATGAACATGTAGCAATAAAAATGGAGCCTATGAAGTCAAAGGCTCCGCAACTACACTTAGAGTATAGGTTTTATAAACTATTAGGATCACATGGTATGTAAACAATAAACAATTATAACTGTGCAGTCCGTCCAACGACCAAACCCTTAACTTTTCCCAAAGCTGTCGTCCCCTCTAACACAAACTAATAAACTAACAACCAATGCCCAAAGACCTCTGCAGGGAAACAAATTTCAAAATGCTCTGAAGAAGTACAGAACGTACTCGAAAATACAATGTAACCCAAGACGGTCAATATTTCCTTGTCACACTTTATCTTTATCCCCCACCTCTATCTTTTACTAACCAAAGACTACTGAAAGTAATAAAGTTTTGCACCGTTACCACCAATTGATTAGTTTCATACTTAAACGAATATATTTATTATTTTTGTATAACACTTCTGGTACCCCGAAAGAGTTGAACTCTTTGCGAGGAAAGAATACGACGAAAAGAAAAACATGAATAGATTTTCTCAAGCATATTTTCGGAGGTCGGTCGGTGCGTGAAGTGAAATTTGAAAAATATTAAGCAAATGAAAAACAATAAATAAACTGTACAAACACCACTTGTATATTGTAGTGGAGCAGCTCAGGCTGCAACTGCAACTACTGCTATACCCGCTAATGTATAACAGCTCGAAAATCACTTTACAGCTAACTCAAAAATCTCTATATATATTCCCATCTATATATATATATATATATCGATTTCCGAACTATTACCAAACTTTTGATTAATTCCTGTTTTTTTTTTTTTGTTTTGTTTAAAACTTCTTTGTTTCTATTGCCCATTCTTATTTGTTGTTTATATAAATATATTGCTCTCTGCTCCTCCATTATTCATTCAACTACTACAACAATAACTACAACACCAAATTCCCAAAAACAAAAAAAATTTTTGCTATGAATTATTGAACAAAAACACCGCTAAACTGAAACTTAAACCCGAATCCGATCATCATGCGCTACTCTTTATTTATCTATATATTTCTACCTGTGTCTGCTGCAATCTGCCACAACATTACAACCAACTCGAAACTGAACTGAATTGAACCAACCTACAAACAACCTTCTACAATCAACTGTTGCATAACACATTGTGATGCCATGTTGCCAAAATAATGAACCAACCAACCCCCACTCATCATCCCCACCACCAAAATCGAACCCGAATCGGAATTGGAATTGTGGATTCTGTCTGTATATGACCGAAATGCAAACGAAATGCGACATTGGAATCGATAACGAAATACAGCCGATAACGCCCCAGATGGCATACCACGCATTTATCATTTGGGCACTTGCGGTGGCCGTTACAATGCCATGGTTTTAGAGTTATTGGGATTATCATTAGAAGATCTCTTCAATATTTGCGCCCGTAAATTTTCACTTAAGACTGTATTGATGATAGCGAAACAACTTGTAAGTGTGGCATCCACCAAGAATGAAAAACCATCACCAAAATGTGTTTTTGGCGAAAGTAAAGCGGGTTTCACTTGATTAAAAAAATAACATTTTCACTTTATGGGAGCAAACCAGATGCTAAGACAGTAAATAAAAAGATTATGCTAAGTGCAATTGTTTTTACTGCATTACAAATTTCTGCTTCCCTCATTTCACATTTTTTGTCCAACTATTTTTTTTAATAGGTGCATCAAAATGCATCATGCATAAAAAATATGTCTTGTGAAATCCGCCAGCATCTCGTCCATAAACTGATATTTTAAACTTTAATTTATTTTTTGATTAAAAAGTGTCTCAACGGCTAAAATATAGGTTTTTTTGTTTTCTTAATTTAGTTTGTTTTAATAGAATTCACGCAATGAACGTTAGTAAAGTTTTTTAGTTTACTGTAGATGTGTTGAAAAAGTAGTAAAAGTAATGATACTTTTGGTTGCAACTTCCAATATCGTTTAACGGATCTGCAAAAAACTTTTCTAACCGCAAGAAGCAATCCCCCAAAAGCATGTAAACGAAATGTCGTAATTAGAATTTAACGAAAGACACAAACACTTTCTTGTATATAAAATCAGGAAAACCTTACTTCTGTTGTATTTCCAAGTAAAAAACAAGCGAAATAAAGCCATTTGTATAACAGTTTCGTTGTTGAACTTGCTAATACTTTACTTCACTTTTAATTTTTATCAAACTGACCTTTGTATACGCTCTTTTCTCTTTGATACAATAAAAGTGCAATGTATATAATTTAACCAAAACTACTAACACAGTTGCAAAAAATCTATTAAACTCGTTATCGGAATTCAGAGAATCTCAAAACCTGTTATACACACCACACACACACACAACTACCAAAGAAAACTACTTTAATGTTAAGATTAGCTGTAAGTACACAGAGAACTGTTATACCCAAGTATGACACCTGTTAAAGATTCTACTGATTAGGTCAATTGAGGTTCGGAGGAGAAAGGATGAGTTGGTAGGTGAGTTTCCATCTTCAGGTTGGTCGTCCAGCAGGCTTTTCCTTGTGTATATGCTTCGAGAATCTCTATTTTTGTTGTTCTTGTTGTGTTTAGCACAGTTGCCCGATTATGTATTTATATTCTCGCTCGAACTCTGTCAAATGAAAGGTGGTAATATCGTAAGACGCGCTACACTAACCTCCAAAACATGAGCCGTAACTCCATTGCTCTCTACACATCACTTTCCCACTTTGTCTCTCTCCTTTTTGTTGTTCCCGACCCGCCCGATAAATAAAAAAAAATACAGCTTAAAAACAAAAGATGTTATATAGAAAAACAAAAAAGAATTACTATTCTATTTGTATCTCTCATCTTTCTTTCTTCTCTCTCCCATCTCTTTCTTTTTATCTCTTGCTCACGAATTTTTGCATAAATACAACAAAAACAACAACAAACAACAAATTGAACAACCAAAACCTATTGTGCGCTGTCCAACACTCGAATAAATAATAATAAACACTCGGTCGCTTCCTCCAAACAAAATTCCATATCAACCCAACCAACCAACCGACAAAAAATAAATCGACCAATCAAAAAATCGATCGATCAATCGATAGCAGAGGGTGTACCAGAAGTATATTACTTCGGCCCTTGCGGCAAATACAATGCTCTTGTTATGGAGTTGCTTGGTCCATCACTCGAAGATTTATTCGATATTTGCGGCAGACGTTTCACTTTGAAGAGCGTACTTCTGATAGCTATACAATTAGTAAGTACTACCACAAAAAAATCCACCAAAAACAAAGTTAAACAACGCAGCAAAAACAACAGAAATTTTCAATCAACAAAGTTTTTCTTAAGCACGCGCATAACTCTGCACATAATCACATTCACAACACTGGTAGCCGAGACCAACAAATTAACCAACACTAGAACTAAGCTCAGATCGAAACACTTTTTGTTTGTTTTGCGTGTGTGGGTTGGGGTGTGTATATGTGTTTTTACTAGGGTTGCTTGGTTCAAAATTAGTTTATACTTTTAACTCCTTTATTTACTTTTTATTTGATTTTCATTACTAACAAGAACAAAATAGGTCGCTGCCTCTCTATCTCGACTCTCTCCGACTCACTCTTTTTGTCATTATCGTAGCCGCCTGGTAAAGGTTTATTTTATACCTAAGTTTTAAGCTTTTTTTTGCATCCATATGGAGGCATCACTCACTTTAAATGCTTCTTTACAAAAATAGTTTAAAAATATCAGAAACATAATTCCGACAAACGACAAACAAACGTTCATTGTAATTTTATAAAATTTGCATGTCCACATCAAATTGTAGTTTACTTGGATATTCTTGAGTTTTTATAATTATGATTTATCAGCGAAAACAACCGATGAATAAACAAATCCGTTGCCATCAAAGAACAATAAATTCACAGTGAAAACCCAAAAACAGCTAGTTGAGACACTACAGTAAAAATGATGTATTTTTAACCAAAAAAAAGAGCATTCTATATGTTAACCAGAACTATATAATGCTCAGTTTTTTAATTTGATTATGATTTCACAAGCTAATGTTTTTAATTTTCTCCCAAAAATTGCTGAAAAATACAAATTTAGCTCCACCGGATCGAATATGTTCATAGTCGGCACTTAATATATAGGGATGTGAAACCAGAGAACTTTCTCATCGGCAGAACGTCAACAAAACGTGAAAAAATTATACATATAATTGGTAAGTCATTCGCTTTTTTTTTTAAATCTTTAATCAAGACTTATCCTTTACCTTTAAATATTTGAACAGATTTCGGTTTGGCCAAAGAATACATTGATTTAGATACAAATAGGCATATACCATATCGGGAGCATAAGTCCCTAACTGGAACGGCACGTTATATGTCAATCAACACGCATATGGGGCGTGAGCAATCGCGACGCGACGATCTGGAGGCATTGGGTCATATGTTTATGTATTTCTTAAGAGGTTCACTGCCGTGGCAAGGCCTGAAGGCTGATACACTCAAGGAGAGATATCAAAAAATCGGTGATACGAAACGAGCAACGCCCATCGAGGTGAACTATGCCCCAAAATATTCCCACAAATGTTTTTCTCCCCTCAATCAAAGTAAACCTTAATTAATCTCTTGTTATTTCTGCGCAGGTGCTTTGCGATGGACATCCGGAAGAGTTTGCGACATATTTGCGTTACGTACGGCGGTTAGATTTTTTCGAAACTCCCGACTATGATTTTCTGCGAAGACTGTTTCAAGACTTATTCGATCGTAAGGGATATACCGACGAGGGCGAGTTCGACTGGACAGGGAAGACAATGGTGAGTTACTTGTTCTAAAATACCATTAACACTACACTATTTAAGACACGCAATGAAAACCTAACCCCAAGAAAACTCCGCCGAATTTGTTAACTTAACCCTAATCTAATTTATAGGAGACATAGAGAAATGCAAGCATTTAGATATAAAGAAACATATCCCGAAAGCACTTTTAAGTTAACCATCATGTAACTCTAAAATCATTTCTAATGATGGGATGCATCGAGCATGAAAAATGGAACTCGATTGACAGAGCCAATTAACTAATACCACCACCGCAATAACCTTAAAATCAACTTTGAATGATTCGTATTAACCAAAATGTATGCAAGCCTAAATGGGATCCTCGTTGTAGCGCCACCATTTGCCCGCCACTCGCCGCTGCTGCAAAAAAGATGGGGCTTAGTTTGTTCTAAAGTTTTATTCATGTTGCCGACGGCGTATATTATATTTTCCTGCTTTCAATGACTTGAATGAAATATATATTTTTATAAAGTGCCCCCAAACAACATTCAAGCTAGGATCTGAAATTAAAAAGCAATAGTTTAAACCCAAACACAAATCCGAAAAAAAATGATATGTGTTTTAATCTTTTAATTTTCCTCCTGTAATCTTTTTGGTGTTGTTATTCTTGAATTTAAGACCAAGGAACAGCTGGACCAAATGAAGGTCATAAAGCAAGCGCCGCCATCGCATTTGGCCAAAAATAAGTCTGACAAGGTATAGAAATGAAACAGAACTGCGGAAATATGTTTCGATTCAAAAAGTTTAATCAGTGTTGCATAGCTATGTATGACGCTCGCTCGATCGCTCTCTCAGTGTTGGTAAATGCTTGTTCTGAGTGTATAAGCTCGTTGCTTTAGGTGGTTAAGCTAGCGTATAATAAGTACAAAATAATGAGACTAACTTAAGCAACCAATTGATGCCATTTATAACAGCACTTTTCTTCTCTCCTTGATCTCTTTTCTCTTTTTTCGGTTGTCAACACCGTTTCATGTGCGTGTAACTCTCTGTGTTTTAAAAACAAACTACTGCATCATCTATATATAAACATATTTATCAAATTAAAAAAAAATGCATTCAAATCACTGACATAAAACAGTCAACGCCCGTCGGATCTCTGCAAACTGGCCATGAAGTCATCATTTCACCAAATAAAGATCGTCATAATGTTACGACTAAGGTAAAGTATAAACTATGTTCATTTTTATTATCGCAGTCTAAAAGGGAAACAAATTTGTACTCTCTATCACTGACAAAATTGAACTCTTACGTTTTAACTATATTTATAAGAAAAACAAACCGATATCCTTGTTTCAACTTAGCTTTAGCAAACTTTCTCTTTTTGGTTACTCAGTTCTTTACTTCTAACATTCGTTCTTAACTGCTCTTCTTTCTCTACTTATGCTCAACGCTTTTGTTTTGATCCTACTCTTCTCCCCTCCGCAAACATTTGATATGTTCAAAACTATAGGATGTTTCTTATTTTGATTTTGACGACGAAGTTGATAATGAGAATGAAGAATATATAATACTTCAGGTTAGACGTTGTAGACTTGAAAAGTATCTCTGTACTGGTTAGTGTGAACTAAAGTGCTCTACTACTCTCTATAAACACACTCTTCAGTCTGGTTGTAGGCTACATCGCTAGGTTAATATTTGGCTTTTAGACTTGGTTTTTTCAGTTGGCCTTTTCTTTTCGAATTTCTGCTAGGATATGGCTAAGATAACTTCAAGTAGATTTCAAATGACTGCTTTAAATGAGACTGTTACTTGTAGGAGCTCGACTAACCTAGTATAAAATTGCAAAAACATGCTTGGATCGATCGGTTACGGGACGTGTAGAGTAACTAATTTTTTACTTGGTATAGACTGTGCTCTTAATTCTGCTCTTGATTTTATTAATTTCCTTTCGGCTTCAATTATCTACCGTTTTTAATTTTACTGTAGCACACTCTTGACATGTCTTAGTTTTATTTAGACTCACACACACACCCTTCCTAAATTAAACACACTTGCACATAATATTAGAGCTGTCTGTCTCTATGTTGTACAGAAATTAAAGAAATAAAAAACATTTTTTAAAATTGAAATTAATTATTGATAAATTTGCATAAATCCGTTTCCAACAATTGCTCGCTCGCTCGCAAACCGAACTGAACTGTACCCAATTAAAAACCAAAAAAAAAAAACCAAAAAAAAATTAATCAAACCAACTGTCCAAATCCTTCACCACCACTTCAACCACCACCACCATAACCCGCCCAACCACAGACAAATGCCAAAGGAGGTGTTGCTGCGTGGCCTGATGTGCCAAAGCCGGGGGCAACACTGGGCAATCTAACGCCGGCCGATCGGCATGGTTCAGTGCAGGTAAGTTCGCTGCGACAACCGGCCAGTGTTGTACAACCGTTTTTTTTTCTTTCCTTCCGTTTCCGTTCCGTTTTATTTCTGTTTTTTCGCTCGCTCGCTCGCTCAGTCTTCAGTCTGTAACTGTACATACATAAACAAAAACGAATCTTAGCATTCAGTCGAGACATAGCATAAATATAAATAAAACACATTTGTATTCGCCTCATTATGTTATTGAACTCTTGTTCGATTGTGATTTTGTACATACTTGCCTAAATATATTTCCTATAATTATTACAACGAACCATTATCTATCGCAGACTGTTATATTTTTGGCCTTTTCAATTCTAATGTTTTCACTTGATTTACTCTACATTAGCTCAACAAGGTACTGAACAATAATCTTTTCTCCCAACGTGTGTTATTCCTACTCCTCTCCACTATAGTTTACTCCACTTCCGTTCGGTTTGATTTTGATTCTTCAACACGTTTTGTTCGTTTTCTTCTTGGGTATTTTTTCGTGGATCTTCCTATTTTATTTTTGAACCTAGAATATTTCGTCGAGAAAGTCGAACTAATTGATGCTTGAGGATCCTTATAAAAGAGAGCATGAGTGACGAAGAAGAAACGTAGCCTTCCTCTTTTTGTGCACTTTACTAAATGCATGATTCAGCTGTGCATTAATCAACACTGATCTTGCCGTAACTGTACATGACTGCATGCCACACTAGACATACACTACTCTAGATAAGCATGGATCACATACTACACACCCACAGTCGTAGACTAAGTAGAACAATACTAAATTCGGCTGGAGGAACTTCATTTCTCATAAAGCGACAACATTGGCATGCCAATTACGAGTTGAAGAACCCACTTTTTATGTATCGAATCAAATTCGAAACCCAAACACAACTTATTACAGAGATTGCCTGAAGATTCGAGCTCGGATGATGATAGCCCCTTTGATGCTTATTATGAGAAAAGCGATCCCGATGACGACCCTAAGAAATAAGACACCAAACCAACGACCTACCAACACTACTACTCCACTTCCTTATAAATCTAAAAGACATTCTCCTTCGACATAAGCTAAAACGGGTTTCCCTTCCTTTATTTGTGTTTTACAACACTACCGCGAGGTATTTGCTATATTTTGTCATCTGATCCGTACATTTGTGAGTCGTGTCTTGTACCCATTCAACATTTATATGTGTGTGTGTGTGTGTGTGTGATCTGCAAACGATTCCTGACGTTCCAGGCAATCTCTGTACTAAATTCTGTAAGGGATCTAAAAATTTATTTAAATTAATATAGACCCAGCTCGATTTGCAATGGCAACAAAAAACCAAGAATATTTATATAAATAAAACATTTGTAGTCTACTTGGTTTTGTAGTGCCGCCGAAATAGTCCCTGTTGTGTAAAACAGTTTCGTTCTGTGTGATGTCTACACCGTCATTCCAATCGATAGTTTTTGTGTCGAGTGTATTTTATCTGGTTCATTTTTGATTAGTGAAATAAATGAAGCGGTATAAATCGTTCAATTATGTTTAATCACTACTTACTGTATATACTCGTACTATATGTTTAGTACAAAAGTTGATGGAAAGTGGAGACTAATACTTTAATTTTATCCATTCTTTTTTCTGTTCTGTGTCATTTACTTTACAGGTTGTGAGTTCGACGAATGGCGAACTAAATCCGGACGACCCCACGGCCGGACACTCAAACACGCCCATCACACAGCAGCCGGAAGTCGAAGTGGTCGATGAAACAAAGTATGTGTTAAACAGGCGATCAATTAATCGGTTTATCGATATGTAGCTAAACTGAATATAGAGAAAATACCTTGTACAAAATAAATTTGTTGGGAAAACTTAAAATATTAAAATTACATGGCAGCTGTGCAGAAATTAATATAGATTAGGAAATCTTGAAGTTTTGCTATAATTGTTATTCTGCTTATTAAGTTGGCTAAAAAATTTATTGATTCTAGTCATGATTTTTAAGATGAATACAATTAAATTTTTTTAAATAAATATTCGAACCTAATCCAAAAACTTAATGGTTTGATCGATTTTCGGCTTAACGACCCAGAAAAGTAGGCAATTAACACGAAAGATATATCGATACATTGATTAACAGATCCACTAGATATTTAGTGAATTTTTTTGCTTTGTCGTTTTTAATGCGCAACTTCCGTTTTCCGTTCTCTCTTTCTCTCTCTCCCCCGACCACTCCACTGCCTCTGCCTCTCTGCCTACGTCTCCCCCTCTGAATCCGTATCCGTATCCGAATCCGTATCCGTCTCGTTTCTGTCCCTTGGTTAACTGTCTCCAGTGGTTCCTTATATTCCAGATGTTGTTGTTTCTTTAAACGAAAGAAGAAGAAATCGACGCGCCAAAAATGACTAGACGGTGTACAATGTAGTCCAGAACGCGAGGCAGTCACCCTGCTGCGCGCCACTTCACATTCAAACTCACGGGATAGCGTATTGAATAATCCGAGTCAGGATTATATCCAGCAGGCAACGTCGCAGCACACGTTGCGTTATCCTCCATCCGCGTCGATGTTGACGCCAACACCAACTACAAACACACCGACACTTCCGTTGTAATTTATATAAATATAAAGCCAGATGCAAAATGCAAAAAGCAACAAAAAAATATATATATTAAATCAAACAAACAAAACGAAACCCAACAACAAAACAAAAAACAAAAGAACCCGTACACATTAAATACACACTAAAAAAACAAACAGTAAAAAACAAACAATTTTGATTAATTATTGTAATGATTGTATTTTATTATTATTTTTATTATTTACCAATTTTGCGTTTATTATATAAATTATTATAATTATTAATTATATTATTAATTAATGCTATTATAAATAAAATGAAAACAAAATTCAAACGTAATTCAAACCGACTAGAAGCAAAGTATCACTCACATCCTAGGCAGCTCCTCCCAAAATCCCGTCGGTGTCTTGTGGAGGGATTCGGAAAGAAAGCTCTTCAATACCACAACCACTACAACTCCACTACCAATGCCCCTCAGAAAACCCAATTGCTCTTAACTGAAGGAAACTTAAACACACACAAAAACCACTTAAAGCATATTTATATATATTATATACATATATTAAAGAGACGAAAACAAAACTAGTGCAGCATCATTTAATGAGAGAAAGAAGAAAAAAACATATTTATACGCAACCAACAAACTTGTAAATTATAATGAATGAAAAGAAAGCGAAAATAAACATCATTTTTTAAAACTATTCAAATTAAATATATGTATGTATGCAGCTATATAAAACCAACTTTTAAAAGTGACGTCTACCGTTATCAGACAAAAAGCAAACCATTTTCAATGTTTTATAGACGCATTCTGAAGTCCTTGCATTTTAAAGTTTCTGAATGGACTGGGTTTTATGATGGTGCATCTATCGGATGAGGAAAAAGTAAGAAAAGAAATTCAAAGTACTGTTTTAACTTTATAATGGCACAATAAGGAATGGCTTTAAATTGTATATATTTTTTAAAATTTGATTTGATTAAAAATTGCGGTTAAGTACAGTGTGTTGGATTTTCCTGTATTTGCATAGCTTAGCTCTAAAATGTGTTTATGACCGCAGGGACTAGAAAGAGTTCTAATTACTAGTGTACATTTATTGTTGTTTAAAGTCCCCTTCGCAAAACAAAATTTGTTGAATTTCTTGGTGAAAACTTTTGCTATTTGTCTGATAATGGCTGTATGTGCGCAGCTATATGGAGTATCAGATATACAGTATACTTGTATGAATCGGCACTCAGCGTAGGCAGCTTGGTTTAGATCTGTTTTGAATGCACTTTTCTAATGCTAATATGTACATATATACACACTCAAGTATTTTGATATATATACACGTCTATGTATCGGATAAATCAAAATGTAGAAGTCCCTTTTGGTAGTCGAATTAATTTGGAGCATTTATTTTTCGGATCGTTTCCTAGGTAATTTTTGGTTTATGATGTGCGAGGTTAGCGGAATAAATTTGTAAGGGAACTCCTTAAGTTTCCATACAGATCAATCACTTGATAGGTAAATACTAATGTACTGAGCCATTTCTTTGATATTACGTGATATGAGTATGAGTACTAAACTACTAAGAAGTTGCCTGCAGCTATTCCCCACTTCCCCCAACCCAAAAACACACACATCTCCGACTCTGAACGAATTTGTTTTTCCTCTACTCTACACTCCTCCATGAAACGTGAAAAGTAATGCTAAAATCAATAAATCGTATGTGGAATATATATTTTAAACAAATTTTTTATACTTATTACAAATATACATATAACAAGAAAAACAAAAATAGCATTAACTATACAAGAACAAGGCAAATTAAATGTGTTTTTTTGCAATCTTTCTAGCATAAAAACCAAGTAAAACCTTAAAAAAAAACAGCAAATCAAATTTCAAATTTTACATGAATAACATTGCATATACAATTAACCGAAATTTCCTGTATAGTTAAAAACTCATTTGTATTATATATAAAATATTAAAGATACACAAACAAATTACGATAAAATTGATATTTATATGACGAAAAGGAATCCGAAAACCAACAAAACCGCACTAGTTTATAAAAAGTAAAATATAAACAAAATATACATACATTATGTACTTTAAATGTTGATAAGCAAAAACAGAAAAAAATAACCCATGCATTGATTTATATATTCAAGAAATGAAATTTACATATTTGCGACACACAAATAGAGCGGAGCGGAGCAGATCGAAGATAACAAAATAAAGCGTTTAATGGTTGGCAAGCAAGCAGTGCACGCAGGCCTTTTGCTATTTGCAGGTATAGCAGTTAACATTGTTAACTGCGGCAAAGCAGTTTTAAAACAAAAGTAAATCGAAACAATTTAATTCTAATAGAGCGAACAAATAACGCGACCGGAGGGAAGAGCCCAAAAATATTTTCCAACTGGAGTGTTGTAGGCATTATATCGGTTGCAAACGCGAAACAAGTAAAATAACAACAGAAATATTGTGTAAAAAATGATTTATTATTAATGTATAAGTATAACGGCAACAACAAATGATAACATTAAACGATGTAAGCAAACCAAGGAGAAAAACAACCAACAAAAGAACGAACAAAAAATAAGAAAATAAACAAAAAAAAAACATGAAAAAATTGAAACCAAAATAAATGAAATTATTGAAAAAAAGTTCCGTGTTTTTATTACATGTCGAAAGCTACTTATGCTAACTAATGGAAATGTTTATTCCAAGAAGTTAAGACTTATTATGGGCTTTGCAGTAAAAACAAAAGAATTAGACCAATTACGACGTGGTTGATTAAACTAATTGATAGATCATGTGGCTCTAACATTCACCTCACGATTCGTCCACGCTCCCATCTGGTTTTACTTACTCATTTCACAGGCTCGAGTTAATGGCTAACACCTTGTTTTACGTCAACAGATTTGTTCACTTTTTTTATGGCAACAATACCGTTAATATACTAAGACCGTTATGTGAATAAAACGGTTAAAGTCGTGAACACTTTCTTAAAGATATGTAAACGATGATGGCAATTTACAAATTGATATTGTTGCACAGAGAATTATAATCTGAAGCACTTTTCCACTTTAAGCCAAATACTCATATGTACTTGCTTTGGTTTGGTTAAAACATATCTTTTTACTCAAATTATAGACAATACACATATTTTATGAAACAACATTTAATATAATTGGTAATGTTTTCCGTTTTTCTTTTATGACTTTAATTTCAATCTGCAAAGTATTTCATCCCGTTAGGTTGTGGCAACCCTGAAAGCGGCTAATATTAAAAACCGTTAGTTAAACATATGTGTTACCACTTATTCAAGACACAAACCACTAAGCAGTGAGCTTTTGCTTCCGGCCACAAATTGGCGGCAAAGTAAAAGTCGCGATCCTACATACATCTTGGCTAAGGTCAGGCGCCATTTAATGCTAGCCAAAGTGAACGGATGCAGTCACTCAATTGCTTCGGCCTTTGTGCACTGCATGTGTAGATAAATGTCGGTATACGTACATATGTATGTATCTGTGTGAGTGCTTTATGCTGGGCCCAAGACAATTAGCGCTATTGCCAAACGAACAAGCGGAATACAGCGGCGGTACAGGTGAACGCTCGCGAGTGGGAGAGCGAGAGCTTTAAGAGCAGTTTCTTACCTGCTTAACCTGCTGCTCACGTCGGTCTTCGCTAGTGGGAGCAGCGGCGAAAAAAGAGATATTCAAGCGAACTACCAAATCTCGACTCCGTCAGTCAGCGAGGCCGCCTCAAGCGATCAACACCTGTGCGCAGCCAATAAGCCAGCGAATAAACCACCCGAATCGAAAATTCAAATTGAAACCCAGCCCAACCAGTACTACCAATTAGCGGGCTCTTAACTCAAGCGAACTGAAAGAAAACTGGCTGAAATACAAAAGGGAAACTCAGCGGCATGCAAGTGCAGAACGCAGCCCGACCAGATGAGCCCAACCCACAAGCACAATCCATTCGACGATTGAGATTCCAGGCGCAACACCACATGCTGCTGGAACAGTTTTAGCCAAGAGAGCTGTTGCTGTGTTTTTGGCCACAAAAGTGGGCAGAGAGTGTGGAGTGAGTGTTGTAGCTGCTTCGAGAGATCTGTGGAAAACCAAACAAACCGAAGTTAAATCACACAAAAAAAACGAACCAAAACAAAAGGCGGCCAGCGAACAAAATGAATCAAACGCAAGTGAATAATTTCCTCAAGTGCTTCCTGCAAATCGATGAGCCCGCTGCCATTCGCTGGGCATCGCGTCACGAGGGGGAGGATCACGACGATCACGACGACCACGATCACGACCACGAGGAGGATGAGGATGTGGGCGGTGTGCTGGTGGCCAAGGTCACCGCCATGGTAGTTCTATTCTGCGCCAGCGCCATTTGCGGCTCCATTCCCTTCCTGCTGAACCGCTGCTACCGCTGGACGGAGAGCCAAACGAATGCCCGATCTGCGATAGTGGTGAAGTGTTTACTCTACTTCGGAGGCGGGGTCCTGCTGGCCACCACCTTCCTCCACCTGCTGCCCGAAGTTCAGGAGGTCGTCGAGGAGCTGCAGGAGTGCGAGGTCATTGGGGAGCTCACGTTCCCGCTGGCGGAACTGCTCATGTGCTGCGGCTTCTTCCTCATGTACTTCATCGAGGAGGCCATGCACACGTATGTCCACTACCACCAGAAGGACGAGGCAGGAGCCGCCTTCGAGCGGGGACACAGTATCCGGAACAGTCACCTGCTGAAACCCAACGAAAACACCACTCCATCGGCACCACCACCGCCCTCGAATGGAACCGCCGAACTGGGAACTCTCTCCGTGCAGAATCTCCTGCAGAGCGATCTGGAGCAGCAGAAGAAGAGCCAGGCCAAGGGACATGGCCACAGTCATGGACATGGTCACGGTCACGGCCATAGCCATCTGCCTGTGATCCCGGAGGACGCCTCCGCCGGAGATATGTTGGCTTCCTCGCTGCGAGGCCTCTTCATTGTGTCCGCCCTGTCGCTCCACGAACTCTTTGAGGGAATGGCCATTGGCCTGGAGAGCTCCGCCAGTTCCGTGTGGTTCATGTTCGGTGCCGTGTCCGCCCACAAGTTGGTCTTGGCCTTCTGTGTGGGCGTGGAGTTGATTGTGGCCCGCACCAGGATGACACTGGCCGTCCTTTATGTGCTGACCTTCGCCGTGGTCAGTCCACTGGGCATTGGCATTGGTATTCTGATTAATCACGGCCAGGAGACGACCGGACCCAGTCTGGTGTCGGCCATCCTGCAGGGATTCGCCTGCGGCACGCTCATCTATGTGGTGTTCTTCGAGATCCTGTCGAAGAATCGATCCGGGTTGCGCGCCTACTTGGCTCTCTTCGTTGGATTCCTGGTCATGTTTGGCCTCCAGCAGTTGAGTGAGTATTCATTATTGGATTTGCCATTTGTTATTCACAATTCAAAATATTCTCAGAGAAAACTTGGTAAAAAAGTAAAGTATTTTTAAATAGAAAATTCTTAGTGAAAAACAATTTATATCCCACGCGTCAAGGAATAATGGGAATATTACCTTTTTCATATGCAGAAACACTCAGTTGTCACTAAAATTATTTCTAATTACCTTAATTTACATCCGAGGATGATTAGTGTCAGCTCAGACTTATGGTAAAGGGCAGGTTTTATATAGGTACTTTATTCTGTTTACTTAGCATCCTCAGAGAAAATTCAGTAAACAAGTTAAGTATTTTTAAATAAGCAATTCTAAATGCAGAACTATTTATTTCCTACGCGATCAGCAATAATGGGAACGTTAATGGAAAATTACTTTTTTCATATGCAGAAACAGTCAGTTTTCACTTAAAATTATTTTTCATTACCTTAATTTACATCTGAGGAAGATTAGTGTCAGCTTAGAGTTATAGTAAAGGGCAGGTTTTATATACATTATTCTGTTTACTCAGTAAACTCAGTAAACAAGTAAAATATTTTAAGATGAGGAATTCTAAATGAAAAACCATTTATTTTCTACGCGTTCAGCCATAATGAGAACGGTAATGGAAAATTACTTTTTCACATGCAGAAACAGTCAGTTGTCACTTGAAATTATTTCTCATCCTCTTAATTTACATGTGGGAAAGATAAGTGTCAATTCAGAAATATGGTAAAGAGTAGGTCTTATATACCTTATTCAGTTTAACATCTTGACATTTATGATTGATCATCGGCTTAATCCTTCAATGCAATTGCAATAACTTAGTTACCAAGCTTAAGGGGCAATTAGTGAGGCCGTCATCTGGCAGTCGGATGAGATGATTCTTCAACCGGAATCGATTCGGGCGAATTGGGAACAGGTTCTATATAGCCGATTCGCTGGAAGCTGCGTGGTTGGCCTTGTAACAGACCTTGCTGCGATTTATTTTGCATACCAACATTTGAGTCTGCTTGTCTGCTGTCTGTGTACCTAGCAAACAGGTGAAGCAAAAATCCCGTCCCTGCCATGAAATCATCTCGCAAAAATCCGGGGGTTGCCCGTCCGAAAAAGCACCGCGAAACTTCACTTCTGAATTTCGACGGATGAGCACGGATGAACAATCCGAAAAACACTTTGCGCCATCCATGTGTGATTAACCGAAAGTCGGATAAGTTGATATATGGACGAGATAAGGGCTGGCCAAAACGCTCATAAATCATGGCTTAGATCGGGGTGATTGAAGTGCGTTCCAGTGGTAACAATATCCCCAGCTACCATCAACGAAATAGTTTAGCAATCAAAGGGAGAGCGTTGTGTAAATCACCGTGAGGAAATACTGTGGAGTAGATAACGATTGGCATACTTTACACTTTAGATTGTTCTGCCCCCCCAGATATTCGTTATTTCGAATGTGTTACTAACTGTTTAATTATCCCTTTTACCAAACAGCTTCCAGCGGAGGTCATGGCCACAGCCATAGCCACAGCAGCTGCTCGACTTCTGAGCACTCACATGAGACTGAAACCAGGTCGAGTTCGGCCCGCGTCCACGACCATGAGCACGACCACGACCACGATCACCCACCTCACCATAACCACGCCGAGGAGCTGGCCACTGTCCACAATTACGAGCAGCAGCTGCAGCTCCTCAGGCAGGTGACCCAAAAGCTGCTTGAAGCACATCCCAAGAAGGACGTCTAGGTTGTTAACTGCTCAGCAGAAACTTGATCTAATTATGTATAATTATAATGTAAACTAATAGTTATTGTATATCTATTTATGTAGAAATAAAAACTAAGTATAGTGAAAGTTATGACACAAATTAAATTTCTTGTCTAACACATTATTTCAACCCAAATTATGGGCCTTCCCTGTTTCGATGATTGATTTATTTACTGTAAACAGTTTTAAACTAATAATTAAATACTACTGGGATTTTCAATAGTGTTTCTTGAATTAGAACAAGTTGACATAGTAAAAGCTAAATGGAATACTTTTTTGTTGTTTTGAAACATTTTTCGTGGTATTCTCATATTTTTGCACTGGATTTTCTTTCTATCGGGGGTTTCCAGTAGGGGAAATCTCCTCTACAAAGTACATTATCTCCATTTGTTCTAAGCAGTGACAATGTTTCTGTGTTACTTGAAATACGAGTATATATATTTTATACTAAACGGGCTGTGGATTGTGGATGCAGACCTTTAAGTAGTTTTTGCCGCTTATGGCGGCCATAAACACACAACTTCGTGTAACCGTAAAAAAAAAACTAATTTCGAAGGGGAAAAACTTTTCGACCTATTTTTCAAACAATTGGTTTCATGTATATATAATTTATAATTTATTATTGAGCTTCTTTGTTTTTACTAGCTGGGAGAAAAAAATCTACGAAAACGCTCATTTAAAACCAAAAAAAAAAAAAAAAAAAAACCTTTTTTAATATTTTTATTTTTTGAAATTGGATGCATTCCATTGCCAAGTACAAGTTTTATAATTTAAAATATATATATCATTGGAAAATATTTTGTTATGAGTGCTATATTTCTTAAATTAAGTTAACAACATACAGAACAAAAAGTTTACGTGTTGCAAACATATTTCTGGTATTTCAAACTGGGTTGAATTCTGCAGTTTGATTGCTTTCACGGTTTTTTTTTTAGAATTCCCGCCATAAAGCGAAATACGTGCCTGGGCATAAAGTTCCCCCATCAGATTGCCAGGCCCCGTTTGGGGAGCGATGGCGATTCTCGGCATTGTGAAATTTCAGCACGATATCTCAACAACATCTGGCGAATCGTAAAGCAGTCTGGACTTGTGGACGAGACCTTGTTGCCAGGTCTTTGTATCATGTGATCGAGGCGTTTTTGTCGCATAGGCCACAATAAACACAATTTCAAGCTGATAACTTCGTTGCTTGCGTAAAAATTTAACACGACATCTCCATAAAATGCGCCGACCGGTTTTTGGGTTGGCCCCGCTGCTCTTTCTCACCGGACCGCTATCTCTCTGATTTTTTTTTTTTTTTTTTCTGATAACTGAGATAAGCGCATGTTCTCTGACGGAGCCAAACTGGCAGCCAGCCCAACATCATGCCCCCCCACCGATCTCGAATGCCCGTGGTGCAGCGGAAATTAGCGCGTCAAGTGTCAAGTGTGAATTTGCCAGGCGGTAAACATACCTGACAGCCGATGAAAACATTTCTGTGGCTTAATTAGCGCCATCGGGTGATCTTATTTACATCTGCTGCCCCGATCCCGATGATGCTGACGATAGTGGTGCTAAAAGTCCACGCCACCGGATTGTTTCCAACGGAACTCCCCTTATCGAGCCACTCTCTTCGCATTTCGCGTTCTCCTAATGCTATCAAGACTATCTCAACGAAGTGCACACACCTTGGAGCGTGGCAAAATCTTGCGGCTAAAGGCTCAACGGCAAACGGAACAGGTAATCTCCTATGCCTTAGTCTGATAGCCAATATTATCATTTGAACCCAAGCTCTTGAACTAAATATGTATACTGGAGAAGTGGCTGTTGTTAATCAAGTTGAAAAGCAATGGCATGCGATAGCCTAAACAAATGATTTCGACAAAAAATACAACTTCTTTGTTTTGATTGAGGTTTTGATAGCCGGTAGTCAGTAAACGTAATTTCCGAAATTTGTTGTTTTTTGTTCATTGGAATTAAAAGCTAAATGCACTCATTTCTTATTAGTTGTTGCCAGAGAAGTACCTATGATTTTTAATAGGGGGCGATATATTCAAAAGCCTTTAAAGAATTCTGATTTAGTTTATAGATTTCTTGAATTTGAATGGTCACTGTTATAAATTTGATTCTGCTATTAACTAAAAAGTTATTTGGGAATGACTTTTAAAAACGTCATGTAAAAAAGATTTACAATAATTTTTACATGTCAAAAACAATGTGAGCAAATAGACGTTTATCAAAGCCTGAAAGTATGTTATTCTAATTTGTTTTTACGAAAAACAATGAATTAGTAGATCATTCTAATAAGTATCTTTTAGTCATATTAAATCCAATAATTAAAATAAGACAGATTTTTTTGATAAAAGTTTATTATTTGCAACTTTATTCAATTCAAAGTTAGTTAAGAGTTATTTTTGACATTAATAACGTGGCAGATACAATATATTTGTTCGTTTTTTAAGCGGGCTGATACATAACGTCTTTGGGAATTTGGGTGGGGCACTTAACAATTATAACGTAATCTAAGTCGGCATAAATATGTTTGCAGTTCTCTAATACACATTAACATTGTTTCCTTAGCATTGGCCAATAAATACAATTTCATTTGGATTTGCTACAATTAATCGAATTCATTGCTACGTTTACTCAACTAATTTAACTTGTAACCAATTCGCTAAATAATTTATTTAGTTCGCGTAGCATTTGGGTACTAATTTTATGTACAAATTAGGTGGCCTAAGAGCTAATTCAAACGTTCAGCTCTAACTATAAATATTGCAAGCCAAATGTAGCAGGGACTGGACTACACACAGTTCGGTAAAACGAAACTAAACATAAGAAGATAGATTAAAAACACAGTCTTATTTATGTATGAAGAAATCCAATGGGGCAAACCGAAGTTCAGGAGCGGGCAAGCAAGAAAGGTACGCATAGGATATGTGTGTGTGGTGTGATCACTAGAAACATCCTCATTTTTTAGGCCTCCGCTGGAGTCACAGAATGCGTGGGCAAGAACCTCGGCGACTGCTGGAGGGGCTGCTGCTTCCAGGGTCGCCGTTTCATGTGCGACTGCTGCGAACCAGTTAATCTAAATGAATAGAAAAGAGTAAGTTATTTGCCTCATCTAACCTTAGACAGCTTTACTTACCGGTTATACTTGGATAGCTTTCGCCTCTTCATGGGCGGCAATCCATCCAAGTCCAGTCGAGGGCCGACAAAGGCAAAGTTGGCCACGGATGCCGCAAGGGGAGCTAAAAAATTGTGTAAACAGGAAATAACAAATGGTAAGTCCACTTTACAAACTAAGAAGCTTACAGTGCTTTCGTTTGTTGTTGCGGTGCACTTGATTGATGGGCAGTAGTGGCGCACTGGATCCGTTCTCCAGGTGGGACTGGTGTCGCCGGATGCTGCAGCTGCGTCCTCGACAACCCTTCAACTGATCCAGAGCGTCGTGCATGTGGGATCTCTCACCGGGCGTAAGACCTGCTGCGCTATTTGTGGTCTCAAAGGGGTCTGTTTAGAAAAATATTAATTAAAAGTCATAAAACTAGTAAAGTAATATTTGTCTTTACAAAAGTAGCAAGAATACTTCTGTATATAAGTCATGATTTGTTCACTTACCAATAGTCAAGTTGTAAAAAGTAATTAGGCCCGTTGTAAACTCGCAGTACAGATAGTTGTGAGTACTATTTATGGTCCTTAGGCAGGAGTAGGTATTATTGTTGGCATTCATGCAGAAGCAGAAAGGACTGTCGTTCCAGAACGGAGCAGTTCGCCAGTGCTGATTGTCGTGAGAGAAGCAGTTCATCTTCTCGGACAGACACTCCTTCTCCAGTCGAGCCTTCTTGATACGTTTGCGCTCCTTCTTGCGCTGCCGCTCCTCCTTCAGTTTCCTGCGCGCCTCGCGAGCCATTTCTTTGGAATCTGCATGGCTGTAAAAGAGTTCAACGGTTAGAAGGGGTCTAATCATGCACCTGTAAAGATGATTACTTACCTCTCGCCCACATCAGGTTCGCAATAGCACTCGGCTCGCGGAGCAAACCGATGTGGCTGCTCCAGGGAATCGAACGCATTGGCACTTCCATATCCTCGGAATACTTCTTTCTGTCCACCGACCATTGGCGTTTTTGTGGTGCTGCCTATTTCTGTGAAGTAGCTCATGTTGAACTCTGGTCCGGCTCCATTGTCCACCAGATTGGCATCGTTCCGTCGGCGGCTCTCGTTCTTTCGACCAGCAGCCAATGCCTGCTTGTTGCTCTCCCTCAGTTGCTTCTTCATCTCCTTCAGCTTGCCAATCTTGTCCTTCAGAAGCTTGATCAGCATATCGATTTGAGTCCTAGAAGTTCGCCACGTCTTCTCGTCATCGTATATCACATTGGAGCAGTTCACCTTGCCCGATGTTGCATCCACAAAGCAGCGATGACCTCCTGACTTTGGATACTTCTCAAAGGAATTTATGCTGGAGTTGGAACCGTGCAACTCGTGCTCGTTGAACTTGTGCTCCAGGATCTCCAGAGTGCTCTGTATCTGCTGGATGACCTGGGCAATCGTCTCGTTGCTGCTGGCGTTCAAATCTCGTTTGCTGCGATGCGAGTGCTCAGTGAGTTGATCGACGACTTGGTGGAGATCCAGCAATTCCTCCATCTCGTGGGGTAATTCGGTGTGGAACACCTCACGCCTGTTTCTCCGCCTGCCATGGCCAATGTGAGTGCGCTTCTTAACGCGATGCAAGCCAGCGGATGGAGCTCGAATCTTGGTGTATACCACTCCATCGGGTGTGAAACAGGCGCAGTTGCGTTGGTACTGCTTACGTGGCATTGCAGCCAACTGGTGCTCCAATTGGAGCTGAAATAAAAAGTTAGAAGTAAATGCTATCCGCTTGTAAATGTTTTATAAGAGTATTCCTTACGTGGAACTTGCATTTGTGCTTTCGCCAACGACCTTCCTCGTTGACGCACTTCCACTTCTGACCAGGCAGGCAGTTTTTAAGTAGAGCAGGATCGGAGCACTCCGAGTTAAGGCGCATCATTTTGGTTATATAAGGAGCAAGAGGAAGGTCGTTTTCCTGGTCGATCAGGTCCTCATCACCCTCCTCCAGGGCAGCGTCCTCTAGATCGTCTTCCTCCAAAGCAGCTGCCGAACTGTCCATGGCACCATCACCTTCGCCATCATCCTCTTCGTTGTCAGTGTCCACATCCTCCTCCCCATCGTCTGGCTGCTGGACCGTTGAACTCATCAGAGTGGCAGCAGTGCTGCTGCTGCTGCTCGAAATGGTGGTGGTACTCTCTCCTCCGCCGCCGAGGAAATCCTCAAGCAGCGAACTGTTCACCAGCTTCATGTTGCGTCGATCGGCTTGCAGACGAGCTCTTGATTCAGCTATCTGATCAGCGGTCTCCCTCCTGCCGGAACTCTCGATCAGGAAGCTATCCGGCCAGTTGTCCCGCACAGCGCGATTCCTGCTCAACAGCAGGGGCAGTATGCTGCGTCCATCCATGTGCTGCGGAGTGGGTACTCCACCCATGTCCAGGAAAGTTGGTGCAAGATCCACATTGAGAACAATTTCATTGACCCTGTTACATGATATATTATAATATTAGATCAGGAATCACTTCTGAATCAAACAACTTACACCTTGGAGGCCTGAATTCCTGGTCCGCGGATGAGGAATGGCACTCTTACATCGAACTCAAAGGGAAAACTCTTTCCCTTGATGAGACCAAACTGACCCAAATGGTAACCATGATCGGAGGTGTACACAATGTACGTGTTGTCCAGTTCCCCGAGATCCTTCAGTTCATTGTAGACCCGCTCCACGGCCACATCAACACTTTGGAGAGTCTGCAGACGCTTTGTCATCAGAAGATTAGTGAATCGCTTGTGCACAGGCTGCATGGGATCGGTGACCCTGAGGATCCATTGTTTGTCAGGATTTGGTGCGTGATCATACGAAGGAGTGCTAAAGAAATAAAGCATTATACAAAGTATTATAGGTAATAAATCTGTAAACTTACTGATGAGTAGTCACATTGAAGAACAGATGACTGTACTGCGGCGCCGAATCCTCTGGACCATGGGGAGCCGGAAAACTCATGGTTAGCAGGACAGGCTTCCGCTGATTCTGCTGCTTGGAGGAGCGCAGGAAGGCAATCGAGTCGTTGGCTATCAGATCGGGATAGTAGTCCTTGGCGTAGTCGAAGCCGTGCTTGATCTTCTGCCCGTTCAGATTGATGCTGTAGTTGTAGTACTTGGAGTTCATGATCAGACCGCCCCACTCCCGCCATCCTGGCGGAATGTAGGATCCGTTGTACTTGTTCAGGTACTTGCCAAAGTATCCTGTTCGGTAGCCGGCATTGGAGAGATAGGTGGCATAGGATCGTGTCTCGTGGGTGGCCTGCCACTGGGGACTGGAGCAGTTGTCGTTGTTGGTGAACACCATGTGGTTGTGCACATACATCCCTGTGAGCAGCGAGGACCTCGCTGGACAGCACATTGGAGTGGTTGTATAGGCATGTCTAAACTCAGCTCCGCCATCTCGAAGCAGACGAAGTGTGCGTGGCATGAAGTTCAGGGACCCCAGTTCCACATCCTGGTCATCGGTCAGGATGAGGATTATGTTGGGGCGACGTTCCCTCGCCGAGTTGGAGTCCCGCGAGAATCTCTTCGCCGAGTGGCTGCGCTTGTGGGAGTGCGATCCCTGCTCCTTGCCGAGCACATGGAGCACAAATAGGAGCAGTATCAGGCCGCCAATGGCCAGTCGAAGGCTGGAGTGCTGCATCTTAGTTATGGAAAAGGAGGAGGAAACTGCAGCAAAGTTTCCAGCGCCTCAGCAGCCGCGCTCAAAACACCGGCAAATCGAGCAGAAAGTGCCTCATGGCTTTGTGACCTGCAAAGAAGACGATGATGGAACATTTAACCTCTTTATAAGATTTAAGCCGGGGTATTTGCTTAGCCACAGAGTGGAAATAATTCCGCTCGCCACACAGCGTTCCCTGCCCCACGATTCGAGCCAACTCAACCATCTTTTTGGACCTGATTTTCGGCTGGCTGTTTTTGCAGCTGCCTTGCACTCTTTGCAGCTGCTTTGCCTGCCTCGAAATTTCATGCACCAGTTGACCTCGACGGTGACTCGACTGAAGAGCCCTTGCCGCCAAATATTTGCCAAGATTGTTTGGCCAAGAGCGGCGGAAGGAGCGGGAGGAGCGGCAAATCAGAGCGATGCACATTTTGTCCACTTATCAGCGAATGCCGGCTACTGTCAGAACCTCCTGCCTGCCATAGTAGAACCACCACCAACCAACCAACCAAGTGAAGTGTATTTGCGTCCTTGCTGAAATTTATGTGCCACTTGCCGTTAAGTGAAAACTGCATTCGCAGTGCCTTTTCCTTTATCCCTTTTTCCTTATCCCGTGGCAGATCCACGTAAATTTTCTTGGCATTGAGCTGGCAACCCATGGAACGCAGAGAACGCATAGAACCACCACCCACACTCAACATGCGGCTTCCATGGGGGCAAGTAAAGAGGTTTACTGGGGTCGTTTAAGTGTGATTTATGTGATGGCAGCCACGCCGTTTTGTTGCATTGTAATTGCCAGCCAGGTAACTAGGCTTCCACCTTGGCCACCTCTTCACGAGATTCGAACACCGTAGAAGACGCAGTAAGTCAAGACCTTCTGCATTTGGCAGGGTACTTAGCGTCTTGAATCGACCTTGCGATTCGGCAACAATGGAAGAGCGATACTTCAAGCGAATCTCAGCTTTCGAGGCTGAACTTTAAGATCTATTTTGAGCTCTCTGCAGAAAAAAAGAGCTTCACATGAAACCAGGTTAGGGTTTCTGGTGTCTTTAAGAGCAAAGTTTATTACTGTTCTCTGCTCTTCTCTTCGCAGCGTGACTTCAATAAATTTTAATAATTCACTCAGTTTTTCTTAAAAGTTTTTGTCCATATTTTGCTCTGAAATCCCGAGCTGCCCTGCCTTGTTGGGGCAATTCCTCACTACAAGCTTAACTGTTGCACAACCGCAATAACTTCCTGCAAAAAGTTTGGGAGTGGAGTTCGAATTTGACATGCCCAGACGGCATCAGCGAAACTATGGTTAAATATGCAACACAAATAAAGCCAGCAGAAAGAAAAAGAAAAACTGGCAGCACGAAACGTTGCAGGTTGCACCACAAAATAGCTGATACATGGAGATGGCCAGCATCCGGCGCTGGATGCAAGATGAATTGGTATGTACGAGTACGCCTGCCGAATGGATGGATAAATGGCTAGGAGCCAACTCGATGAGCCACTTGAAAGCGGCACAATAGAGAAAGCCTCCCACTCACTCGTCTCGCAATCGCAAATGCAATATTTCGCCAGGCATTTTATTTATTTATGCTCAATTATGCTGCGTTCTTTACCGAAACCCCAAATACCCCCATTCCCCATTCCCCCGTTTCCCCAATTGCAATTGCAATTGCAATCGAAATGTAGCAGAATAGCCGTCGCAATTGCAGGGCCAACTTGAGTGGAGAGCGGAGAACAGAACGATGGAAAGCCAACTGAAGTGCATCCATTGTGAAAGCAGCTGGAAACCCTCAGCCACTTGACTGGCTGAAGCTTCCTTGTTTCTCCAAGGCTGTTTTCGGATGGTTTGATGGCCGGACCAACTGCAGTCGCAGCAGCAAGAGAGCCTGAGAGGCTGGGGAACAAGTTTGGGTCAGGCATGACCCAACGGCCGTCCAACATCCCCGGCCCTAAAAAAGGAAACATGTTTCTCGGCAAACAGACCCGACCAAAAAGAGCTTGCTGATTTTTTTCTCCTTTTTTGCGGCATCTTCCTGTCGCCTGCTGACAGACGTCACGCATGCTCAGATGGCATCGGGGGTTTCTCGAGTCGGAGGAGAAGACATGGGCATCCAGGAGGTTGGAGGAGCGGGCGGCCAGTTTGGTCTGGACCACAGGGAACGTGTTCCCGACTTGGCAACACCACACCGGCAAACTTGTCTCACCAAAAACCCAGCCGCAGGAGCCGAGAGTTTGGCGGCTTGCAGGGAGGATGAAAGCCAACACGATTTCCTGATTCATTCATGAATATCATGACTTTGGTTTTGTGTCCCTCTCTCTTTCCTCCGACACTGCGGATTCTCCCACTTTGTGGAGTCTTTCTGCACAGACGCCCGGCAATTCCATCTTCTTAAGACCGAAATCGTGCCTGTTGCTAGGTGATCATAAAATTTTATTACCCACATTTTACATTTTTTTTTTTGGTTTGTCTTAAAGGTTACATCGTTTTCGCTTTTAAGTATATTTATAAGTCTTCATTTACCAGGCACAAGTCTGCAAGAAAGTTTAAGGTAATTCTTAGGGTTGAAAGTAAAATCAAAATGAGATATACAACTAAGAACATATCATCATACAAATCAGAGATAACCATTAAAAAAGTTTTTAGTTTGTCTACGCCAAAATCGTTTAGATAAGATAGCTAAATTTGTACAGTTTGTCGAATGATTATTATTAAGCAAAATCCCAATTAACTTGCATATTTCTTTAATGATTATAAGGTAATTTGTAAACTGATCGCCAATTACACTTTTTTTTCGTGATTTACTAGATTTCCAAAGCTGTCTTGACTCGCGAAGTCGAGTGCAATAAACCTAATTAATTTCAAGTCGCTAAGACGTGACACTCCGATTGCATATCAAATAGTGCGAAGTCTCTTATCCAGCAGACAAAATGATTACAAGGCAGACACGGAACAGAAGTCGCGGAGGAAAACCAGACCGCGCAGGAAAGGGAAAGCCAGAAGATATATCTCCAGATAGGACGGGAAAGCATTCAATTAAGTGTAAATAATGTATACATCTCAGCCAGCTAGGAGTCGAAGTCCACTCGGGAGTGCTGGATACAGTAGTCGCTGGCTCCGCAGGGACTTATGAATATGCAAATAGACCGATGTTGACTAATCTGACATCCGAGCAAAAATTATAAATTCCGCGTTATCAGCGCCGGCGAGTTCCTGGCAGTGAGTGCGGATCGAGTGGATTGAGCGGATCGGAGCAGCGATTCATTAGCCGTCGTGTCATGGCGGATAGCTGGCGGAGTCCAAGTCTGCGAATGTGGAGCAGCGTCTGCGTAGGCCGAGAGTCCCCTGTCAAGTCCAACTTTGCGCTTAATTATGCAATTAACAAGGCAGCCAGCCGGCTAGGGATTGGGTCTGACATGTGGCCAGCTGCCAGTTGATGGCATCGCCGAGTCAATTTAACGCTTAACTAACTATTTAAAAGCCAACCCATAGCCATGCTCTTTTGCAGCAACTCCCACTCGCATCCGAAGTGCAGCGTCTTCGTTACTTGCGGCTGGCTGCTTTTCCAGTTCGATTTATGCATGTTTAATGGGACCCCAAAAAGCTAAACCGTAACGCCTACATAACTTTACAGAAGAAGGGGAGGAGGAGGAGGAGGAGGTTTAGAACATGTGGCAAGTGTCACTTTGGGGGCGTGGCAGGGGTCGACTTGCGGTAAGCCAATTTGCGTTTGGCCTGGCTCACTCAACTCGAAAAACCCCAACATGTTGTGACAGTTTTGTAATGGACTTGAAATATTCAAGCTTACTTTGGCACGACACTTGCGATTATGAAAGATGCATTGAGAGGGGGGGAACCACCGGGAAAAGTCGAGAGTTTATTATGCCAGATTGGTGGAAGTACTTCATGATTCCATTTGACAAAATAATTCACCGCCTTTTGCCTTGATTTGAATTTGAATTTCCTCCTCGGGCAAAAAAATTATGATATAACTGGCGCACACTTCACAAAATGAGAATAACATTGTCTCGAATGAATATATAAAACTCGTGGCAGGCGAGATAATGTGCGAAAAAAGAGCACAATGTGAATGACTTTGAGGCACGTTCCGAAATCGGTCAGACGACAAGTGTTGGACGAGGAAGCCGAAACAAAAAATAAACAAAATATATATACAAAATATATACAAAAGATACCCAGCGGATCGGAGTGGGTTAGGAACGATTTGTTAATGGATATAAAAAGGCAAAAGGCAAATGTCGTGAGTGAATGCTCGTAGCGGAACATATTTAAATCGTGTTCCGCCGTCGCAACAATAAATTTCAATGGCAACAAATTGTTTGTGGAGATGGCTGCCAATAAATCTTTCGCCTTTTTGCGTGTCTGTTTGTCGTTTTGTCAGCAGTTCGGAATTATAACAGGGCGAGTGGCCACTGGCCAGCCAAGTGTCGAGATTCACGTTTCTTTCGATTTATGGCTAATTCCCAAGGGGCCAACGCCCTGAGTTTTAAAGGTTTCAATTGACTCCATCACCGCACCTCATTGCCAAATGAATATTTATTCCTTCTTAATAAAGTAAGATACCGAATTCGTTTTTTATGCAAGCAAATGTGTGCAGTTATTTTGTAATGGAATCTCTGGCAATTTGTTTTACACATATTTCAGTAATTTATTTTGCAGCTGCTGGCTAAGAAAAAAAACGCATACAAACGAGAATTTTTGCAATTAACTCAATTACAAGTTATGGTCAGAAGGCCTGAACCACTCGGTTTTAGCAATTTCAGATTGCTTGTAAAGGTTAAAAGCGATGGAAAGAGGCGGATTTTAACAAGCCGCATTAGAAACCTGACGTCTGGGCAAAATATCCTGCAATTGCTCTATTAAAGCTGTCCTGCCCCTTCATAAATAATATCCTATAGTTGGACCAACAACTACTGTTGTGGCACAAACAAATCAAATCAAATTGTGACCCACTTAGCCACTTTCCACTGCAACACACACTGCTGGCAAAAAGTCAGCTAGCTGCCGCAAAAAGTGTCCTCAACTTCGTTGTGTGGCAGTTATTAAGGGGGGTTTGGCCGAGGAAATTGTTGCCTGACATTTGCATATATTAGACATATAACTTTGCGGGTGGTCTGAACTGAGAAGTACTTGTGTTTCCTCCAATTCTCTAGAATTTCTAGAAAATCGATTTTAGCTACTTCAACAAAGATTACAAACAATTTGGGATTATTAGCGCAAAGCCTGATAGACAAGATCACCGAAAATGTTTCCCTTCACCCAATGAAATTTTCGAAAATTAAACAAACAATAAAGTCTTAGCCCCTCCCCCTCAATCCTCCCAGTTCGCGTGGCCGTCAAGGTCTGGCCACAAAAACCGATTCGAACCGAAAATAGAAATTCTAGCGAAAATGTTAAACATTCTCTTGACATATCAGAAGAATGCTCTGTTGTCGTCACCGCTGCTCGGGATTCTATTCGCGAATAGTGGCGGCAGAAAGGCCTCCAGGCCAACAGCCAATTTCAAGCTGATGACACACAAACGGCGGGTAATTAAAATAATAATAATAATGCTGGTCGGGCTATAAAGAAAACCCGCTCACCTTGGACAAAAGTGGACAGTGGTCGAAAACATTCAAAATATGAGGGCTGTGGGCAGGCGATAAATCATAACCGACATCTGGGCGGGACGAGGGCGTGGGGCAAGGCTCTCCTCCGTCTCGGATTCGCTTTCAGAGAATCGGCTTTCAAGAATGTGAATCATTAAAAAAAAATGAGAGGCAAGGATAGAAAAGAACGATGATGAAGACGACGGCTGACTCAGTGGTCTTCAATTCTGCGGCTCAGCTTTCAGCGCCGGGCGTCAAACGGAAGCCGCATTAGTTGCACACTCTCGAAGGCTCTCAAGCTGGAAGGTGCTGCACCTTAAATATATACATACATATGTGTAGGATCAGGTTATATACCTTTAGAGACACGAGTCTGGGAAGTGGATTTCGATTTCGTTGGAACTAATCAGGTTGCAGAACAAAAATAACACAAGAAATGCAAAATGTGTATTTATTTTCTTATTCGCATTCAAACCGTCCCAATTGAAATACATCAGTTTCAGAAATTTACACAAAAATTGAAATTGAAATAATAATAAATACATCAAAAACACATTTCTCACAAATTGTATATTCACAAAACTAAAATATGCACGCCGCCTGGAAAGCTGTTGTAGTTTATTGCCTTCCCACATTATTCATATGTTTCTTAAAGTTCAAAGATCGCTGTATAATTTCTGAAAACTTGCCAAATACAAAATGCAAATAAATGTAACCTTGTCGTACACCTCGTTGCATGCAGTACAAAATTGTGTTATTATATTAGCCTGAACCTCATTAAAATGCAAATTCAAAACGTTTTGGGGTAATTATTACACTTTGCTCTGACCAACAAAATTGTTGTCTTTGTACCTCACCTATTAAGTGAAATTTCCGACATTTAAAACCTGCAGCTGCAACAAGTCTTTGTAAAATTGATGTGGACTCATAAGACATGCAGTGTCAACGAGCATTTTTGCAACTGTCAGAAATTATGACAGGCTAAAAAGTGGAAATGAAATATACAGCTTTATTTTCGTATCTATATAAATGCACTTTAAATATAAAGGAAACACACGGAAACTTCACTGAGAAGTCAATGGATGGTGTTTTGAAAGTGAAAGGGATTTATATATATAGACGCTAAGCACTCGTAATCAGTAGTTCGACGCGGGGGATTCATCCGCCGAAATAGCTCAGTTGGGAGAGCGTTAGACTGAAGATCTAAAGGTCCCCGGTTCAATCCCGGGTTTCGGCATTTATAATATTTTTGTAACATTTATTTTAGAAAGCTCCATATGCATTAAAAAATTATTTATAATAACTTTGATAGTGCGCAATAATTTAATGCATTTTTAGAAACCGTATATTTTATTTTTATAGTTTAAAGAAATAATAAAAAAAAAAAAAACAAATGGAATTTTCTGGCTTATTTTTACCATGTCCTGTTATCCCTTTTTAAACATATTTAACTTTTTTTCCGGAAAAATCAAAACTTTTGAATCGGCCCCAACATGTGTTTCCGTGGTGTAGTGGTTATCACATCCGCCTAACACGCGGAAGGCCCCCGGTTCAATCCCGGGCGGAAACATGTACAGGATACATATTTCCTTTTTGTGATTCATATTTTTTCAATGCATTTAATGGAAAGACTTGAAAATAATCTTTGCTAGATTAAAAAGGTCATCGCGTTAACCCCGGCCTAAAATAAAGAAGAATATTTACTCCTTATATTTTATTATTCTTTAACTCATATTTTTTAATAACTAAAAAATTTAATAAATCCATAGCCGAAATAGCTCAGTTGGGAGAGCGTTAGACTGAAGATCTAAAGGTCCCCGGTTCAATCCCGGGTTTCGGCATAGACTTCTTTTTGCTGCCAATAGTATCCTCATGGATCTATTTTACTTCACGGTTATACTAAGGCACTCCAGCCCATGACTTTAATGTCACTTTCTCGGCCTCTGTTAAAAATTAGGTAATAAACCTGTGTTGCTTCTGCTGGTTCGGGAAGGGACCGACGAAATGCCCACCTCCTCGTCCTGGCCCCGCACCTACCTCAACTGGAAGCCGGTGCTGCTGCTTTCGCTGAAGTGCGTCTACTTCATGTTGGTGGTGAAGCTCAGCCAGAAGTGCCTGGAGATGGCCGTCAAGAGCCGGATGGCCCAAAGCTAAAGCCAAAGGCATAGGCAGAGGCATCATCTGCACGAGGGATTGCGGAGCAGAGGAGGAGCACTCACTTGATGGCCACATGACGATTCGTGTATGTCCCATTTGGAGGAGCAGAGAAGCCGATGAATAAACGACAGTTGGGGAATGTCTGTGCGCTGTCTTAATACGTTTTTATTAGCCAAGAGATTCGCGTCGGGCTGTCGGCCAGAGTAATTAGACTCCATTAGTGGGCTGGCAGACGTCGTCGTCGTCGCCGCGTTTCCACCGAAGTCAGTAGTACAGAAATTTATGCAAAGTGCTCAAAGAGCCATGTGCCACTCCAGATCTATCTCCATCGGCACAGAGCCCAGCCCATACCAACATCCATATATCCATATCCATCCGTTGCCACATGTTGGCGCTCATAATTTTTACGCCATTAGACAACTTTGTGCACAAACTCATTAAAATGTACTTGAGTCCCTCGAAACGAAATGGAGATGGCACTGCTGCTGATGTGACTGGATCCCGGCTAATTTGTCGAGCAGCGTCAAATGACAAGGAACAGGCAACAGTCTGTGCTTCCCCCCTTCCACATTACCCTTCGCTCCACATCTCCTCTAGAATTTAGCATCCAGAATCCATAGACATGTGGCGCGATTTGACATTTTGAGGCGCAACAAGATAGATTGACGCGAAAAGATGCTACGCTGGTCGTAATAAAGTGGAGTGCGGATGGAAATGGCAATGTCAGTGGCGCAGACATTACGCAATTTGAGACAACTCAAGCAAACACTCGAGTGCCGACCGCCTTTGGGATGATTATCGTTATGATTATGAGCCCGATGAGTTTGTCTCGCTGTCTTGCTCCCCAGAATGTGGCTGCCAAACATAATGAAGATGGTAGACAGGCGCTGCGGAGTCGTCACACACCACTTGGCTGCATCCAACCAGGTCCTAGAAAGTAAGATAGTTTGCCGAGTGTGCGGATGAGCAGGTTCTCGGTTAAAACTAAAAGCTAGCCCTAATTAGTGACTAAAAGGTAATCTTCATTTAGAGCTATTAAGCACAAATAACAACCTTAAGAAACTATAAACATTTGGTAAAATAAACCATCATCATAAAAACTCAAAATAAATTTCAATAAAAACCTGGAACTTTGTTATTCCTAAGACAACAATGAATCAATTCTGAAGTCAACGGAACACGATAAGATATACTTTCATTAGATATAAATAAAAAACAATTAACCAATTATGCTTTATATTTGTATGTGAATCGGCTCTCGGGCATTCCCACTTTTACCTTAAGATTCAAAAGCAAAAAAAAAAGAAACTATTTTTATTCCACCTCCCGTTGTTGGTGACCCGAAAAAGTCCCCCAATGTGACTGATCATGAATCACAGTCAAGGCCAAGCTACCAATTGAATCGAATCGAGTAGAATCGGTGAAGACACATGTATCTATAAACTGATTACAAAGTCATTTACTTATCAGCTCGGTATCAGTTTCGCCAGCTTCGGTCCACATTTGTCCGATTTAAACACGATTGTGGACAACTGGTGGGGTTCAGTAACGAACGAGCAACGAAAGGAATACCATCTATATTCTAAGAATGAGTGGATTGCAACCCCCTTATGTGGGTGCAGTTCCTGCGCCACCGAATGAGACCATAGTCATCGCCACAGCACCACCACCAGAGCCTCAAAAACCTGCAGCTTCAACCTTTAAAAGTGGACACTTTGCCAAATTTAACAGACAACAAAATGCGGCTTATGCAGGTGAGAAAAAGATGAAGTTTAAAATTAAACGACTTGATTAGCACTCTTCCTTTTTAGTATTCTTTCTACTCATTTATGGTGGCATGGATATGGCCGCCAGTCTGGGTTGGAATCCGACCTACAACGTTCTCTTATTCACGGAGTATTCGTACTGTTGGTTCATAGGTGTTATTATTGGAGCATTGGCCGCTACTTTCACCATGACATTCCTCCCTAAGGAGGTCTACTATGTGAGTTACCTTTTTTACCTATATGATGTTGCAGTTCAATTATTATAGATATTTACAGAAGTTGGCAGGAATACCTTACTTCACCTTATTTTATAGATTTATGTTTGTAACATAATTTTGAGTACCCTATACAAAACGTCGGGTTATTCTCAATGCTGTATGAACACTTTGGTCAATGAATTTAGAATAACTCTAAGACTGTTATTTGTGAAAAGCTTTTTCTAATTTGTCATGCTTAGATATTGCTGTTCTCTTTTGTATACACTAAGAACTTTTGCGGTTTTCCAGATTTATGATTGATAAGAACACAAATGGATTATTAATTAGACATTCTTACTTTCTCAGTGAAATTTTTGTTAATATTGTGACCAAAAATCAATTGCTTGCTTTTCAGGTCATTGGAGCTCTGACGCAGCTAACTGGCTCGGTTATATTCACCGCAGTTCCCGACGACTATTCAGCCTGCCTGGCTGCTCGCTATGTGGCCGGCTTGGGCATTGGCCTCATCACAGTGCCCTTCCTTATCCACAACGCTGAGGTGGCGGCCAACAACCAGCGCGGCTTCACCGCCGGAATGGAGCAGTGCGGCCTGGCCCTGGGAATCGCCATCCAGGTGATCTTCACCGCGGAGTGGGAAGGAATTAACATTAATTTGGTGCACGGAATCTTAGGAATTATATTCTCGTTGTTTGGTCTGGCGATGACTGTCCTCACAATTGAGTCACCGGTGTTTTATCTTCGACGGAATCAGGAGACAGCCGCCAGAAGGAGTCTGCAGAAGCTACTGGGTGCCTCCTCCAATGGCGTTAGTAGAGCCCTCGATGAGGCCAAGATCTATGTGGCGGAGAGTGATAACCGGAGTTTGGGCGAGGAGCTGATGGCCTCCGTGATGCCCTTCCTGAAACTGCTCTTCTTCCGCTGCTTTGTGGCCTTCTCCTTCTCCTTGCCACTGACCACATCGATCATCTCGAGCACCGCCGTTGCGGAAATGGACCTAAGTGTCTGGCCAATGTACGTATTTGGCATACTGCGTCTGATTGGAACCCTGGTTGCCTTGTGCTTCCTGGACACTTTGGGTCGCAAGGCAGTATCGCTCGTGGGACTGCTCTGCATGGCCGGATTAATGCTGGGACTAGCTGGTCTCTATGCCAACATGGACAATATTATTGACTTTTACTACATGGAACAGGCCTGCAATATCGGAATGGCTTTCCAGGCCTTCGCAGGACTCTTCGTCTGCAGCTCATCCACGTACATGGGTGAGGCCTTTCCTTTGAAGGTGAAAACGGGCCTCGTCGGGTTCATCGTCATCATGGAGCAGGTCATCCACGTCATCGTAGTGGCCTGCTTTAATTCCGTGACCAGCAAGGACTACCTTTTCCCCTACTTTTTGTCCGTGGGCATCATCATGGCGCTGGGCGTTATTTTCTTTGCGGTCTCCATGCCGGAAACCAAGAAAATGACGCTGCGAAACGCTGGCCATCGCTTTCAGAGGTGGTACGATGTAACGATCTACTAGTTTTTAAGATCCCCACTGCGAAACTCATTACAACTATATACATTTCGTTTAATAAAATTAGTTTAACAATAAATGTTTACTACAATGTCTTTAAAAAAATTGACAAAAAAAGTAAAATGCATAAGATTAATATTTTAATGTTCTATAATACTACATTTCCTGTAAGGATGTATCTATTTTTACGTTGTGTTAACAACGTCTTTACCAAGAAAATTCGCTTATTATGTATCTAATAAATATTATATTATGCATTGAGCTATTACTTCCTAGAATCATTATGACATAATAAATTTGTCTGATTATATTCAACGATAGCTTCCAAATAGTTTTTATCGTGCCTCATTGAGGATTACTTTCCCTGTCGGAACTACTTTATAGGCGACTCAGACTTTATCTAATAGCTTATAAAAAGTTGCAATGATCCCCTGGTAAGTGCATATAACTTACACCAGAATTGGTTGCTTTACCTTTCTATAGTTCTTGCATGTCCATCAAGCTGAGCGGATCGGACAGAATATTTCCTACCGAAAGTTGCATAGAAAAATATGACAATCACATATGTGACTGCTGCTCCGGATGGAAATCCTTCAAATGTCTTCGCCACAAGGGATCGGGATGAGGGGTATATCCCTAAACTCCCTCCCATGCAGCCACCGATGCAATCAGTGAATTTCACCAACAGCAATTCGGGATCCTTGCGCCAAATCAACAAACAACTTAATGTTGCATGTGCAGGTGAATAAATTAGATTAAATCCATTCAGTTGGAGAAAGTTACTAATCTATTTCCCTCCATTAACAGTGTTCTTTCTTTTTGTCTACGGGGGAATGGACCTTGCGCACAGTTCGGGTTGGAATCAAACTTTAAACACCACGGCTACGGAAATTTTCAAATGCAGTTGGTTTATTGGAGTCCTTGCAGGAGCTGCGATTGCCTCGCTGGCTATGACCTTCCTGCCAAAGTTGCCCTTTTATGTTCGTATAGCACTTTATCTTACAAGCAAGGATTTAGTAGAATTCTCTGCAGGTTTTGGGAGGTCTAATGCAACTCACTGGATCCATTATTTTCACCTGTGCGCCCTTTGATTATAACCTTCTAATGGCTGCTCGCTATGTGGCTGGTGCGGGAATTGGATTGATTACTGTTCCTTTTCTCATTCATAGTGCAGAAGTTGCATCTAACAACTATCGAGGGGTTAGTGGATCTATGGAGCAGTGCGGTCTGGCATTGGGCATTGCCATTCAGGTGAGTACTCAACGGAATAACTTTATTTAGAAGCTAATCTAATATTATGAAATCCTTCAGGTCATCTATGACACTCAGTGGGTGGACGACAAGGAAGCTTCAGTCAACGAGGTTCATGGAATTATAGGAATTGTGTTTTCCATTTTGGGATTGGGCATGACAGCCCTTTCAATTGAGTCACCCATCTTCCATTTGCGACGCAACAAAGAGGAGAAGGCTCGCGAATGCCATCAGAAACTTTTGGGAAATTTCAACAACTCTATTGATCAAGATTTCGAGGAAGTTAGAGTCTATGTGACGGAGAGCCAGGAGAGGACCTTCTTTCAGGAGCTGTGGAGCTCAGTGGTGCCCTTTATAAAGGTGCTCCTCTACCGCGCATTCGTCGCCTTCTCCTTTTCCCTTGCCCTCTCCGAATCTCTGATCAAAAGTGCCGTCCTAACCGAGGGATATATATCCTGTTGGCCAGTCACCGTTTGGGGATTGGTTCGTCTGCTGGGAGCTCTTGTGGCCCAAGGATTCCTGGACAAGATCGGACGCAAGCTACTGTCACTAGTGGGACTTCTTTGTATGGCTATTCTGATGCTCTGCATGGCTGTTTCCTATGCAGATCCTGCCAATGTGCTTCTCACCTACTACATGTTCCAGGTTTGGAAGCTGGGAGTGGCCTTCCAAGCATTCGCAGGACTATTCGTGTGCAGCTCATCGGTTTACCTGGGTGAAGCATTTCCCATGAAAGTAAAACCTTTCCTTGTGGGATATGTTGTGGGATTTGAACAGACTATCCACATCATCAACATAGTTGGCTACAATCGAGGCTCCGAGAATTTCTTTTACCACTACTACTTGTCTGTGGGAATTATCCTGTTTGTGGGATTGATTTTCTTTGGCCTAGTTATTCCGGAAACAAAGAAAATAACTCTGCGGAAGGCTAACAAACGTTTTCAGAGAGTGCTCAATATACGACTATGGTAGTAAAGCGATCTGCTTTACATACACCAAACATATTGAGTTTTATGTTTGCCTCCTATATATTTATACATAAATAAAAGAAAATGCAGCCCGTTTTTAATTAATTATAAATAAATGGTTACTAAGTGAATGATAAAAACACGATTTCGTTTAGGTCTCTTAAACGTAGATTTTGGAAACAGCGAACAGTCAAACATGATTTGTTTATAAATTTGCCAGAAGTGCAGACAGATAATGTTGGTTTATATTTATGGAATTCCCGGAATCTTATCTTTGACATTTGTTAATCAAATTAATTATTTAGCATTGATAACATTTTTCCCACTACTGCCAACAACTTTCTCTTTTTTGGGGGTATACCCCCAAAATGATGGCTCATGCCATCTGAACTTTGTGCCTTTTAGTCGATCAATTAAACCATGTTAACTAGAAAGGATGAGTAACAGCATTGAATTCGTTCGTGGCCCGTGGCCCTTGAATGTTTTACCGACATTATCACGACTTATCACAGCTTACTTGAAATGAATCACGGTCAACGACAGGCCTACCGTAAAAAGGAGAACGCGAGTATCTACCAGCTGATAAAATATATCAATTATCAGATATCTATTTTGCTGATAGCTATTACTTACGCAGAAATATTTTATAAAAGCTTGCCCAGTCTGCCAGTGGCCACGAAAACGAACGAATCGATCCAGTTCCTTGCAAGTCCATAAGAATTCAGCCCGTTGTCTGGTTATATAAGGGGAAATATGACGACCACCTATGTGACCGCGGGTCCAGTTCCCGTCCAGCAAACCACCTACATCAGCACGGGACCCCAGCAATTTCAGACCACGTATGTCACCAACGGACGGCCACCACCACCACCTCCACCACCCACCACGGTGGTGATCACCACCACAAACAACAGACGCTGGGCGACTCCCGCCCAAACGCAATCCGGAACAGCAGGTGAGATTAGGAGAGCCTTGGACGAAAGTCTATTGAAGCAATTAAATGTACATATTTTCAATTCAAAGCTAGATCTATTTTCACACCTAAAATATTTCAAAACATTGTAAATTATAAAATTTGCATTGCAAAGTATTTTTCATTGTTATGTGAAGGAAAACTTGTTTAGGCAAATAAACAAATCTGTTGAATACAGCGTCTTAAAAAGCTAATATATTTTTGGCTTTATGAACACCTTTAAAAGCATTCTGTTTTTCAAGGGTAAAACAACCTTGAAAACCTTCTCTCCCTACCTACTTTCTCAAGTAATACATATATCTCAACTTTCTCTATCAACAGCCACCCTTCTGTTTGTCTACGCTGGAATGGACATGGCTCAAGGTTTGGGCTGGAACTTGACCCCCATTTGGGCCAACACCCTCGAGTTCCAGTACAGTTGGTTCATAGGGGTAATAATCGGAGCTGTGGTGTCTGCCATTACTGCGTCCTTCCTGCCTAAAATGGTCTTCTATGTGAGTATATCAACTAAATACTTAGGAAGATATCTTGTGCCAATAACAATATTCCTCCTCAGGGTTTGGGTGGTGTGATGAACCTGATCGACGCCATTATTTTTGTGAGTGCTCCCTACGAGTATGAATCCATTCTGGCTGCTCGATATGTGGGTGGTGTGGGCATTGGCCTGATCACCGTTCCCTTCTTGATTCACAGTGCAGAGATCGCCTCCAGTTCGAACAGAGGAACGTGCTGCGCTCTGGAGCAGTATGGATTGGCACTGGGAGTGACCATTCAGGTGGTCTACGACTCGCAGTGGACGCAGGACTTGGGCATGACCATCAACCGGGTGCATGGAATATTCGGAATAGTGTTCACCGCCATTGCCCTGGGCAGTGTGGCCATTACCATCGACTCCCCGATCTTCTATATCCGCCAAAACCAAGAGCAAAAGGCGCGAAACAGTGTGAAGCAGTTGATGGGAGCTTTTTGGACTCGGGAAGGCGGAGATATTGCCTACGAGGAGGCCAAACTGTATGTGGTGGAGGGCAGCAGTCAGGGAGTGGGTGAGCAGCTGGGGGATTCCCTAATGCCCTTCCTCAAACTGCTGCTCTTCCGCTGCTTCGTGGCCTTCAGCTTCTCGATGCCGCTCTCCTACTCGATGATTGCCACCACGGACTTCGTGGAGGGATCCACCTACTCCTGGCCCACGATCATATTCGCAGTTCTCCGACTGGTGGGAGCACTGATCACCTTCGGCGTGCTGGACACCGTGGGCAGGAAGTTCGTCTCGCTTCTCGGACTCATGTGCATGGCTGGATTGATGCTGGGAATGGCCGGAGTCTATGGAGATTACTCCAACGTTACCAGCGACTATTTCATGTGGCAAGTTTGCCGGTTGGGCATGGCCTTCCAGTTCTTCGCAGGACTCTTCGTCTGCAGCTCATCGGTTTATCTGGGCGAAGCCTTTCCGATGAGAGTGAAGCCATTCCTGATCGGCCTAATTGTGTGTATTGAGCAGGTGATCCACATCATTGTGATCGTGAAGTTTGAAGCCACCGCCGAGTTCCTTTACACATACTTTGTGGCCGTTGGAATCATCTTGGTAATTGGTCTGGTTGCCTTTGCTGTCCTAATGCCAGAAACCCGGGGATTGACTCTCCGACAGGCGGGGGAACGATTCCGGCGGGTTCACGATGTCATGGCATACTAAATGGATTTTATTTAATTTTTGTATTCGGTACCATCAATAAAATGCAGTCTAATAACATCAAGTGTTTTTAGAAAGTTAATTCACTCACAAAATTTATTGCAATGACTTATTTTTAGAAAATATTTTTGCAACTATTTTCGACAGACTTGTTCGTGATTTATTGGAAGCCTGAAAGAAATTAAATATTGCTCCTAAGAACAACCCTTTTTTATAAAACCTAAGTGCTTAGTTAAATTTAATAAAGACCACATAATTCCAGCAGTGAAAATAATAATCTAATACTTAACTTCCGCATAGAAGGAAAGTGCAGTTGGCAGCTGCCTTGCAATTCTTCTCCGACTTTTATGCGTATTTATGTCTTCTCAAATTTTTAATGCGGTTAAACCTCCCCTCGGCGAGCCACTGGAGACTATTTTTATATGAACGAGTATGCCCTGCGGCTAGCAGAGTTTATTTAGAACTTTATTATGGGCTAATTTATGTCTCCGCTGCCTTTTGCCCGCTTGTAATCCCCACATGTGTGCGCCTTCATTTGCTCCATTTTTGACACTTTGATGGCGCTTTTGTGGTGTTCGCTCGGATGCCAAACATGTTTGTTTACGCAGTTTATGCGTTTTTAATGCACTTCTATGGATCAAATTTTGTACCATGCCCAATTAAACACTAAGCCAAAGGCAACAGCTGCCGTCGTGAAAGCAAACCATTTGGATTCCTGGAACTGCTGAACTTGTGAAACATGATGACTAAATCATTTAAGCAGTCGACATGATTAAAAAAATCAGAGAACAGAAACTGAAGAACGGCAACCTTGCATTCCCCGGAAAAGGAAAATAAAGCACTTACAACCCAGCGCCACAAAGGCCCATCAACACAACAATACGGCGAATTATATGAATTACAATTCAAATGATCTTACAAGTGACACATCGACAACAGGGATGCCGAAGCCAGAGGAGAAGGGCGGCGAGTCTGGCCCATTACAGCGCACAAAAATGCGCATAAAAATTGCATTAAGATGCCATCCCAGACTCGTTCCTAATGAAGGAATGGCAATAAAGGACAATTGCCAGCAGAAACAGCAACGGCAGCAGCAGCGCCATGTTCAGTGATTGCTGGGAAAGAGCAGGCAATGCCCTTAAATAGACGAAGCTGGCCAAGATGGGGATGTCGGGTGCCCAATCGCAGCGACAGGCGGCCAAATGCGTGCAAAAATGTTGCCACGTTTCGCGAGTGGCTTTCGCGACTCGGCGATTTCCCAGGCCCCAAAGTGAATTAAATGCAGACGCGTGATTTTGCACATTAATTACGCGCCAGCCTTCCCCAATTTTACCACCGGATTTCCCGGGGTGAGAGTTCAAACCACAGGCAGTGCATCGAATTGCCGCGCTTCAAGAGCAGCGAACCGAAAGGAACTCAATGGATAAGGCAACTGCATCCGCCCAAGTGCGAAGAAACGGATTTTATGGACCGCAACCTGGGCTAATTGCCTCCTCAAAGGTAAATTGCGTAATTCCATTGCACAAGAAGGTTCAAATAATATATTTTCTTTGCTTAAAACTCACCTAAGCTTTCAGCGTATTAGACTTCTTCTTTGTCCCCGTAAATCTGCAAGAAAACAGAAATAGAATGATTAACACCTCGGCAGAGATGGCAAATAAGACAGAAAAAAAAGTGAAGAGGGACAGCTGGAAATCCTTAATCAAGCCGCGTTATCATTTATTCATCTCAATTAAAACGCACCGTGTTCCCCACTCAAACCGGTGACACTTTCAAGAAGGAAGGCAAGCTGGAAAGACTCTCGTGAACTTTCTCAGCTCATTTACAACTGACACATTTGCACCTGCCCCACAGCTAAATGAGCGGAATGATTGATAGTTGGCCCGTGGAATGAGTGACGAGTCCGTGACCCGAGCACGGAGTTTTCCTTAGCCGGGTAAATTTCCATCTGTCAGCTGTCAGTTTTGAACGTTGGCAGGCGCTGAACTTGGCATTTTAATTGAGTGCACAAAACTCATGGAAATGACTGCAGTGCGAATGCGAATACGAATGTGAATGCGAATTAATGAGATTTTCTGTAGAGGGGGGCAAAGAAAAAAAAGGTGAGCTGAGGGTATTACGACTTCGTCTGAAATCGCCGATTCGCTTCCCAGTTGAGGCCAGCTTGTTTGGCTTTTATTGAACAAACACCTGCCGCTTAACTGACTTCAGGTGAGCGCTTGTTTTCTCGTTGTCGTTTTTTATGACTCTGCTGCCACGCTGCGTATGCGCAATGCACGTCTCCCCTTCCGTTCGAAAAGCCACCTTTTAACCCAGTTCGGCCCGTCGGTAGTTAGTTTTCTGTGCTATTACCAACACCTTTCCCGAAGTGTTCTCTTGACATGCGAACGCCAGAACTACAAGTAGGCCTTTTCCGGCAACTTTTCACCCTGCCAACCTTGAATGAATTAGTAAAATCAAATAGTATATGTGTATGTATGTATGTATGTATGTGCAGACCGATCGAAATGAAACTGCACCCATTGCGTATACGCAGCGTTCGCAAATAGGAAGGCAAACAAAGTGCGACAGTAGAGAATGGTGCTCTCCCCTCGCCAGTTTGTTAGCCTGCCTATTTTGCTCCGCGTGTTTATGGGCTTATTTACATACAAGACAGGCAAACAGAATGAAAGGGAAAAACATAAACTGTTTTGATTGCAGGTAAACAAACCGACCAACCGACGGACTGACTAACTGGCTGGTCGAGGAAGCAGCCAACTCTACGTTATTGATTGCTGTCCATTTATCATGCCGCTTGTTTATCAACAGACCAGAACTTTTGATAAGCGCCCAGGAACCGCCTCTAGCCCCCCAAACTCCCTTCATAGGGAGTCATTGATCTTGGGCTCGGTACCTGCGACTTGACACTCGGACTATTGCGCATTTCCCCCAGAGACACACTTTGAAAATATTTCAAAACGAGCGGATATATTTTATCGACAGCTAGTACATTTTTGAGATATGAATCAGGCTGTTTCTTGTGATTTTATTTTATCATTTGCGTTTATTTTATTGAGAAATATGTGTAGTTAAATGAATCCATTTTCGCAATAGTTAAAATGAAAGGATAAAAGAGATTTTAGAAGCATAATTTCACTAACCACTGGTTTTTCTCTGTGCACATACAAACTGGGAAACAGGTAGTTGCACGGCGATGATTTCATGGAGCCAAACGAACAATGCAAATAGACAATCAATTGGAATGGCAGACAATAATGATTTTGGTAACGCTTCATTGGGTTGGCGAGGTGGGTGGAGATGACAGTTACGCACCAATTACTTCTAGTTGCACTCTCATCTAGAAAGCATTCCACCTGATGTGAGTAAAAAATTCAACAAAGTTCCCATGCCAGGGCAAATAATCTGATATAAACACCTTTTGAGTCGTCCAATAATTGCAGATATTAGCACATTAATAAGCGCTATTACAATCACAGCCCACCTGAAATGGTCTGTCATAAATAGGAAAAACATTTATATTTATGGCAAAAATAAACTATGTCACAAGCCGACCGACAAGTATTTACATCGAGTAATAAACGCCCTCGACAAGAGTTCTGATTGAGTTCGACATAGCACATGCAAATCACAATTAAGAAATTTTTATTGCCATTGCTATTTTATTTTTATGGCTATAATGACTTTTCATTGCCTTCATAAAGCGACTTTTAATTGATTGCCGCGCAGAGTTGCCGAATCAATTATTCACCATTTTAACAATTGATTGAGCGTTCTGGGCAGGGAATTTATTTATGGATATTGTCGGAGGCGGTTTATATTTGAATTGGTTCGTTTTGTACTTCGTCCTTTGTTCTGCGCCTGTCAGTTGTCGTTAATTTCCCCCGGTAAAACTCACAGAGGTGTGAGCCAGACAAAAGGGCAAAAGGCTAAGAGCATTAAACATGTTTAGGCCAAGAATGGCTTTTAGGCCGGCTCATTTCTTACCTTATTCTCTGCCACGGACTTTGACAAAATGCGGTCCATAACATTTACAGGAAACAATGCGCATTCAGAATGTGTATGATAAATTCGAATCAATTCGTCAATGTAGGAATTTTGTTTAGGAACTTGGTTTTGCTCTGAAAGGAAATGGTTGCCCATATCAAACAATTGGTTCACCAGAAATCCCTTCCGATGGTTTCACCAAAACACAATTGCCAGTTGGCTTCTCACAAAACTACCTGATAAATCGCACTCGCATATGTTGACAGCAATACAAATTGCCTTAGCGAAACACACTTGGAATTCTTGGAAATATTTTCAATTAGCACTCGCCAGCAATATGGGGAGTTATTAAACATCACAAAGCTCTGTTAAATATGAGCAAATTATTCATAAATATTAATATATGTATTCAGTGTGCATCATTAATCATCGACAATGGCATTTCAAGACAATTTAGCATGAGATTATACCTTTCGTTTCTGAAAGAGTTATCGTTATTAAACACCCTCGCATGCCGCTCAGTTTTAATCTTTTTCTATAGTTTTTAAAGCGAACACTTATCATAAAAAACAGCATTTTAAAATAAAAATATGACCGTGTTAACTGCGCTTGTTTTGGATATAAAGGTGAGAAAATGTTTTGGTTCGTGTTTGGTTTGGGAAAAACCACATGTGATTTCCATTACTAATTTGTTTTCCCTCTAAACAATCAAGAACTTTTATTGATGTTATGAATGCGATTTTTAGTGCCCGTTTATTGTTTATATGGTGCAAAACGAAAACGAGAAAAAATGTGCATATCGTGATGGTTTTAGTGCTGAGTTGGCCTTTGGATCCGATATCGAAAATTTTTTTAGAAGCTGATTCTGGGGAAAACAAAACCACGTGATGTTTTTATTTTTACTTAATAACAACGAACTGTTTTTGGGTGAATCACATTAATTTTTGTAAAAGACCAAACAAATTCTTAATATACCAGGATTTGAAAAAAAATTGTGTAGTTCTGTTCTAAGTTTGCATTGAAGAATCGCTTTAATACTACTATTTGTTCCTCATAAAAAATAATTGATTGTTTATAACTTGGAAATTCAAAAAAAAATATTAATAAACTAAGATATTTAGCAGAATAGGAATATAAATATGCAACCAATTATTAAAGTACTTGTTTTTCTTAGAGTATTCTGGCATTCTGTCTAGGAGTGTAAGGCAATTTTCTTGTTTCGTTTCGTTTCTTTTGTTTGCTGGTGGTTTTTTCTCCTAGCCGCATTCCCTTTTCATTGCCCACTTCATCCTGGCCTGGCCCGGACTGAAACTCTAAGTCTGGGAATGGGACTGGGTAGGTTCTGCTCTCATTTTGCCTTTTTTCACGCTTATTATGTGTTGTTTGTGGCTTTTTGTTGTAGGTTTTATTTTGCACATATTTACTATAGGTTTGTGTATATATGTATTTCTTTTTGGTTTAAATGTTGTCAGACAGGATTTTCCACTTTAATGCAGTCGACGTCGCTGCTTTTTGGCGCGTTTTTGCCGCACAGCTCATCATGGATCATGCCCCTTTTTCCCGACCGCCTCCTCGGCACCCTTAAGTTCGGCCTGCGTGCACCGCGATGCCACAATCCTTCCTGCAGCTGCCGCCGCCGTGGCCACCATTCAGGTTAATGCAGTCTTTATTCATGCCATATTTCTAAGCGCATTATGCGCTGCGAGCCCTGCTCATAATATTAGCAAAAATTATGTTAATCCCTTTGGGTCGGGGGTAATCCTTTCTGCCCTTCCGAGCGGCCGAGCTTTACCAGCTCCGCTGCAAACGGAGGCGCGTTAAATTATTTTAATAGCCGCTTACAATTACCAGCGCCAACCCCCTCGGCTGAGCGTAATGTTTTTAATGTTTGACTGGCGTTTTAAACCGCGCCTTGCGGCCAAGTAGCCAGCCAAGTCGTAAAGTAGGACTGAAAACCGATGGGCCGTGATAGGTTCATGGGCAAAGCTAAAAATAAATACAATCGAAATATAGCTAATACGTCGTCTATTTCCTATTAATTTATTTTTAAAAAATGTATGAGGCAAAATGGTGGATTTACTGAAGTCTGTTACGTATTTAAATATTTTACTAAGTAAAAAGATCCGTAAATGTTTGTTGCCTGATTTATGTATTTACCAATTGCAATAGTTTTCCACGCTCTGTTTGAGTGCCTCCTCTATCTCTAATAGTTCCAGAAACATTTCAATAAAAACGTATTCAATTCCCAATTAACCCCAGATAGTGAGAGATCGCCACCCATTGTCCTTATCAGTTCTCAGAGGCACAAAGAAAAAATTGAAATTGATGCCCGACTACATGTGTTAATTTACACTTGCTTATGGAATGACATGCATAACCAGCTGCTCCATTAGGCGTTGCGTTCTCCATTCATAGATCGACTGGGGAAAATGCAAATTGAGGCGTTTAAAATCGCGCACGAATCGCGAGCTGCAATTAAACGGCGCCCCGAAACGCGTGCCCCGAGGAATCCGCCTCCCGATTGATTTTATGGCTGTATTTTATGCGAGCCATGTCTGGCATGGTATCGGCCCATATATGCATAGTTTGTGGCTAATGACTCCGCTCGGAGATCGGGAATCGGAGGAACCGCAGCGGCATGGATGCAAATGGGAGTCGGAGACGCCTTGTCCACTCATTAAGTGGTGTTGGTCAACCAGTTCCGAGGACAGAATGATGGATTGCCAGCCAGCCGAACAACTCGGCCCCCAATCGCTCATTCAGCCAGGCCATTCATTCATCCATTCCATATTCCATTCGGGCCTGTCGACGTTTGTTGTATCGTATCGAGCGGGCCAAAACCGAAACCGAAACCTGATTGCGGTAAAAGGCCAAATTGGACCGTTCTCGTTGCCCTGGTCGATGCCTGGGGGCCAGCGTTAGTCATCGTCATTATCGGGCCTTATCCCGCCGTTGACCGAATTAAACTCTGGGATTGCGTGGAGCGGGAAAACCAGTTCCCAACTCCAAAAAGGCCAGGAGAAATTGCAACAGTCTAAACAATTAGACAGTCGGCCCAGGCTCGCGACTTCAACTTGTTGCCGCCGCGAACACAAAGTTTGTGTGGGAAAGTAAAAAGCGTCTAATTAAATACTTGGCTTGAGGAAAATACAAAGCAGAACTAACTCATACGAAGCTGAAATACTCTAAGTAGTTATTTAATTTAAAAATTGTATACGAAATTAAATTTCTGAAATTATAAATGTTTTGTTAGAAAAGGAAGTAATTGCGCTTATCAGTAAATTTCATTTTAATGTCATGAAATTACGTGACTCACTTAAATCACACATGCCACATATTAGCAAACTTTGATTGCCTCATATACGCAAAAGTTATCTAATCAGTGGTTTTTACGACTTTGTCATCTCAACTAAACAAATCTTGACTATGCTTGAAATCAACAGTTTTAGAATACAGCGTTTGCCACTAGAAATGAAAACCAATCGGGTTTACCCAGTGTACGTGACTTGTGTAAAGTTTATTTGAAAATTCCCACAATTAGTCGCCACTGAGTAAATATTAAGGGTTGTTGAACGTATTGTGTGTAACTTCCCTCCACATTTAGTCAATGTACCCGGTCTCAAAAGACAGGGAACACCAGGCAAACAACAATTAACATAAATTGCTTACGCGATGCGGCCCATTGAGTGCGGACAAGGGTTAAGGGGTCACAGTTGCCGCCCGTCAATCATTCGAGCAAACGAACTGGAGAGCTGTAGGGGTTTTCATACTCATTTCCACGGCTGCCAGTTGGCCGTTTGCCTCTTTTACCATACAGCTCCAGCGGAAACCTCAAAATGCACCTGTCGCAAGGCGGCGGTAGGTGTGATAAGCATCTCTTCACAACAAAAGATTTACACGCCGGAGCGGGACAAAGAGCTGAGTGCCGGTCACATGGACCACTCTCCGATTAGAGACACCCAGGCGGCAGGGATTCAAACGATCACACTTAACAAAAAATGCCTAACAGACGACAATTTTAAGATTAATTGGTTTGCAAGGTGAAACAAATTCTCAAACTTAATTTAGTTACTTAAACTTGTCAAAAAACAACTTTCCATCTAAGATTGCTAATCAAAATCTGTTCAGCTATGGGAAGCTAAGCATATTTTCTAGTTACTATGCCGAGAATTTGTTAGGCAAATAATCAAGTTTTCTTTTAACTACTTAATGATTGTTTAAAAATAGTTTGATTCAAAATACCTTTTTAAAAAACCTTCCTTAAGAAAATTAATTTTTCCCAGTGTACACATAGATTGACAGGAAACCACCAGGGAGGAGACCTTGAAGACCCCTAGGTAGGTTGTATTGCAAGCAAGTTAGGTAGTTGCCACAAGGGGCAACACCTTTATGTTGACATATCGAATTACCCAAGAAGCACCCTAGGAAGCTGCCAAGTGTTGGCCTAAAGTGCGGCTCCCAACTGGGTCACATTACCAACGTCAAACGATCGAAATCGAGCCTTACTTTCACTAACAAATCATACGGATGAGCTAAAAAAATCCGTAAAACGACGCTTCTCAACAGGATGAAATGTCTAATGAGGTATCATAAACGGGAGAATGGCACGATTTGCTTGAATCAGCCAATCGGATCAGCCCATAAAACTAGTTTTAAGTTATGATCAATAAAAAACCTTTTAAGTTGGCAGCGAGAACAATGACTCCTAGGGCAGATTTGCCGATGTTGCGTTTAAAGTTGGCAATTTTAACGATCGCAGCAGTTCCCTGGCCAAGCAAAACATACATAAAATGCAGCTCCTCTTACCTGTGGCTTGAAGTTTTTTACTTTAGCACACTCCACACGCAATTGCGATTGTGTTCACTTTGAGTACTGTCTACGTAATATTTGGACACTTCACCTTCTATTTATAGTTCGGGCCAAGTGTTTCGAATTAGATGATAAACCCGGTAATTGGTTGTACAATCGCGATCGATTAAGAGCTTCCTCTGTGAACTGACTAACAGCAGACAGGTTCGACCGATCCGAGGGAGTTCAATAAAATTGGAGCCGACGAAAAAGGCGGCGATAAGCCGGCGACTCCAACGCACTGCAGTAAATTAATGAAGGGCCCGGACCCGGTAAATAACTCTATTGGATCCCACGAACGTCCGATGTCTTCGCCTTCACCAACAAACCTTCGTAAGACTGCCCACGATACTATATGTTCAACAGTTTGTCATGCACTTTCCGAATTATTTATTATTAACGTGGGCAAAACGTTTCATTTGCAAGGCGATCTATTACTTGGATTTCCGAACTTTTGGCGCACTTTTTCCATGTGGGGTGTATATTTCACTTATTATTGAGTATAGGCATTGCACAGTAGTTTTTTACACTATTAAAGTTGGTTTCCGAATGAACTCGCGACCACTCCGTTCAGTTCGAAATTAAAAACAAACAGACCCGAAATCCACGCGCGTCCGAACAGCTGGCGATTATTTTTTGAAAAACCCAACAACAAAATGCGGGTGTTGCTTATATACGTTGTTTGTCAGTGTGCCCGTGGCGCAAAATGTAAAAATGCTCAGAAATTTGATGAGAGTTTTGTTTGTAAGGGGTAAGGCAGCATTAAATACACTAAGCGACATAACTATTTGACGAGTGCAAATAATCACCACTAACTTTTTATATTATTTTTATATATATACATATTTGTATTTTTCCAAGCGCTCCCCGATTCGTGTGCAGCGGTGTGTTGATAACAGAACTCTGTTAACCACATAGGTCGGCTTGCTTGCGTTTACATAAATGTACCAGGCTTGAAGCTAGCTCAAAAATAACGGTATATATTTTTTAAAGCATGTTCAAATAGATCAGAATCTGATATAAGTTTTTGGATCGGGAAGTACACGTTTCCACATTTCCAACCAAGACCAAAATCTTGTAGTCAGAAACCCCTAATCGATTTATCCAAAATAAAATACACTTCATTGGTTTAGTTTATATGTATGTTTATTGTAAAGGTGGATTATATTTTTCAAAAATATATTAAGACTATGGTTTGTGGGTTGATTGATAAGCAAAGAGAACGCGTTAAATGGTTCTCAGGTCTAAAATTGCTTTTTGAGGGTATTATTACATTGTATCGGGTAAAAGAAAGGTCATGCAAATGAAGTGGTAGTGGGCTATAATCGGGGTTTAGATTTTACGCCCTTCTAGTCAAAACATGGAAAACAAAAACGCACACGCGACAAATCGCCACATTTCGGAGGCAACAACACCAATGAAGACGAAAGAGTTGGGTAAAGTATTTTAAGTAAATTAAAAACTAATAAACGCAAATTAAAAGATAAGTTAAAATAGATGTGGCAATCGAACATACCACTGAGAGACGAGACAGAGGGAGACTGGATCGGATCTGAGCGGATCAGGCCAAGGACCACTATCCACTATCCAGCGTTGGGCGCGAGTCAACGTTGGATGATGCACAGCAAATCCGTGAAATGATAACGACAGGGGCGCGAAGGCCTCGAAATACGCGGTTCCCTGGGTGAGCTAGTGTCTGGGGTGCGATCCAAAAAATTGCAACAACACGTGTGAGCCTGTCCAAGCGAATCCTAATCCCGACCGTAAGGCCGATGCGGATGCCGAGGAAAGGGCGAGGGCTCGAAGAGATGCGGCCGTGTCCGAAACTGTACGCTCTAGTCCTGTCCAAGGGCAACTGAAGTGTTCCTCCTCCTTCTCCACACATCCGTTAACCTGAACACGACAAAAGCTCACACACAAAATCCTTCAACAATGTGAAAATCCTGTCTCCTCCTCCGAGGTGCGAGTATGCCGTGGGACAATGCATCCCACGTTGTCCTAGCGAAGGGCTCAGAACAATCCTAAATCCAAATCCATTCCTGATTACCATCTCATAAACATACTCATATTTATAAGATCTAAGGACATGTCCTGCCTCCAATTGCCTAAAATCAATCCAAATTTATGCAATCCACTCCAAAATCAACATGAAAATATCCTCCTCCTCCTCCTCCATTAATCCTCATCCTCCTTATCCTCCAAATCACTCTCCAAACATAAACGCGCAAAATGGGGAAGAGAAGAAAATAAAAATAAAAGTATTAATAGTTTGTTTATCAATGTGGTTGACATTGCGTTTTGTGTTCGGGTTTCTGCTCTTTTCATTCTCTCATTATAGACATTTATTCTGTATCGATGTTTCTTGTTTCGTTAAGGTAGATTCTAATAAATTATGCTTGGTGAATTTGCAGCCAAAATATAGTTTATAATATAATTTTAGTGTGCAGGGGCAGAGCAAAGGCTCAAATTAATACAACAGCAAATCAAGGAATGCCCAAGTTGTAGCCAAAAAAAAATTCCCTGGTTTAAAGTTGTCATTTTTGAACTGTTTTTGTCAAATTATGCCCGATGAGTTAAAATTTAAGAGAACCTTTCTGCTTCTCAGAACTTGTGATACAGGTGGAAAAGCAAGTGGTTTTAAAATTAGTTGGCTTCGGTGAGAGTTTTCGAACTTGAATGATCAAACTTGATTAACTGGCTGATGGTTTGGGCAGTCAATTTACAAAGTGACATGTATGCGGGGTCTTGAACAATTATTGAATGGGCTTCTTAATTTATCTTGCTTTTCCTAATAATTCCTGCTCGTAGAAATATAGATTAATGGATAATGCTTGGTAGTGTTTAATAGTTAGAGCGAGAGCGAGACCTGGAATAAGATTGACGTCGCACTGGGGAGTAGGTGGGTGTGCCCCGACGACGCGGTCTCGACGAGAATGAGCGTGAGCGCGATCTGCAGGGGGAATCAATGAATTTAAATTGGACAATGCTCTGTAGTATTATTTAATTTACCTGTCGCGGTAGTCACGGCCTCCGCCTCCGCCGCCGCCACCTCCTCCGCTGCCACCGCCGCCACCACGGTCGTTGTCACCGCTATCTTCGCGCACCCGAATGTAGGCAACTTCGCCCTGAGAACAATAGTAACGATTAGTGTTATCTGTCAAATCAAGCACTACATTTAACAAGTGCAAAATATATGTATATATTATGGAACGAAAACCCTATCAAATTATTCCAGACGGTAAATAATGTATGCCGACAAAACAAATGCAAAGATAACTTGCCTGTTTGGAAAACCGAATATATTTGAATTCTAAAAATGAATATCAAGGTTTAACCCACCTCATGCGAACGGAAGCGCGAGTCGTCCAGCTTTTTGATAGCGTACTTCATGTCCTCGTGACGTAGGAACTCTACCACTCCAGACCCATCCTTGTAGGTGTCGGCGAAGCAGACGTCGCCAGCTTCGCGCATGTGATCCTTGAGATCCTGCCACGACCCGGAGGCGGGCAATCCTGTGACCATTACTCGGTACTGCGAGCGCTTGGCCGGCGGTCCACGACCACCCATGCGACCGCCGCCGTCGCGGCTGCGGTCGTTGCGGTTACCGCCGCGATAACTGCCTGGGCCTCCGCCTCGCGGGAACTCCACGCGCAGGCGGTACCCATCATAGTCGTATCCATCGCGTGCCTTCACCGCATCATCGGCATCGCTGTTTTGTCAACGATCGCAAAGGAGGCAGGCGTAAAAGACGAACCCGAGGGAAGAGAAGAGATAGGCTCCAATTAGTTGGGTGTCTCCATCAGCCAGGCAAATGGATTGTGTGTATTCGCATTACTCACCGCGCATCTTCGAACTCAACAAAAGCAAATGGCGGCCCACGCCGATTCTTTAGGTCCACAAACGTAACTTTGCCAAACTTGTGGAACAGATCCTGAATGTCCTTAGTGCGGATATCTGGGGGAAGATTGCCCACGTAGATGCGGCACTCGTTGCGTGAACCCATTTTTTCCAGTTTAATCAGACGTTCTAATTTGCCCTGCTCGCTGAAATTCTCGTTCGATTTTCACAGAACTTTTTCTGTCACACTCACAGAGACAAATGGCCGACGCAGTATGACCGTCTCCGCGGTTTCGATACAAACTCTATATTTATCGACAGGGCTGAAACGTCGTCAGAGATGGAAGTTGGTAAAAAAGGTATTTGTAACCCAAAACTAGGTAGCTTGGTAATACGACGTTCTTACTGTGTTAAAACGCATATTAATATATTGATTAAGACTATGTTTTGAGTTTTGACCATATTTTAACCAGAATCCATTTCAGAGGAAATTGAAATTTTTTGTGGAAGCAAGCTTGAAAATGTATTATTATAGAAGTAGTTAATACAGCACAGCAAAGCCACAAGTAAATTAATAATTCAAATATGGTTTTGCGGACACATATACTGTCTCGATAGTCATTAATCCGATACTTAGTTGCGGTATCGGCATTCACACCGAGGTTGGCTGCATTGCATGTACCATCACTAGCAGTGAGCGTCGCTCAGAAGAAAAAAACAACAAATATTTGCATGTGCAATAAACCAAACATAAATAGCAGTTTGCCAATTGTAGAGCTTCGGAAAAATGGCTACGGCCGGGAGTAACGTCCGCTGCATCAACTACTACGACCTGTGCCGCATCTGCACGGACAGCAGCGACACCAAAACGAACATTTTTTCGCCCGAGGGACGCGCCAAGAACCTGAGTCAAAAGATCCTCGAGTGTCTCTCGTTGCAGGTCGTGATTCCACCTAAATAACCATAAATTTTCGTTAAAAGAACTTTCCTTTTTTCAGATCGATGAAAAGGACCGCCTCCCCAAGGTTGTTTGCGCCCAGTGTGTGCAGCAGGTGGAGCAGACTTACGGACTTCGCGCCACTTGCCGCAATTCCCAGACGATGTTGAGCAATTGCCTCAACATCCGTCCGGCGCCGAGTAGCGACAAGCTGTATATCCGGGATGCAGTTGACGAGTCCGGAAAAAGCCTCAGTGTGGCACAGGCGGCGCCAGCAGCTTCTGGTCCAGCTCAGCAGTCCGGAAATCTCTTAAACACCATCATCCAGGCGGTGGGAATTCAACCCCAGCAGCAGTACACTATTACAGTTGACAACGGACTTCAGCATCAGCAGCACCAAGTTCCGTCTGAAGTGCAAATTAAAAGCGAGAGGCAAACGTAAGTGGTAAACCCCTCCATTTAAGCCTTCTTCTTAAACCTCTTTCTTTTCTTTTACACCAGTGCTTTGGAGGAGTTTATTCGTCTCAAGCCAGACATCAAGATAACGCCACTTGGCAAAAAGGAACCCATTTCACCCGCTAAACCTCAGCAGCCAACTCCTCTGCAGCCACAACCGGTTACATCCACCCAATTGCAGTTGCAGCCACAGCTGGGCGAGCAACTTCAGCCTCTTTGGCAGCAGATTCAGCAACTTCAGTTGCAGCAACAGCTACAGCAACTCACCAGTCAACTGCAGGCGACTACTCAGTATTCCTCCGCACAGGAAGATGCAGCAAATCCCGGCGAGAGCAAAAAGCCTAAATTAAATTTTGTCATTTCCTCACCGTCGGCCCCACAATTTACCTCCTCGCTACAGCAATTCGGGGCAAGTCAGCCGCAGATTCAACTGCAGCTGATGCCGGGAGGAGGTGGAGTAGCCAGTGCAGGAGGAACGCCAGCCCAGACACCGTTTAATGCCGCTGCACTGCTCTCTAGTCTGGCGGCTCCGCAGTCTACTCCCAATCTGCTCTCACCTAACAAGTGTTTCCTGCCCATCACTATTCGAGACGATAACTCAGAGATAGTGGCGCATATAGACACCAAGAATCTAGTCCTGCCCACCACCTACCAAGTACAGATGAAGCTGCAGCCTCAGCTGGCGACCGCCGATGGTCAACCCATTATGCAGCTTACGCCCACCTCGATTCCGGCCACTCTGCAGCTGACACCGCAGACGCTAAGCAATCCGGCTGGCAGCTTCCAAAGTACGGCTCCTGCTGTGGCCCAAAACCAGTTTTTGGCGCCACAGCCTCCGCCCCCTCAGCCAACCCAACAGCAACAACAGCTTACACAATTGCCCAACACGGCGCAAGTGACCTCTCAGCAAATCATCAGATCTCCGCAAACCAACACCACTAACCCGCAGTTGGTGATAAGGAATGTGACTAATATACCGACGACTCCCACTACGCCGACGAGCAACAAGGATGCGGCAAACTTCAAGACCCCGTCACCAAGGCAAAAGCAAATACCGTCGCCAAAGAGCAAACCTACGGGGGGTCTCCCTCCGGGCCAGCCAATACCACAGCAATAACTCAGCGGCTAGTGAACCCGGTGAAACAGCAACAGAAGGTTGCCAGTATGAACCCGGCGGCTCCGCAGTCAACGACTTCGGCTAATCAGGCTGCCATGCAGCGGCTATCCTCGAATACAACCATAACAAAGGTGGCAAAACAGCCCGTTCCAGCGCCAGTGCAAGCTCCGGCTCCAACACCTAATCCCGCCAAGCTGCCCATGCTAAACAAACAGAATATTACCATCAGTCGAATTTCAATGCAGACAGCGCCCAAACCGCAAGCTAGGCCTCCAGCGCCTGCGCCTGCTGCTGCTCCGGCTTCTGCTCCTCAGCCTATTCCGCTGGCAATCCCAGCGCTCAACCAAGCCCAGCCGCCGCCTCTAGCTGCTCAGCATAAAAAAGTTGTGCGCAAGCCATCCGAAAATCAGGAGACTCAAGGGCAGAAAGCGAAACCAGCGCGACCACCGCAGCAGATACTGCCAAATCAGGAAGGGAATGCGACGAATAATTCTACCGAAGGGCAATCATCTGGTCCCTCCCTCACATGCCCCACCTGTAAGCGGGAGTTTAAGAAGAAAGAGCATCTCACCCAGCACGTTAAGCTGCATGCTGGCTTGCGACCCTTTAAGTGCTCGGAGGAGGGCTGTGACAAGACCTTCAGCCGCAAAGAGCACCTGTCGCGACACCTGATCTCTCACTCGGGCCAAAAGATGTACACATGCGAGGTCTGCAGGAAGCCCTTCTCTCGGAAAGACAACCTCAACAAGCACAAGCGGTAAGTGTTTTGCGTTGTTTACAACATGTACAACATGATGTAGATCATTCCTATTTTCTTTTAAAATAACAACATATTCTTTCCCAACAGCATTCACACGCAACCGGCAAACGAAATGCTTTACTGCTGCGATGTGTGCAATAAGAATTTTGCCACAAAACAGCACTACGAGAAGCATAGAGAAATGCATAAAAAGACGCGGCCGGAGAGTGCGGCTCCGCCTGCAGCTGTTCCACCTGTGGCCACTCCAGCACCTGCTCAAGTTCGCAGCAATGGTCAGGTTCCAAATAAGGTGAGTGGTTGATGCGTCTCAAACTTGCCACTTCTAACTGTTTGCAAATTCTTTTCAAAGGGTGTTTATGAAATCAAACAACGTGCTACTCAGCAGCAACCGCAGCAAGCTCAAACACAGTCGCAGCCTGCGCAGATCATGCATGTGGTGACCACGCAAGATCTGGCCGGGAATACAATAACGATTACCCAAGCACCCGACTCCAATATGCCCGCATCTCTGGCCAACTTCGTGCAGCTGGGATTCCCTCAGTTCCAGAATCCCAGCGCACCAGCCGCCAAGTAATTAGTCTGTAAGTTTGAGAAGTAGACTTTCTGATTTACTCCACCTTACCTCGTGTCCTAGTCCGCGGTCTATTCCAGCTTCTGACCGCCAGTTCCTTATTGTTTTTAATTTGTGTTTAGTTTACTGCTTACTTCTTTGTGCAATATTATTTATACAACATTTGAAGCGTGTTTTCATGTTTCACTTATCTCCTTAATTTATTTGAGAGTTATTTCGTTTTTTATTTAGTGAGTCCATGAAAAGTGTGTGTAAAGTTTCCTATTGTAAGGCATTGTAAATATCTGTGTATCTATGTATGTACAAGCTGAAAACATTTAATGGTAAAATACCTTTTTTGGGTGAAGAAAATGATTCCATTGCAAAAATAAATATAATGTGTAATTTATGGCAAATAGTGTAATGTGTATTTCATTAGGTATTGCATTGGAGCCTTCATGTTTGTGGCGCTATAAAGCAGATGGCAGGCGGGCAGGCCCCAATGTTTATGTTTACATTTTTGGTAAGGCTCTCTTCGCTGAAAGTATGAATACAATGCGGTTAATCCAGTGGCCGATCTGAAAGATTTCGGGAAGAGCTCGTAATTTAATCATACCATGCAAACAAAGGAAAACATATGCAAGCACGTTTTCCGCCGGTTTTCCAATTCAAATTTATTAGCATTAAAGAAAACCAATTCCGATGAATTTTTGTGTTTACGCATTTAATTGAGGAAAATGCACTGGTCAAGGCAATTTTTAATACTTGGCGTGGCGTGTATTTGTATTACATGAAAAACTTACAACTACGTTCGAAATTTAGATGGAAGACATTAGCAGGCACAGAAATTCAACGTGTATAATACAAAAAATTCTTTGGCCTAACAATTAACGAGTACTAGCAACTACAAACGAATAAACAAAGGGCAACTGCGATAAAAAGCAATTGCAGAGCTCTACTAACGTCACAGGGTAGTTTGTAAAAAGCACAGGTGTGAAACATGGGGACCGATACCCAAATAAGTGACAAATATTTCCGTGAAAAAATGATTTGTCAAAGCAGTGCTGATCAAAATTTGATGTTATTAGTAAGAAAAGTTTTGGAAAAACTGCTAAAAAGCGCCAATTATACCTAAATAGCGAGTAATTTTGAAATTCAAATAAATAAGATCGGCAAGCTTAATGTATAATCACTTAAGTTTATCATAAAATCTTGATCTGTTTGCTAATTAGAGAAGGCATTGTTTAATACTGATTGATATAAGAGTAAGGATCTGAGCTTAACAAAGCGGAACGAACGAAGGAGGAGTGAAAGCATGGCGGTACTACAGCAAACCAAATGGAGATGGGGTGCCAAATTCAACAAACTAATTAGAACTACAGGTGAGGGGATTAAGGTCGTGCAGTGTTCAAACTAAAAGTGCCCCTTCACCAAACTCAAATTGAAGCGATTGAAGAATGCAACTACCTTGCGCCGACTACCTTGGGGATCTTTGGGAGCTTGAAATCAGTTGTAGGCCAGGGAAAACTGATTGACCTTCTGGACATCGCCCCACACCTGAACCGCCTGGATGTCGGATAAGGAGAATAGGGTCTCGTACTCGGTTATGAAATTGTGGCCTGTATCCCTGCCCTGGTACACCCGCATCATGGAGTTTGAGTAGTCGAAGGCAAATTCAAGGCAAAACGAGGTCTCTGTGGATGAAAGTTGGAGTTCCTCTTCAATCTCGTTCATTATGCGGGCAAAGCTCTGAGTCATATTGGGGTTCTTATCGCTAACGCCGGATGTACCGTCAAAGATGTTCAGGTACTTCTCTTGATGCAGACTGCTCCACTCGCCATTCCGCTTGTAGTTCTCGATGATCGTTTGCGTTGGTATCACCACTTTAAAGTGGTATGTGATGTTGTCCGTGCAGTCTATGCTGTTGACAAAGTTAACCGAGAATCTGTGGGAATTAAAAAAAGAAATAACATTCAATACATCTATTGTTAAAATCCCACCTACGTGTTAATAATGTTAAGAGTGTGCCACAAAATGTAAGCTTTTAAGGGTATCAGCCAAATATTCAAACCGAGTTCTGAGTAAGTTGTTAAATATTCATTTATCAAGCGTATTCGAATTGTCTAATGATTTTTGTCAACAAATAAAACAATTTAATTTACACATACATACATATAACGGGACGAATGCATTTATTTATCAAGAGATCAAAAAAACAAAAAGTGAACTGGTTTTATAAAAAAAGTTTGATTTTTAAAAACCTGAAATCAAATAAATAAATTTAAGCCAAAAAGCCATTGCCCTTAAAAACATATGAATGTAAATATTAAAATAACTATATGCGTTTTACGATCGTTGCTACCATTTAACTATTAAACTGCATTATGAAATATATTTGGCAGCTTTTATGGGTAATAAAATTCCATGTTTACATGAATTCATTTAAAAAACTATAAATCGCTTGAAATTTATTTTTGGTTGCTATGCTTTTTTAAAAGCGCCATAATTCATCACATACTTGTGTTAATGACGCTGTGATTTGTATGTTTGACCCCACTGAGTGCTTAGTCATCATATTTGTTTGTCTGGCACATGGTGGAATGGCCAGTTTTTTTGGATTCCGGAGCTCCCATAAGTCGTGAGTAGGCGCAGAAACGTGCCAAGCATTTAAGGAACTCTATTGGAATTTTTGACGACCGCCCATCATTTTTTTCACCGTAATTTACCCTTACTCACCACAGGCTTAAACCTTATCCTGTTATTTACTACTGCAAAGTATTGCAAGTACCTTGTAGATAAGGAGCTTTAAATGGCACATATCAGAGGCAATCTTTACTACCTTATCGATCTGAAGAACAGATAAGAGGAACAAGGTTTTCATTATCGCATGTTAAGTTAGACAGTGAGGAACCCGGACTCCTGAGTGATGTAACTGCTGGCTCTGATTTATGGATCTCATTAAACTGTTCTTAAGCTGATTAACAAACCTTCCACCTACAGGACCCATAATTTATATTCTTCTTCGCCTCGCTTTCATCTTTAGCATTTGTTACGGCTTTTGTTGTTTTCTTCGTAGACCGGCATCTTCAGCGCGTGTCTGATTTGATTTTATTCTGGTGATGTCATGGATGATGGAATTGATACAGTAAAACCAGACAGACTAAGACATATATTTTAAAAGCCAAAGCTATCTTTATAGCCTGCTGTTATCGCTCTATCGCTCTAATAGCTCAATAATTCATAATTTGTTTGTGAAAATTCCCAAATTAAAAAAAAGAACACAGGAACTGTATCATAAGTTTTTAAAATTGTGTAGCCCATTTGTATGCATCATGTGTGCGCCATAAATTGTTCGTGACTTGGTAGCAACATTTTCTAATCGGGTCAAAAACGTTAAACCTTTTTTGGACGCTTGAAATTCTGCACGCAAAGGCCATTTTCTGCACCTTATTTTTCCAGGAAGCGGCTAATCGATTTTCCTTAAGTTCTTAAAAAACCAGGTAGCTTAAGGGACTTACTGCTGGGGATCCTGGGGCAGGCTGCCGCTAATCGAAAGCCTTGTAACTTGGTCCGATGCATTTGCATTGGTGGGTAGAACGGCCCGGAACTTAACATCAGGCATCTTCAGGCTGTTTTCAATTTATTTCGCTTTGTATCGGTTTATTTTTAGCCGGGTATGTAATTGCAAATTATATCCGGTGTTACAGCGTTAAAAACTTTGCTGTGGCTGTTGCCAACGGTAACAACAACTCTATTAACCGGCGGAGTAGTTAGCACTTGGCCGACTTGGGCAATACTGTTGGGGGTTCACACAAGAACGTGGCTATTTTAAGGGAAGTCGAAGGGGATTTAAACCGAAGACGTCACGGGAAAAGTACTTTCGAGTACATATTTGTTCAGCTTTTATTGATAAACCGCACAGCCCTGTATCGTTCGCTATCGCGCGTTATGAAAAACTGAGGAGAAATTATTTTTGGGAGCCGGAGAGTCGAATCGCAGCTGAGTGATCCCCCACACCTGTTAGTAAGCAAAATTCGGACCCCAAAACAAAGAGAATTGGGAGCAGCTCTCTCTCAATCGCGGTGTTACCATGCCTGTAGCTTACTTTTTTGAAAATGGCGGGTAGTCGATAATTGTGTAACAGGTTTAGCCGAGGCGCGAGCCATATCTTACTAGGTGCAAGGAACACAGTATTTTTTAGTACAAAACAATGTGGAGAAAAGCCATTTAACCATCTGGCATCACCGCAGACAAACCAAATCAAAATCGCAGGCAAAGAACTCAGTTTAGTTAATTAAAATCAAGTCCAGCACACTTAAAAAGCAGCATAATGAAGACGTGGTACATGATTGCGGTGATCTGCTTCCTGGCGGCGTTGGCCCAAACGTCAATGGCCCTGAAAGAGGAGGACTGCGAAGGTATGTGGTTGGCCACGTAAGTGGTAAAGATGTTCTGGAGCAGATTTTCACCGGGCACCACTCTTCGTTTCCATAGTTTGTGTGAAGACGGTACGGAAATTCGCGGACTCGCTAGAAGATTCCACCAAGAAGGACTACAAACAAATCGAAACGCAATTCAAAAAGTTCTGCAAAACACAGAAGAATAAGGAACACAGATTCGTGAGTAGCCGGCAAACAAGTGCCTCCCCCGCTCCCCTCTCTCTTTGGGGCAGAAATGATACACGTATGCGTTCTTCCACGTAGTGCTACTACCTCGGAGGCCTGGAAGAATCCGCCACGGGAATCCTCAACGAACTGAGCAAACCCCTGAGTTGGTCCATGCCAGCTGAGAAGATTTGCGAGAAGCTGAAGAAGAAGGACGCGCAAATCTGCGATCTTCGCTATGGTAAATATAATATCAGGCAGAGAAGTGAAGAAAAGTATCTAGGAATTTGTGAATGAAATATAGTCGGAGTCTATACCTATGTACATATTAGTCAAAAAGTGAATACCTAAAAAAAAGTATATGTTGTTCAGTAAAGACTATTACTCTTTTAAAGTATTTTATAACTGGACAGAGTGGCGATCATCAGATATAGTAATGTGTACGAGTATTGCAATTTCATACAGAATGTCTTAGTTATAGATATAATTTTTCTTCGCTGCTATCTGTTTAAAATACCCCAAAAACATTTTCTCACCGATCTTGTCCTTTATAGAGAAACAAATCGATCTGAACAACGTGGACCTGAAGAAGCTAAAGGTGCGCGACCTGAAGAAGATCCTCAACGACTGGGACGAGAGCTGTGAAGGCTGTCTGGAGAAGGGCGACTTCATCAAGCGCATCGAGGAGCTGAAGCCGAAGTACTCGCACAACGAGCTGTAGAGCTCGACCTAGAGCTAGTTACTTGTGTAGTTACATGGAACACGCCCACTTAGCTAAAACAACAACCACATGAAACGCCCCCTACACATCCATATTTTTAGTTAATTTACAATTTTGATAGACTTTGAAAGAATTGAATATAACTATATATACCTAAAGAAAAACATATATTTTGAAATAAAAAACAAAACAACAAACACACAAGACCTCGTGCTCTCAAACGGTTGATAAATAAACAGTTTGATTTTATTTTCCACGTGTTAATCTTTTTCGGTTCATGATCTCCTCATTCACAATTACAAGTATTACGTACAAATTACAACATAAATTCACAAAATATCTGGATTAAAGTTTTATTTAAATGTTAAATACATAATTCCATTGCACTTACTGCCGCGGGCCGCGTAAATTCGATGTGAGCGAAGGGCTGGCGCGCCTCAACTAAATTACAATTATTAGTTAGCCATAATTACTAAAAACGAACATAAGAAGCTAGGATGAAGGTGTGTGGGGGTGAGAGTCTGCTTCTAGAATGCAAATGCTGATGAATAGTTATCCTGGGGATCCTTAGCGGCGGTACGGCTGTTTGTTGTAGCGCCCGCGCTCGTTCTCCTCTGACAGGTTGGCATATTCGCTGTAGACCACGCACCAACAGTAGGTGAGAACCGCTGAAATAGAAGAAAGAATTGATTAAATCAACTGCGCAGAAAAGTAGGCTAGAATTTCATGTTCTACAAACGGATCTTCTGTTTTCGTATAAAGTCATGTAAAAAATTAATCAAAAATGATAGACTACCTTATTATCTGTTCTATTTTAACAACAGTATACAGTATCAAGTAATCTATTACGTAATTAGAGTAAATAGATTAAATAAAACTGTATTTATTAATCTTACTTATACAATACCAGTCAATGATTTGATTAGCAGGAAACTATAAATTTATTTCTAAAGAATATCTGCATTTTTGAAAGCTCTTAAGACTTATATTTTTTGCAGCTTTAAACACACATATTTGTGGGCTTTAATAATTTAAGTTAACTTTCACTGAAAAAGTTGGTAGTTGAAAAATTTATTTAATTATTATTATCTGTAATGCTTTTCTGTTATACGTTTTTAAAATTACAGTACTGATCGTACTGTTAAAAAGAATAATTGAAATAACAATGGATAATGGCATTGTATGGGTCAACAGCTATTATTAAAGTTTCAATACAACTTCTGTAGCTTAAAGCATTATTACCTACTTTGACTAATAATAATCTTCGTTTGGCTAAAAAGGCTTAAGAATAATTGCAGATTACCCCTTCCCGTTTTACAAAGTGTTGCCAAAACTTGGCAGTTGTACAAATGGCTAAAGCCAGCCACTTCGCGCCTCATTTGTTTGCACTTCCCCATTAGATTTCCCCTCCAAAAACTCCTTGCCTGGGGCGCCGGCACTTCTGCTTTCAGCGCACGGGCAACTATGGCATGATAAATGCGCTTATAAATTAAAAACGGCCCGCAATAACCGCCATCCGGTGCTAAAAACCGCACAAGGAGAAGTTGCGATGCCCCTCGATTTGCACCTCCCATGGAGGAGTGCACTTACCGCAACAAATTAGGCCGAAGATCAGAAAGAGGACGCCAGTCAGCACATATTCGTCGATGAAGAGCACAACGGCCGTGTAGATGACCGAGATCAGCAGACCGATGGCAATCATGATGCCCAGAACCACCCAGGGAACCATTAGATAGTGATTGCGCTGCAATAAACTCAGGTTGTAAGCTGGCCACAAAAGACTTTAAGCAACGACATACCTTAAGAACTCCCACAATCATCAGCAGTGATATCAAAATAGTCATGATCAAGTTAAGAACGAGTATTATCCTTACGACTTCGCTGGAGATAGAGACAAACAGGATCGTCCTAAAAGCCACTTTTGTCGTAAAGATAAGCACGATGGTAATAATCGACAGGACGATCGCCAGGATGCCCGAAATAACGGAGCCATTTCGTGTCGACTGACACAGGCAGCAGGAGTTAAGCAGCGGCTTAGGCATTTTGACAGCAATATATTATCTGGAAAAAAATACAGAACATGTATGTCATTTTAATGATTTCTTAAAATTTTGAATTATACAGTAAACATTGTGTCAATATAACATGTTCCAATATATTTATTATATATTTAATTATTGAAATTTTGTTTACCAATTGTAGTTTTCTATATATGGAAACATTTGAATTTATGTGCAATCAGACAAAATTAAATTTTTTTTTTACTTCATTGTTATTATTTATTTATCAGCGTCAATATTTTTCTAATCTTTGGATGGAAAAAATTTTTTTTTTCCCAAAGGAAGTACATATGCTTTATCAGCAGCTTGCATTTTTGGAACGTGACAAATTTCTGGTCAAAGATACGCTCGTTTGTTCATTAAATTGAAAGAAGTGTTATTTGTTTATGGTTTCACAACAATCAAATGTTTTACGCTTTAACTAGACGATCATTTGTATGGCATTTTAATTTCCCCACCTTGACCACCAAGGCAGTTGCAAAATGAAAGACAAACAAGCCGAACAAAAAGATTCCACAATTTAACCAGCTGTGACGTCAAACAACCGACCAGAAATGTTTATGAAAAAAATTGCTTTAAAAATAGAAGGAACGAAGAAAACAATAGACGGAAAGCGTAAAATCAACGAGCGAACGTAAGATTTATATTTAGAGAAGCTCTAAAATAAATCAACGAATCGAGTGACTAACCGACCGTGTTTTATCTGCAGGGAAGTTAGCTGGAAATGGCTGTAGATCGCCGTCACTGCAGTTCGGGAAAGTTGATATCATCCGCGCCTGCGCACACGACTGGCCAAACAAGTACCCGTATCCATGCATATATCTGTGCATCTATGGGTTGCAACCATTCCAAAGGCGCCACCATTGGCATTGTCATTAAATTAATCAAACGCTTAACGTGCTTCGGTCCGGGCTGCGGATTGATGTGGCGCATGTCGGCACTTGCAAATGCCGCTGCATCTGTTTTGCATCCATTCGATGCAGGCACTTTGTCCGTGAGATATATCTTATGTGAACAAGTGCCTTGCGGCGGTCTTGATGAGATAATCACACGCCAAAATGTCTTGTCTTACATGGAAACACTTTGAGTCATTATCGAACGACTGCGCGGATTGCCTGGGAAATGCCTTTGGCACACAGCTTAAGTTCGGCCAGCAGATACAGATACAAATACGGGCGGTATTTGTAAAACCCATTTCCGCTGAGTTCACACCTCACGCAGAAAGCAAAACTCTACAAACAGCGAAGAAACGCGAAGAATCTGGCCAACAGAAGTGCTACACAAATTGCGCAATTATCAGAGGCGTCGGCGAAGGGAGCGTGCCGTCTCAAAGCCCAAAGATCACATCGCATTCTGCGCGGTAAGGCAGCTCGAAACTATTTAGGTTTCGTCACCAGCTGGCAGACTGATAAACCGGACATGTGGCGCATTAACAGGCCGTTTTTCACGCGTTTCGCACGGGTTTCAGCTCAGGCGATCTGTTTATAAATGGTAAGTATTTCGATTGGCCACAGACGCCAGAAGCATTTGTTTGGCCTCTCTAACTTTGCCATCTTGGGTTACTCTTTCTGAAGCTACGCGATACGTTTTGACCTGGTTGGGAAAACAAAGTAAAGACACTCGAGATCTCGACGAGCAATTAGGGTCAGAGGAGACTGCGTAATACGAGGGGAATACAGACTCCCTACAAAGGCGATCAGCCCACTCGAATGTTTAATGGCGTTAATATTCGCATGAACTCATCTAATGCTGACGTTGACTTCCGCTCGCCGCGCATAAAGTGGAATTACTATATAGGCGTGATCCACAGATCGCGGAGTCAAGTTCAAGCCGAGGCGTGGGCGACTCTTTCCGAGGAATTCGTTTTGCCACTTGTCGTAGGTTTTGAGTTGGAAAGTGCTGGCGGCTTGACAAGTGCAACTGGACGCGGTTGCCATTGCACTCAGTGGGTTGATGGAGTTTCTTTGGCTCTCAAGTGTGGCGGAGTGGGAGTAAATGAGTGCTTGGATGCAGCCAAATGTGAAAGGTAAAGCTTGTCAACAAGAAAATGCAAAGCACTTTCCAAAACCTGCATTTCTGTGGTAAGATATGTCATGGAATAAATCAAAATTATATAAAGTTGTCTAAAAGTAAAAGGGTTAAGTTGGAAAGGAAGCAATTTAACTTAGTCAAGGGGAACTAATAAAATATTTATGACTATGTATTACTCGTGTACATTTTTATAGAACTAAACAGTCACACAAATTTACAAATACATTAAAGCACGAACAGTACAAAGAGTTGGGAAATGCATATTAAATATTTTATGAAAACAATGCAAGTTCAATTTAAATGCTCTAATAACTGCTGCATTGCTCTCCAATTAAATTTCAATTTCAATAACACAAGTTTTCATTTATCGTAAGCCATTAATCAACTGGCTGACCCATTTGTCTAGGCTAGCGATGTGAAAATATTGTCCATATAAATCATGTCAATTGCTTTTGGCTATATGCTCATGGAAAATTCGTTCAATCCACGAGCAAAGTCTAGCTGGCAATTGTGATTTTCGTGTGCACTCAGCGCGTGTCCAGCTTTTGTATCTGAAAACAACGATATTGTTTTTGGCATTTATCTGATGTTGTGGGCCGCAAGCCGGGACAATTACTCTTTGGCTTTGCTGTTGTTGTTCGAACTTGTGTGACCCCTAATCCCCTGATCCCCGCCAAGCTATTCAACAATTAGTTTGCGCTTCAACGCTTAATTAAGTTTGACATTTTTCTGCGCTACTTTTTGCGCCTCACACAAAAGATATCGAAGAGACAAAGCGTTCTCAATCTGCGATGTGGCTGAAAATTGCTCAATCTCCGACAGAAAGTGGGAGCCCGTTTGAGTGGCCAAGTCGGGTTTTTTTTTTTGGCCTATTGGTAACCGGTAGAAATCGTTCTACCAAATTTGACAGGTCCAAAGCACGCGGCATTTTTGGCTTTTATTTATTTATTCGATTTCTGGTATTCCAGCTCCCACTTGACGCTTTTTGTCTTCGATTTTTTGTCAAATTGCCTTTTTGCTCGGCATCGGGCTTTCAATCACTCGACTTGCCATATAAATCAATTAAAACCGTTGCAGCTGCAAACTCAATTGCAGCCTTTGAAGTTGCCTTTTGCCGACGAAGGCAGTTGCAAGATTTTGTAATTACTGGTGGCAGCGGCGCCTTTCATTGCGAGATAAAAAAGTGCGCATCCACGAGATACTTTTCGATTGGGCTCCAAGTTCTGTTAACGCTTTTCAGGGTCGGGGAGGCGGTGACATTGAACGCGTTCAAAAGCACACTTTTCGAGGATCTTTCAGATTTTCGGCTTTTATTTTCGTTGCCAAACGAAAGTTAACTCATAAAGAGATCGCCCATCAAAATGATTCATTTATAAGGCGGACGAATAGAAAACGAAAAACACGAAATGCTTATAAATAGCTCGCAAGGTCGAGAGCATTTAGTTTGGGAGATCTACAAATCTAGAAAATCAACAAAGCTACCTTAGAACGTTAGAACGTTTGCTGTGGACGTTTTGGAAGAGCAATCACAATCTCTAGACATGGCCACCTGGGTTCAAGTGGGCTTCTAGCCCTCACTTTTCAGCACCTGTTGACCAGCTTTTCGGCGCCACTGTGCCATTTTATTTGGCGTAGGTGTGCGAACGCCTTCGTTTATTCTGTCAGAATCTGTTTTTGTGTGGCATGTTTTTTTTGTCATATATATTTCGGCGTTATCTTTTGCCTTGTAAACTGAGCAACCTTCACATTGTTCGTTGTTCACTGGTTCTTAATGGATGCGCGTCACTGAACTTTGGCAAGCGGGATCGTCTTCAAGACCGTTTATTTCCCCTATTAATTACTTCCCAAGAGGAGTGGCCACTTTGAATTGAGTGCTCGACTCCTCCATTTGGGTTCGAATGTGATTTTTATGGTTCGCAGCCGAGGAGAATTTTCAAAATGTGGCTCATATAAAACGTATGCCAGTCGCATTACGTATACGCCCCCGTATATGACTCCCGTTTTGATGGCCTACATATCCCTAAACCCGTAACCTGTTCAACTTGAGATTTCCCAAAAAAAGCGAAGGAAGGCTTGCAGGTTGTCGGCGATCGCAGACTTTCAATGTCAGTTTGCCAATCTGACATCACCCAGTGCATCGCCTATATAGAGCGCAATGATCGCTGCAAACAGACTGTATTGGTTTTGTTTTCATTCTGCCATATTTTAACAGCCAATTAGGTCAGCGATCACGAAGGCAAACAAACAGTGGCATTATTTTCCAATTATTTATATGCTGCGGTTTTTGCAGGCGCTCAGAAAAGTCGCCGTCTGAAGTTCAGCGATCATTTGAATATTGAATTTTTCGCTGGCTCGCCAGCAGCGACAGCTATATGAAATTGAATATATTTTGTATAAATAAGCACACACAACCGCAAGGCAGACGAGCAAGCGCGCTTTGAGTCGGGGGACTGGCTGTAGATAGGTCTCCGGCTACTGGGGCCACCTACTGCTCCTCCCTGCCAATCTTCCCCTCCTCCTTCGCTGCCCGTTGCCCATCGCCCGTCTCCCGCTCCCCGAGAAACACTTCTGCTTCTGTTCGACCACTTATATGCATATCCACCTCCGGGGGCCGGCTGCTCGCCTGTTATTTCAATTTCGAGGCGATCGTTTATCACTCGATTTGCATGCGACGGCGATCGATTGATCTCCCGATTCGCCCCATCGACTGCCAACCGCCTGCATTTCTCCGCTGATAATGTCAGCCTCTTGGCAGCCAGCCAAAAACACTTACACTTTCTTCTAATATTATTTTATTTATTTGTTTTTTGGCTCGACACCGGGTACTGCTCTGTACGCAGACAGGGAAATCGATTTGATTCGGCCTCGCAATTAATAAGTAGTTGATATTTTTGTTTCCCAGTGCGATGTGCGATTCGGTTTTGAGGCGATTTCGATCCGACTTGCGCGCGATTTCGATGTGAGTGCGGCGGGTTTCACGAAGCGACTGAAAACGCGGGCTGCTGGCGACTAGAGAAACGGCCAGCGATCGCGATTTTGCTCTCATCTTGCGAGCGTTTGTTGACTTTTCCGCTCGTTCTGGCTGGCTGACAAAGTTCTCAAACTTAAACGCTGTTTTTAGTAAAGACAGCGACAGCGACAGCTTTTGCGTGGAAGGCGAGGAGCTTTCTCCGGAGAGCAGATAGAAACCAGTTAGGCGATCGGACTGCCTTCGCTGCTCCGCTGTTCCGGCATGAAGTTATCAAAACACTTGGTCAAACAATGGTGGGGCGATCGACTACAGTGCTCGGCACTAGCCAAGCCAAACAAATCAGTGGACGTTCTCATTACCTGGGCTCGACATCCGCGTCTCCCGGGTTGGAGCACCTCAAGATGCTAGCCTATAGATACCTCGGCACGCCATGGCCCCATCTGCCTTTTTTGGCCATGGATCGGCTACTGCACTGGACCAAAATACAACCGAAAAGGGGCATAATTCGGTAAGCTTTTAATTAAACACTATTTAAAGAGTGCATATCCTGCCTTTAAAAAATATTAAGTGGCCTTTTCAAACTATTTAATCACCGCATATTTACTCAACATCTTTCATTTCTGCATTTGATGACCAAAATAAAGGCATCTTTCTTTGTTATGTGAATAAGTCAAAAATGAATGTGTTAAATAAAATTCGTCTATAAGTCTGTTCCAAGAAGTGTTTACTGTTTTTAAATCTGGAGTGGGTTAAAAGATTTAAGCAAAATTGATCAACAAAGTTAAAATCACGAGCAATAAAAATTAAAATTTAAAACTGCTTTTCCTGTAAAATGAAATGCATAAAAAAATAGGTTTATCTCAGTGTGTTTGCCGGCCGTTACAGGCCAAGTTTTTGGCCATCCCATCTGTAAAAGGTAAACGCTAGTATCCAACTTATTGGCATCTAGGCGAGAGTTTTGTGGGCCAGTCCGTGGCGTGCAGCTACTTTCATATTTATCGAATCATGTCAGGTAACCTTTCCTTATTTTTTTTTATTTCGATCTGTCTCTCATTGTATGCAAATTTCTTCAGCAAACGGTTTGCATTACAAAGCTGGCTAAGGCAAGCCTAATTCGGTCAGTGAGGCTGGATCCAACGACCTATTAATACTCGAGGAAGTGCGATTTAAAGTTTATATTTAACATTCTAACCTATTTAACCTATACTTAATGTTGAGTAGCCGAATATCAATCTTTATAACTCTCTCTTCGGCAACCATTTATAAAAGGTTTTCTAGGTTAATATCGGCACCAATCGACTGTCATTTGTGTGCCATAATCTATATATATATATATTCGTCGAAATTAATAATACATAATCGAGACTCCATCATGGTTTTTTTTGGCGGCTGCATATTATGTTTTATTTGAAAATTTATATATATACATTACAGTAAATAATTTAGTCAGGTAGGTGGAGAAATAAGAGTACTTAATTAACGTACAGCAGCACTGCAAATAAAAAAGAACGAAAACTGGAACCGTATCGCAATTAAAGTCGAAGTCCTTGGGGTGGCACCTATTGCTATTGCTTTGTTGCGTGCTGTACAGCCCGGTAATGGTAATATCTATGCGTAGTTGTAGCGTTGAAATGTATACAATTCTCGAGTGTGTTGCCTTTGCTTCATGTACAATAAAACCACATGGTCAACTATCCTAGGTCCTGGGGCGAATCGGGGTCTTGGCCGACGAACGACTGACTATATGCCTAACCTTCCGAGATTTGCATGCGGAATCCGGATTCTAGCAAGTTTAGGGGACTACTATTTGCTTGTCCCGGCAGCGGCAGCCTCCTCTTTCTTTTTCTGCTTCTCCCGCATTAGTTCGGCATCCCTGTAAGTTAAAGAATACATGATTTGGGGGATTCTAAATGGTACAGGGATACACGAACCTGGCCTTCCTCTGTTCAACGGTAAGGTTATCGGTGCGCTTTCCCTTTGTAAGATCCGCCTGCTTCTTCTGGTTCTTCTGGCGGGCCAGATCGCGTTGGTTTCCACCTACGAAAATGTATTAGTTTTAATTAGTTAATACGTGTCACCTGGTTAGTGGCGCGTGCTAGTTGATCTACATAATCTGAGGTTAGAGGCGCTCACATGTCCTACGACCGCCAATCGATTTTGCCTACTCTATGGCCACAAAACCCAAGGATGACCTTTGGAGCGGATTTCGGAGCACTTAACAATATTCCCAAAGTCCCAAGACAGGTTCACATTGGCGGTCATTAACCATTTCCTTGTTATTCCGATGAATAGATAACATTCCGCATATTTAATGCACTGCGGACCGACAACAAAATGGCTCCATGATGCCCGTACTTACGTGTCATTTTAAAGGCTGGTTCTAGGTTCTGAACAGAAAGTAGCTAAAATTTAGTTTCAATTTTGTTCAGACACTTGTGAATTTCAGCAGCTGGGCGCTGTAAGTTTTTAGTTTGAATAAATTATGTTTCTTTCTGGACAGACAAACTTGATTTGTTTTTATTCGATGTGTCAAAAGTGGTGAAATATCTCTAGCGCGTTTGGCATCGAAACACCCTAACGCGAGGTTTTAATGGGCAGCACTGGCAAACTCGAAATGAGCAAAATGGAATTTTTAAAACAGAGGGATTTTTACGCGGCTTTTTTATTTTTAACATTTCTTAGTAATTAAGAAGAAAAAAAGTTTGTTTCAATACAGTTTCTATGCAAGATATTCAATTTAAATACTTGATCTTATCGGTTTTATATGAAGCATTCTTCTGATCGTCTTTGGATCGCAGTGGAACGGTAGCGTGATTCTAGATCTTCGAAAATAGATCTGCACGTCATGTCCTCATACTCCTTTCTTAAAACCCACACTTCTAAGGTGCTAAGAATAACAAACTTTGTGTGGGCGCACTAAATTAGAGGCGAAAATAAAATTAAATTTATACACCGTAATCGATAATTTACGATTCCTTTTACCTCTTTAGGAAGGTTTTTGTTCCAAAGTCCAATCGCTGACAAATAAGCTTTAATTAGCATTCGCCACATCCAGTACATATGCGCATCGCCTAATTTTGGTATCGGGGGTACGATTACATTAGCAATTGAATCTGTCTTATTGCTGGAATCCCCCATAATCGTAGATTTTACCGACCTTAACAAATTTTGAAGAGACTGAAAAACAAAACCGAAAACCATAAAGAATGAAATATAAAAGACTTCTTAGTTTAACTTCTAACCTAATATCGAAAGGTTTAATGTAAATAACAATAGTATTATAGCAATTGTAAATTTCTTTAAAATGATATTAATCTTGGCCCAACCTATATTCCACGAAGAGATAACTTACCATTTGCACAGAATAATTTTCCCTACATTCATAATTCGTCACCCAAAGAATAAAACCTTGAAGTGAATTAAAAACAACCGAAGAGGATCCCACAAATAAAAGAGTCTGCCGTTCACAAGATATTTTGTGTAGTTTAATAATTAATCTGCGGATATACAATAACATTAACACTTAAATGCGCGGTAGATGCTTCTCTCCGGGGAATCTCGTCGGAGGCTAATACTAGGGCTAGGAGCAGATGCGGATGCAGGTGCGGATAATGGAGGCGTCTGATGGGCGGAATGGGGCGGACGAGTGCGGAAGTGGGAGTGAAGGTGGAGTTGGGGTTGTAGGCGGGACTACCTGCGCAGACAGGGCTCGCAAGTTCCCGGCAGGACGAACGATGGATGGCACTCCGGGCACTTGGGGTTCTCGCCGAACCACTTGGCTCGCTGCTCGGGTATCTTCAGCTGGAAGGAGTTGTACAGATCTCCGCTGCTGGCACCAGATACCCCCGCTCCTCCCGCCACTCCTGCTCCTCCGCCGGGACCGTAACCCGTTCGCCCGATGGTTTCCAGTGGAAAGGCGTACTCCGGAATGAGCAGCTGCTTCCGCAGGTGGCTGATATCCGTGGAGCTGGCTGGCACCACATCGGATCGCCGCTGAGCTTGATCCTTTTCCAGCTGCTCCTCCTCCTTGGCCTTGATGGATCTCGAGATGGCCAGTCGATGGCTGGTGCTCGATTGCTGGACCGGCTTCTTCTGATGGCTTCCAATATCGTTAAGCCGCGTGTTGAAGACATCTTGCTTGCCGGTCACTCCGTAGTCCCCGGTGGTCTCCGGGTACTCCCTTCCATCCACGCCAATTGGTGGGTCCAACTTGGGTGGCTCAAGGCCGTTGGAGGGCACCTTCCACTCGTAGTAGATGGGTGGTCCCTGGGTGGTGGCTATATCATGCGGCACAAAGTCCACGAACGGCGGCAGCAAATCGTTGAAGGGCATCTGTGCCGCGGGTGGTGGAGGGGCCGTCGTGCTAGTGGGCGTGGCCAGGCGGAAACTTTGTGCCGGAGCCGGGGTTCGATTATCGCTACGTGGCGGTACTCCCACTGTGGTCACCGTGGTTGGTTGTGTGGCGAAGGAGAAGGGCACGCCGGCCACGGTCGTCGGACGACTCAGTGGCCTCGGTGTGGTGGTGGTGCTAGGTTCCGATCGAACCGGACTAAAAGGAGCCGCCGTGGAGGTGCGCAGGGTGGAGGATACTCCTGCGTTCTGGGTCTGCGGCTCCTCCAGGTTATAAATGGGATACACAAAAGGTGGTTCGTATATCTTCGATGGTGGTTTGACGAACTTCGTCAACTTGGTGCTAGATGGTTTCCTGATTGGCGACTCCGCTGAATTGAAATCCGCAGAGGTGTTGTACCGAGTGCTGTGACTCGTTCCCAGATCATCTGAATCCTGATCCAAAGCCTGGAAAATGGGTCTTCGGTTGAGCAAGGCCTCTGTTCGCCTGGTGGTAATCGTGGGCCTCCTGGTGGTGGTGGTTGTGGTGGTGGTGGTAGCACGAGTAGTGGTTGTCGGTCTAGTTGTGGTTGTTGCTCGAGAGGTGGTGCTTATCCTGGGCTTTGGAGTGCTACTGGGCAGCTCGATTTGTGGTTCATAAGCTGGTGGCAGAATCGTTCGACTGGGAGGAGGAATCCGCCAGCGCGTCTGCGTTGACTGGGGATCAAATTTGCCGGATCCAACACCCTTTAAGGAATCATCGCGTATCTGATTCTGATTGGAAGTAAGCTGCTGCAAAGAGTATGCCAAAGAAATAGGTTAATATTTTCAACTATTAATAGTGAAATTTTACTTATACCACCTTGTATTGGCTTCTAAAGGACTCGCCGGAATAGTCAGGGGCATAAGGACGATCCAGAAGATCTGGTCTGGGAGTACGCAAGCTATTTTCCTCATCGTTTACAAAAGGTTTGTCCCGTTGACCTGTAAGGATAACATATTTAATAAGCCGTGATCCTATCTCTTTTTCTGTAACACGAATACAAACCAATTAGGAGATTGGCGGCGTAGTTGCTCTCCGCCTTGGAGCAGTTGACCATGTACCAGTGGTCGCAGATGAGCATTCGCTGTTGGAAGAGTGTGGTGTTTGGACATGTGTAGCTGAACTGGCGACCCAAACCATCGCACATGTGATACACCTGGCAGCCCGTCTCCACATCCGCATAGTAACCAGCAGGACGACCGGAGCAGGAGAAGGATGTCTTCTGCATCAGAGGCGAGGCAGGATTCGTTGCTTGGATGGCATTTTGAGCCTGGAGAGGAAAGCCAAAAAAAAAGTCTCATTTGGGTAATGATTCTTTACTTTACAATCTTAAAGTGATGTATTAATTACCGTTTACCCCAAAGAAAGCATTGCTAAGTTTTTGATTGAGATTAAACAATACTCATTTGGCATTGAAATCTTAGCCCTGAGATTAAATGCAATGTGTATCTAATAAGCATTTCGTTCTTGATATTCAAGTTTCTAGGTTTGACTGTTTAATCAGCATTCTTTACTCAAGAATGTTTCATAGCGGTATGCTAAATGCCAAAGTTAAAAGTGTCTTCTGTTGCTCTTCATAAAATATGCATATAAAAATTAATTCGATTTCATTAATTAAGAACGTTACTTCCAACTCAAAGAATTTCTTAGCATATTTTTTTATAAATTCATTAATCATTAATTTTATTAGATTTTTATTGATTGAGATTGCTGCCCAGTGGCGACTTATATAAGGGACCAACAAAGGGGGCTTTGGATGTCAGAGATTCATGATTTCATAGATTGCTTGGAGTGCTGGGAAAATCTTTTTCACGGACTTGACGGAAGCTTCTGCACATGTTCGCACATACTACGAGCAGATCCAGTGGCAGATTTCGATAAGTCATTGGGCTATAATTTGCAACTGCCGACGTGAAATTTTTTCTTATAATTAAACACGGCATAGAGAAACCACAATTTCCACAAAAAAAACTACCGACTAAAAATAAAGTTGACATTTCACACAGCAGCACAGGTCGACTGTTGCAAGAAGCCGTGGCACCATGTGCCAAGTTATGACATCGCGTCAATTCATCACTTTTGGGCCCAAGACAGGGCAGCTTCCAACCTGCGGCCCCCAGTCCCAACTCCCAAATGTGCAGCTTGCCACTTGTTGCATCCACACATGCTGGGCACGAGTACTCGCTGATATTGATCTCTGCGTCATTTGTTTCGCTGGTCCTTAAGTCTTGTGCCTGAGAAAGGTGGCCAATTACAGATTATGCATGCACTTATCTCGTTGGTAAATCTCACAAATGCGAGTTCCTTTCACTTAGACAAAGTAAACAATCTCTTCATTAAACACCTGATTAAATAATGTACGACAATAGAATAAATGTCCATAAATAAATTACTTTCTGATTAAATTCAAAGAAGTTATTTGTAGGCACTTTACCAAATGGAAAGGATTTTTATCAGTTACTTATTGTTGTTCATTAGTATATTTGATAAGTATGAATGTATATAAAATAATATGAAGGCACCTTATAAAATTGAAAGCAATTTTATTTTATTATTCATTAGTATTTAATTTGTAACAGGCTGGGTATTAAGTATGTATATTAACTTATATTATTGATATCATTATTTTATATTAATCGATTATATTGTAAGCGTTGGTCACACTTCTGATCTCTCGAGAGAGGATGTGCTCTCTCGAGAGAGTAAGAAGTTAAGCATAAACGGGGGTTGAAAGCTAGCTGCCTGCGAGCAGCGAGTTAGTTCGTATCGAAAGTTAAAAGAGAACACAATAAAGAAGATCCTGATACAATCTCAGAAGTGGGATACGGAAAAAAAAAAAGAAAATATTTAAAGACTAAAAGTTCAAATTTAAATTTATAAAAACAAAATAAAATGGATTTGCAAATGAATGATGTGTCGGTGGCTCAGTTAAAGAGGTGGCTAGTACTCCTAAATTTGCCAACAACCGGATCCAAGGCGGAACTTTTTTCACGAGCGGTTGCTATTTCTCCGGAAAACCGAGACGAAGTTTCCCAAGCGATCCAGGAGGAAGAAGAAATACTGGACATGGAGTCAATTAATTCGGAAGACGAAAGCTTGGAGCAGCAAAATCTAGTGCAGCTAGCTAGTGATCTGGAAACTATGGAAGGAGTGCGCCTGGAAATTGAGAAGGCGCAGAATTTTCTAGAAGCTTTACGGCGGCAGATCGACGGCGCCAGAACCAACGGTTCGTCGAATTTGGGCAGCAAGATCGAGCGAAATACCGAGAAAAGCAGCGTTTCCAAGAATTTCAAGAACGGGCAAGAACGAAAGGCGCAGACGAACAGCGACAAGAGTGAGCGAGATGGAGAGAGAAGCAACGGTGCGGCGAGAAGTGGCGTGAATGAACAACAACTTAGCGATGAAGAGGTCGGCGCCAGCAACGTTGTCTGCAGCAGTGTTGTGCAGGAAAATTCCGGTGAACTTGTGGCGAAATTCTCAAATGGTGATGGCAATTTTTCGTCGGCTGGTTTTAATCTGGCCAAAGAAATGCTGATCGAGTTTGCTGACAACATGCCGGTTCGATCCTGGATCTCCCAATGGGACAACATAACATCGTTATATAATTTGGCGGACGCACAGAGAAGAGCAGACTAGCCAGAGAGGTCAACATGGAGGACGACGAGCTCGTGGATGGACTTGTCGTGGGCATTCCAACGGCTAATTTGCGTACTCAGGCGAAGCTGCAGTGTTTCGAAAATTCTGGAAGAATGCTGAGAGCGTTTGCGGACATAATGCTGCCAAGGAAAATTACTGGAACCAACAGGATGCGGACAACGAAGACTGATCTGGTGAGCAAGGAGACGCGCTGCTACAACTGCAACGGAAAAGGGCATTGGGCCAGGGAGTGCGCTAAACCGCAACGGACGCCAGGAACTTGTTATGGATGTGGCTCTGCCGATCACCTGATCAACGGATGTCCGAAGAACAAGAATCGAGATGTCAACAAATATGTAAGACTGTTTAAAATTTTTTGTTTTGAAAATCCTAATCAGCCAATTATTACGGAATGCTTAATAGATTCAGGTAGCCCAATATCTCTCATAAAAATTTCGTTTGTGCCGAAAAATATTAAATTAGAACCTCAAAAAGAAACTTATGTTGGGATAAACAAAAGTGAATTAAAAAGTTTTGGAAAAATATTATGTTTTATATGGAAAAGAGAAATAAGAATTTTTTTTAACCTAATTGTTGTGGCTAATGAATCTATGGGCAGTAATATTGTGCTGGGCAGAGACTTTATGGAAGCCTGCGATTTAAAAATTAATTTAGAAACGCTAAAGATGATTACGGTTGAGAGTATTGATACCCAAGACGATAACAAAATTAATTCAATCGATGAGGTGCCTTACAATGGGAAAGATTTGAAACACCTACAGTTAGAAAATGAAATGTTAGAAAGTGAAATTTTAGGACAAGAAAGTTTAGGTAATGAAATTTTAGGAAAGGAAATGTTAGAAAGTGAAATTTTAGGACAAGAAAGTTTAGGTAATGAAATTTTAGGAAAGGAAATGTTAGAAAGTGAAATTTTAGGACAAGAAAAGTCAGATAGGAAATCTGCTGGAGAGGATATGTTAGAAACTTTAGGAGAAAAAATTTTAGGAAGTGAAAGGTTAGAAAAAGAGAAGTTAGGAAATTCAAGTTTAGAAGGACAACCCTTACAGGAAGAAACTGTAGGCAAAACGGTACAGACTTATGAAAATTTTGAAAGACAAATTATGGAAATAAATATTTTTGATGATTTAGATAAAGAAAGATCATATAATATTGGTGAAACAGTTAGCCATACTGATCAAAAGAAGTTAATTGAACTAGTGGAAACAAATTATGTTCAGGCGAAGCGACCTGAAGTTCCGAAAATAAGATGTGAAATGAATATAGTTTTAGAAAATTCTAAGCCATTTAGTTGCTCACCTAGAAGACTGTCTTATAGTGAAAAAGAGGCGTTAAGGAAAATGTTAGACGAATACATTAGGGATGGCATTATTCAAACTAGTAGATCGGAGTACGCATCTCCGATTGTATTAGTGAAAAAGAAATCAGGAGATCTTAGATTATGCATAGATTTCAGACGTTTAAATAAGATTATGGCCAAAGATAACTATCCTATACCTTTAATTGATGACCTTTTAGATAAGTTAGTGGGAAAATCAATATTTACGAAATTAGATTTGAAGAATGGCTATTTCCATGTGTTTGTTAATCAAGAATCAGTAAAATACACATCGTTTACTACGCCATTGGGCCAATTTGAGTTTTTACGTATGCCAATGGGTCTTAAAACATCTCCACAAGTATTTCAGAGATTTGTAAATGACATATTTTCAGACATGATTAGACAGGATAAAGTCATTGTATATATGGACGACATTTTAGTTGCAAGTAGAAATGTAAAAGAACACTTAGAAATATTAGCAGAAGTATTTAAGAGATTAGTGGAAAACAAGTTAGAACTTAGGATGGATAAATGCAAATTTTTACAAGACAAGGTGAAATATTTAGGGTTTGTGATTTCATTTGATGGAATAAAAGCTGATGATAGGGGCTTAGAAGCAATACAAAATTTTCCGATTCCCAATAAAGTACAAGCAGTTCAAAGTTTTTTAGGGTTATGTTCTTATTTCCGTCGATTTATTAAGGACTTTTCGATCATAGCTAAGCCGTTATATGATTTATTGAAAAAGGATAGGGTATTTAAGTTTGAAGAGGAAGAGTTAAATTGTTTTGAGAGTTTGAAAATTAAATTAATGGAAGCGCCAGTTTTGGCTATTTACGACCACAGAGATGACATTGAGTTGCACTGCGATGCAAGTGCGTTAGGGTTTGGAGCAGTACTTCTGCAAAGGAAGGCAGACAGTAAGTTGCATCCGATTTTTTACTTTTCGAAGAGGTCAACAACAACAGAAGCAAAATATCACAGTTTTGAGTTGGAAACTTTAGCCATCATTTACGCTTTGAGAAGGTTTAGGATATATTTGCAGGGCAAGCGATTTCAAATTGTTACGGATTGTAACTCTCTCACTTTGACATTAAATAAGATTGACTTGAATCCTAGAATAGCGAGGTGGGCTCTTGAGCTTCAGGAATTTGATTACGTTTTGAAACATAGAGCAGGGAAGCAAATGCAACATGTAGATGCACTTAGTCGGTGTAACAACATAATGGTCATAGAAGCGAACACGTTTGAAACTAATTTAATAATTTGCCAGTCAAAAGATGTTAAGGTCGAAGAAATTAGGAAAATTTTAGAGAATAGTGAACATAAGTGGTTTGAAATGAGGAATGGGGTAATATATAGAAAAAGTAATGACAACAGACTTTTATTTTATGTACCAAATCGTATGGAAGAACATGTGCTTTACAAGTATCATGACGAGTTAGGTCACATTGGAAGGGACAAAATGTTAGAAGCTATTAGCAAAAGTTACTGGTTTCCAAACATGAAGGACAAAGTTTCAGAACATATTCAAAATTGTTTAAAGTGTATAGCTTATTCCCCGAAAGTGGGCAAAGGAGATGGACATTTGCACAGTATTCCGAAAGGGAACAAGCCTTTCGAAATTATTCACATCGATCATTATGGGCCCGTGGACAATAGTAGATCAAAGAAACATATATTAGCTGTTGTAGATGCGTTCACAAAATTTGTTAGGCTGTATACGACCAAAACAACGAATTCTAAGGAAGCAGTAAATGCATTGGCCGATTATTTTCGAGCATACAGTAGACCTAAATGTGTGATTTCAGATCGTGGAAGTTGCTTTACGTCAGCAGAGTTTGAAAAGTTTATGGAGGAAAATAATATTAAACACATCAAAATTGCGACGGGGTCGCCTCAGGCAAACGGCCAAGTTGAGCGAATTAATAGAAACTTAGGTCCGATGATAGCAAAATTGACGGAACCGGAAAAGGGTTTACATTGGGATAAGATCATTGAAAGAGTAGAATATTCAATGAATAACACAATTCATAGTAGCATAAAACAGAGGCCTAGTGAAATTTTATTTGGTATAACTCAGAGAGGAGAAGTTTGTGATGAATTAAGGGAAAGATTAGAAGAGGATAGTAATGAAGTAAATGTTAGGAAAACGTTAGAAGATATTAGAAAAGAAGCTGAAGAAAGCCAGTTACAGTCGCAATTAAGAAATGAAGCATACTATAATGCAAAAAAGAAAACTGCAACGGAATTTAGAGAAGGTGATTATGTAGTAGTTAAAAATTTTGATAGTACGGCAGGGGTCGCGAGAAAACTTATTCCCAAAACTAAAGGGCCTTATTGCATTGAGAAGGTTCTGAAGAATGACAGATATTTACTCAAAGATATCGAAGGGTTTCAGTTATCTCGGAATCCATACAAAGGCGTGTGGAGTGCTAATAATATTCGGCATTGGATAAAATAGAAAATTAAAAACTGAGAAAAAATTGTAAATATAATAGTCTTTAAGAAAACCAATAGTATAAATCCTAATCTTAACTGTTTATATTGTAAGATAATCATGTCAGAGATAGTGGGATATCTCAATGTCAGGACGGCCGAGTTGTAACAGGCTGGGTATTAAGTATGTATATTAACTTATATTATTGATATCATTATTTTATATTAATCGATTATATTGTAAGCGTTGGTCACACTTCTGATCTCTCGAGAGAGGATGTGCTCTCTCGAGAGAGTAAGAAGTTAAGCATAAACGGGGGTTGAAAGCTAGCTGCCTGCGAGCAGCGAGTTAGTTCGTATCGAAAGTTAAAAGAGAACACAATAAAGAAGATCCTGATACAAATTTTTTAAAGATATTTTCGAAAATCAATTGTTGACCGAATATAACATTAAATTTCGTTTAGGGAAAAATGTAATTGTTTGTCGATCTTGCATTTGCATAACCAAAAAGTCAAATCTAGTTGTCATTTAACAGAACAAATGGCAAACAGATTCACCTACGCCCTTTGGGAAATATAAAGCTCATATCTGATTACCATTTAATTGAGCTAATGGCAAAAAAGTATTCATTACTTTGGGCTTTGCTTCATAGATCTAAGTTGCAGATAAAATTTGTGTGAACTTCCCAATAGTTTTTGCGTAGGTCTGTCAAGGTTGTATTTTAATTAGAACACATAACTTTTCCATAACATTTCCCAGGAATTGTATATGATTTCATCTGCACTAAAGTCTACTGAAATAGTTTATTTAAACTAGCTGCTTATAAGGTCATGTGATTGTCTCCTACTAGAAGCTTGTAAAACTAAATTGATCTTCTCCTTATTCGGTGGGCTTCATGGGACAAACCAAAGGGGTTAAAAGGGGGTTAAACTGGAGTGCAATTATTCCTAATACGACAGGGAAGCACTTAAAAAAAGAAGATTGTGCAATCCGAAAGACACAAACCAAGGCCCATCTGAGGTTTCAATTTCACGAAACCGTTTGTGTTTCTTATTTCGGGTAATTTGCCATGATTTGAAACGCTCCTCAATTTCGTTTCGGACATATTTACGGGCCGCACTAAACACACATTCTGCGCCCAGTTGCCCACTCGTCCGTTACATAACAACCAAAGAGCCAAAGAGCCCAAGAGCCCCACAACCCCAGCTTCATTTTCCACTCGGGCTTCGTTTTAATTTCTTGTATGCAAATAGCGAAAACAATCAACACACTATTCTCCCCGCCGTTCGGTGTGTGTGCTTATAGTGTGTGTTCCATTTCTGCAAAAGTGTCAGACGAGCCGGAAAAAAAGGTCACTTGGTCAGCGGAGTCTTTTGTCTTTTAATATACCTCGAGACCTTTGCTCGACTCAAACGGAGCTGAAGCTCGAGCTGAATCATGTGTGCCGGCCTGTGTGTGAATTGTGTGTGGATATGGATGTGGATGCACTCGCGCCACACATAGAATAAATTAAAAATGAAACAAAGCGTAAAGAGCGCAAAATTACAACATTTTCCGCCGTTGCTCAAAAGTGTCTTGGGAAGCGATTCGGTGGCAAAGACGAACAAATCTTCGGTGGTGCAGGTACAGCCCTATCTTTAGAAAAAACTAACAAAATTAATTTTTCATAAATTTTCATTTAAATAAAAAATTAATTAAAGTTAAAAGCATAATGAACCAATGATTAAAAGCTATTTTAAAGGCATTTTGAGTAATGCGTTCACCACAGAAGCTACCTTATTGTTTAACTCATAAACACTTTTATCTCAAGTATTTTGCAATTCATTTGTCGTTAAATTTTACATAAAGTTTTACTCAGTTTTGCTGATTTTTAATAACCAATAAACAGCTAATTACAAATTTATTCTGGGTAAAATAGAAGTAACATTTTTATGTTTAAGGTTATATTTAAACAGAAAAGTTCAGAATATATAATGAGGAATATAAGAAATGAAGAGTACCTCTTCAAGTTCAAGTTGATATTTGCTTTTTAAATTATTACTATAATAAAATGTAGTATTTAAATTACAACTGATAACTTGTTTTCTTAACTATGCTGATCTGTGAATTGATTCTGCTGAAAATAGGTATGGGTTATTACTTATGGAAAACTTTCCCCACCCCCTTTCATCTGAAATTCCTGATTATTGAACCAGGGGTCACGTTTTCAATAACGATAATCACACTCCCAACGAATTATTAATTCTGGAGATGGTTTCATTGTTGTGGGGCAGGTGAAAATTAATGTAAAGTTAATTTATCTAAATACGCCGCTGAATGCTCACTTAGTGGGAGCTTCATTAGCATTGATCGTACAACGATCTTCAAGCTATTAATTATTGCAATCTTCGGAAGGAAGATAATAAGCACCTTTGGAGCTCAACAAATACGGCGTTTAAATATTTATACAATTCCGCGATTTGCATTTCAATGCTCTCTCACGTGCACAACAAACGTTGGAATTTCTTTAGAGTTCCCCAATCCCCAATCCCCAACCGTCAATCGCCGATTGCCAATCGAGCCTCCCGGCTAAGGGTAGATGTCAAAACTTACCTCACTGGCCAAAAATAAAGCTGAGCAGAACAAAGCCAGGGCCAAAAGTCGCGAATGCGTTGGGGTAATTTGCGCCAACATTTCGCCGATTGTTCTCCTTTGATCCAAAGTGGGGGAAAGTGGGGGATGGGTGGTGGTGTTCGGTCGATGGAGAGCTTAAAACTGAAAGTTATTAATAAGATATTGAATGGTCGACTCCGGGCACAATTGATGAGAAAGTGCAGGCAGGGAGGCCCTAAGTTGGCGCTAATTGCCTTACACAATAGCTCGCATCTTAACAACCATTTAATTCCATCCAGCCATAGCATAATAATTCCCTCGATGCCTCTTTTGTTGCTAATTTTTGCGTAACCGAAAATCTGTTTACCTAAGTAATAACTTTCCCAAAAATATCACCCCATAGGTGATCATAAGCAATAACAATGTGTTTTGTTGTCACCGCCAAATGAAGAGACTAATTTTCTTCGCTTCCAAGCCGCTTGCTCGATTCAACGCTTTCGTAATGAATTGTAATTTAAAAAACATTAACTTCTGCCGTTGGTGCCGCTTTATTGGCTGACAGAATTTGCAACGCCGTCGCCGTCGCCGTCGCCATCGCCATCGGCAGCTCTTCCCCTGCCTCGACCTCCACCTACAATTCAATTTGGCGACCTTGCCACTTGCCACTCCGCTCCTCGCGCAAACAGATTCTCAACTTGGACAACTAGTCACACCGATAAAACTGTCAATCGCAGATGCAAACAAAGCTCCAAAATGGAAACTGCACTTTATGACCGTTTATGGTATCCAAATTGGGCGAAATTGAGTTGTTCGGCACAGGTTCTTCGATTTATGAACATCCGCTGGGGTCAAGAGCGTTTTTTGTAGGTTTATTAATATAGCTTCAAACGTCAAAAATGGCGAAAAAGTTTTCTGCCTAGAACTAATTTGTCAAGTTCCAATAGGTCTCACTTCAAAACTTGACTCGCTGCGTTTTCAAAATTCGAAGACTTCACAGATTTTGATTTAATGTTGCTGATAATCACTAACAGCTTCATGACTGTTTTGACAAGCCAACAAAATCTGATAATGCCAAAGAGATATTGTTGAAAATTGAAAGATTGCTGTTAACTTTGCTACTTGAACTTGAGTTAAAGAATATTTTAAAGTTATTTAACTAATGTTTCTAAAGGTGTAACTTTTATATTATTTTTTCAAACGTGCCTAACATAACTTTTTTACTTTTGTTGTATTTTTGTTTTAACTTCGTTAAGACGTGATGGTAAAAAAGAAGCGAAGACTTAAGCGTTGTGTATTGATTACTTTCAATTTTCCACTCAAAAATGCATTCAAGAAAATAAATAATATAATAAAAAGAACATAAAATGTTTGTAATAGCCTATTAATCCACCAATTTAAAGAGCAATTTAATCACAATGAACGCGGTGTTTCCATTAGGATGTTATTGCGGCAGCTAAAACCCAAGTTAAGTTTACGTTTGCAAGTAATTGAAATGTTTTTAAAGGCCTAAAAGCCCGGCCATAAAACTGCAACCGTCGTAGTAAAATTTATTAGGTTAGCCAGTCCGAACATCATCGCGTAGAGCTTCAAAAGTTCAGTTGCCCAATAAAATCTCATATTTTCAGCTAACGAGATCATCTGTCTCAATGCTAACCGCAACATTTGTGGCAAGTTGTGGCCGGCAGCCATTCGAGCCAAGTGCGTGTGGCAGCAGCAGCAGTCGAGTGAAAAAAGGCAACGCGAACAATAACAAACTGGCATCTAGTTTGGCGGTTTTTCCTTGTCTTGACCTTTTTGACAACGGAAAATATTTACCGCTTTATCCTCCTCGGGTTGAACTCGTGATGCTGGCTGCAGTTTTATTTCTCGGTTGGTTTTTTCTTTCTTCTTTTTTTCGTTGGTTGGTAAGTTGCCTTGTGGCCAGCTAGGCGAAGCCTATTTGACATTTTTGCCAGCCATTTCCACTGAAAGAGCATTGCGAATCTAACTCGAAGATGCTCAAGAGCCGCAACGGCAAATAATAGCGGGCAAAGGCAAAAACAACAGCAGATCCAGCAACAATTATGCCAATTAGTTGGCATTACAGGTTGATTACGGCAGGGCCAACCCGAAGTTGGCCCAGCAATAGTTGGCATTTTTCTAATTGTTTTCGATTGGACCCCCGGCTGGATGGATGGATGCAGAGGAAGTTATTAAGATGCTAGCGAGATGCAACTCGATCTGAACGATTCCAACTATCCGGTTGGATCGGATTGGCGGGCTCACCTTCGCCCGCGTCGTTGACGGAGTCTTAAATTGTACAAACTAATTGTCGCCGTAGGTGGTGTGCTAAAATATATTCCATATGGTCGCGGACCTCTCTTCACACATCCGATCCGATGCGAGGTGATTCAGTGCGATGTGATCTTTGCAAAGATCAAATGTCAGAGACAGCGGCCAAGTTGCATCGAGAAAATCCACTGCAACTTGCAGCGTTTCGTAAACAAAGTCAAGATCACTCGCCAACCGCCGCGCCAAATTGGTTCGCATAAATTATTTGATGAGCTGTAGACATCGGCACACTCTAGCACATAATTTCACAGTCCTTTCGGATTGGAGCGCGCTTTATAATTTATTTTGTATCTTGTATCTGAGGGTTCGTTTCGCTTCCGCCGGATCAAAAACAACCGCTTCGCTCGAAGGCGCGATCTCAACTGAAGACTGCGAGTGCACCCAGCTCGGTTTAAGATTCACATTAGGCCGCCCGCTACAGCCAAAGTCGCGTCTACAGAAGAGCCAAGCCGAGCTTCGTCATCGTCATCGCCGCACAGTGGGCGACATCGACGCCCACGTGCGTGAGAGAAAATTCTGTTAATTTGTAAAGAAATCTATGCAAATACTTTCGAATGCGGTCAAATCGGCTTAAGAACTGGCAGTGATTATAAAATTAATTTGGCTTTACAACTCAATGCGACATATTCGCCACTGTGCCAAATCTTTTAAAGCCATATTTAAATAATCCTAAGAATTAAGTCAAGTAGTAGGATGGAATTTGGGTCGTTAGAAAACCATACAAAAATTTTGCCATTCCAGAGAGTTTTCTTAATCCACTGTGCCAAATCTTCTCGGCCAGTTAACGAAGTTCAGTCGGGTTTTTTAAAGTTTTTTTTAAGACCCAGCCAGCAAAGCGTTAACATTGCAGCTTCATTTTCATTTTCGGCTCCGACTTCAGCTTGATTCTCGGTTTCAATTTACCGTTAACAGCTTCGTTTTCATTTTCATTGCACGTTATTAGCATTTGCAATGCCACCGTTTAGGGAAACCCTTCACCCACTGGTGTTTATTTGTCTAATTTATTGGAACGTTTATGTTGCTCCGTGTAGTGGTTGTGGCACTTTGTTTGGCTGAGAGGATGCCGATGCAGGCAGAAGTGGGCTAAATAGAGCAATCGAGCGGGGCAAGAACTAAACTAAAAAAAAAGAAGGAGATCTAAGCCAGATTGGGCGGCAGATTGCGAAAGCATTTTCCCCATCTCAGATTCGCTGGATGGTTGGCTTTGGTCTTTTGGCGGCATCATAGTCAGATTTTCTGCCGGCTGGATTTTGTAAGCGAAGATTTTCATTTTCCATTTTCATCTTCGTTTTCGATTCAAGTCGTTTATCTACTCCCCAAAAGCCCTTTTGTCGTGAAGCCAAAAAGACGAGAACCGCCAACAGATTGAAGCACTCAGGTTTTCATCGCGTCGTGTGTTTCGCAGTTGCCTCATTGAGTTGCCAGGTTTCATATTCATTGGGCGTTGGGTTTCACCAATGTTATCCCCCCTTTTCTGTTTGTGTTTTTTTTGCCATTTTCATTTTCGTGACGGAGCTGGGAGGAAGTTGAAGTCGAAAGTTTCGATAGTGAATCGATGGTTTATTTATGTCGTATATTGTTTGTTGCTGTCAAAAATAAAGAAAAAAACACATTTATAACTCGGCGTATACATTGTAACCTGGAATTTAGTTGGTTATCCCCTAACTGGCTAACTGGGGGGTTGGCCTAAGTGGACTGGGCACTGGGCCCCATTTGGACTCCCGGCTCCTGCTCCTGATTCTTCATCGCCAGCGAGTGGTGCTGGAAGTCAGTCAAGATGCGGCTCTCGGGGATGTCCGTCTCCACGCGACTGCCCACAATGTCTATCTCGCTATCCTTATCAAAAAATATGTCAATAACAATACGCACGCCTAAGGGAGGGATAATTAGCACACTGGTTTCTCAATGTTATACGTAATATGTATTTTTTTTTAATATAAAAGTTATAATTTGTCAGATAAATGTCCAACTTAAATAAACTTTTTATTGAAAGATAGAACTTGGTACTTAACTAAGGTGTTTGCATTTTATTTAAGTGTTCAGTTAATATTATTCTCATTTACGAGCATTTTATTTAAGTTTCAGTTATTATTACTCTATTTTAAAAAATGTAATTACTCTTTGTTAAATAAAACTTTCTTAAATTCTGTTTAAAATAATCAGTGCGTATACGTAATGTGTGCATGTACTCATTTGTGGCTCTAATTTTCATAGAAATGGTTAGTTGGTTTTTGTGTTTTTTAGTTAATCTGTTACTTAGCTTACCCTTATCTGTGCGCCTAATAGTTGTTTTGCTCTGGTATGTCTTTTCTACCGGCTTTTTGTCCGCCGGATTTCCATCGTTAAGTGACTGGTGCAACAAGGTCTGTCCGTTGTTGGTGGTCACTATAAAAGTTCCCTGACTGCGGATAAAGATGAGTGACTGAATGAAAAGAAGCATTCACGGATGAATCCTTACCTAAGTGGCCCCTTGTCCTTGTCCTCCGACAAGGACATGTTGCAATAGCTGGCGTCGTCGAGCGGAGCCATCTGCTCCTCCTCCGATCGCGGCAGACTGCCAAAGTAGATGGACTTGGCCTGCTCCAACTCCTGGTTCTTCTGCGTGGCGAAGTTGTACAGATTGATCATGTCCCGCACGCGAATGGGGGTCTCCTTGCGGTTGCGGGCTCCCGTCGGCTGCGGTGACTGCAACTGGGATGCGGATGGGGATTGGGATTGGGACTCCCGACTCTTGATGGAGCCATGCGATACGCTGCTGCAGTCCTCCTCAATGGTGTTCATGGTGCTCGTGGTTTCTGGTTTCTTGGTTTCTGTCTCTCACTAAATAAAGGTAATCAATGAAAATGCCTCGAAAGTTTCTAGTAGAATTCAAGACTTCCGATTTTATTGTTGTTCGAAAAAGTTCCTTCAACCTTTTGTGTGTGTGGGAAAGTAATAACTAACTCGAAATTCGTTTCGTTTCTGGCAATGTCAACTGGATTTGACCTTTACATCAGAGAGATCTTTGGGTCGTCTGTGTGTGTGTTTACACACACACTTCATTTAGCTCATCGTCTGCCAGCAATTCGTTAGCAATTACAGTAACGAAATGTAAATGTAATTCATCTCCGAGCCTCCGAAGATGAATCGTTGGTGGGGGCGACCTTCACTGCGGCAATCGAAAATCAAAATTCGATCGATCCCATGATTGATCCCACAGGGGGGAAGGGGTGGAGTGATTGAGGGAGCTTCGGTGATTAGTGAAATTTGAGCCACACGCTGAATGCCAATGGAATTGTCTTAGAGCGGATTTAATGCAAGTTTTTTTTTCTCATATTTTCCACCCTCCTCCGTTTTTTGGTGTGCATGTGTGTGAGTTATTAATATTTTGAAATTGGGTGAGCAATGACTTGCCGATGCCACAGAAGCCGCATCATCGTACCAGCATCATCGATCGGTAGCTTGCAAGCAGCCGGAGCAGCCGGAGCAGCTGGAGGTCCATTTGACACACCATCCCCGAAAAAAAAATCCGACTTTAAGGTCAATCTTATGACCAGCGACACTTGAAGATTGCCTCAAGATTCGCAATCAGCGGTGATGGTTTGGGCAAGGTTTGCCAACCGGGAGTGCAAAGCTCTGATTAAGTTTGTAAACAAATAAGGGCAATTCAATACCATTTTATCACCTGACAATATAAATACAAACAATACAAATACCTTTTTAAGAGGATTTGGTGTAAGATAAACTATTTGTTATTTATTTATTTGGAGTACGAATAAAAGAATCCGATTGAGAGTGATTCACTATTCTAGGGAAATTTACCCGGTGAGGATAGGCCAATTAAAAACAAGAATACATCGTAGTCAATCCACTTAAAAATAAATCATGACATTCATGTACACATCACCTTCCAACTTCAAGTTCCGAACGCCAAATTCTTGTAGCCACTGATTTAGATTAGGTAATAAATCAGCATGAATTAAAAAAAGTACCAACTACGTTTTGTTCTCAGCAAATTATTTAGACAAATAATAACTTAAGTTTCGTAACACAGAGGTTGGCCAAACATTGTGACTAATGTCGGTTTGATGGGATGATAATGCATTGTCTGACTGCCAAAATTAATTTGAGAACGTTGTGGGAGTTCTGGAGTTCTTCTCGTGATCGACATTCTTTGACTTTTAATTTTACATATCACGAACTTGGAATTCGGTTTTGCTCTGCTCTGCTGCTGGCTTGTGCAATTAGCCGCGATGTCAAAGGGGTTCACTCCAGTCATGGCAAGAAGAACAGTGAGTGAGAAGGTGTGGGACCCACAGCAGAATTCACACAACAAAACTACGTGTGTACATAGGTGTGTCATCATCATCATCATCATCATCATCTCTGGCTGTGATTCCATTGAAGGTCGATGAGCCACAAACGGCCGAAACATTTGTAGCTGCCATTTATGCTCACTGAATCTCTGGCTATTTCTCTCTCCCTCTCTCTCTTAAGTCGGGCTATAGCCCCCTGCTATCCGCCCACTTGGTGGCTACACATGTTTAATTGCCAAATTGGTGCAATTCCACATAATTCATGCCGATAGTTCGGAGTCGCCACTCAGTCAGTTCTCCGCTGGCGAAGCTGTTTAAAGTTGGCAAGGTCCCCCGATTTGAGTTCCAGTGAAGAGCTTTACGACTTGTGCAAATAGAGGCAACCCGTGGGGGAGATTCACACGTTTATTAAGAGGCTTCTCCATCATCTTCTTCTCGCTGTGAATTGAAATCGAAAGTGGAGCGGCTTAGCACACATAATTGATAACAACGAGTCATATGGAAATGATTGCGCATACGCACTGCGACACCGAAAAAGTGCTAAGAGTTAAAGTAAACAACTTTGCCACTGAATGTTTGAGGCTGAAGAAGTTGCTCGAATTATAGCCGCATCCGGTCGCAGGCAAAGTAGCAATTTCAGCCAAAAGTTGCTGTCTGCTGTCTGCCAGTTGCTACAAATTTGTCAAACGAACAATGCAGCAAGGTCACCGGTTGAGCGATGATCACGTTCGCGTCCGGCGTGCGGTCAGCTCTGCCATATCATTGACCTTAAGTGACGGACATGAAGAGCAATGAATAAGCCAAGATTATCACCTTTGGCAGCGTTTTATTGCACTTACCCAGGCGGGCAGGCGGCCGAAAACGGATTTGAAGTTCAATTGCAGGCATTTCTGATACTCCAGCTCCAGCTTCTTGGACCCCACTCTCCAAATCGATCTCCATCTCCATCTCGATCTCGAAATGCGGCGGACCTACCAAGACGCCCATGGCACAATGTACAACACGACTATTAAAGGTCAAGCTCCAAAGCCAAGCAAACGGCAAACACACGAAGATGAAACAAAAAAACGGAAAAAACAGAAAACTAAAAAACAAAAAACTAAAAACGTTAAGTAAATCAAAGTAAACAAACGGCGCACTTTTGTTAATTGTTGAATTTATTTCTATTTCAGTTCGAGTTTCTCTTTCCGTTGTGCCTGCAATCTATTAGAGAACGATCGCCGCGATGCGTCAATCGAAAGACTCAAGACACGAACTGGCCACCAAAAACAATAAGGTGACCGAAACGCCGGGGAGATAACGAGCGGCGAATTTGAATAGTCATATACCCTTACCAATAGCCAATAGCCATTGGTGAGCTTATTGACACTTTGGCTGCCTCTTCAAATTTCCCAAGCAGATCAGCGGTGATTTGTGGGCCAACTGCCAACTGCCGTTCACTTGATGCCTCGACTTCTCTCCGGGGTTGTTCTGAAATGCCAAAAAGGTAGCATACATTGCTCCATTGTTTCCCATTTCGAGTGCTCAACATGACCTTCGATCACTTGGCAATGGAGCAGGAGGAGGAGGAGGAGGAGCTGCTCCTAGCCCCGGGTTGTCCGGAGGGCATTCAGCGAACCCGAGTCAAGTGCGCGGCAGCCTCTTCAACAATGAAGCCATCAGATCGACAAATAACTTCAATGTGAATTTGGTTCAACGGTTTGGTTCAATTGTATCGCACATAGGAACCGATGTGAGTGATTAATTGGTTTGCCTTTCGAGGCCCAAAACACACACTGGATGTTATGGATGTTATGTGTTTGGTCTTGGGATAATACGTCTGCAGAATAAATCATTTAATATCGAGCGTAAACAACGCAACCCACATCGAATTGCTTACTATTCAACTTGAGTTTCGGGGCGCTCCCGCTTCACCGGATGATTATGGCTTTGTGCTCCGTGTTTTGGTCTTTAAATCGGCGCCACACAGCATCGGGTGAATCGGATGAATGCTTTCCATTATCCATATAGCCGGGAAAATATGATTGTTGGGTGTCAATCAAAGCGCTTGTGCGTCGCGTGTGTGTGCCATGTTGTCGTCGTCAATTAAAGGCAGTAAAGCCTCCAATTAAGTTTGGAGATGGTAATGGCTTGCGGTTGAATGGCAATTGCTCCATGGAAAACTGTGATTCACTATTGTTGCACCTTGGAAAACCAAGTGATTATGGACTGGGACGACGCCAGTTGCCTATTTACAACACGACTTATGCTGATGGAGGTCCTATAACCCATAACCCTATACCTCTTATGTAAGACTGAAAAGTTTTTCACTAGTAAAAATTCAAATTGCACATTTAGCTCGCGGAGAAGATGTAAAATGACCCATAAACATATTTAAATGGCCCATACCAAAAACACAATCTAAACGACATCAACTTAGTTAGCCTTTTCACTTTTTTTTTTTTAAGTGTTTACTTTTCGGTAAATGTTTAAAAATGGAAGAGCATGGCTTATAGTCAGCTGAGTTTAAAAATGGGTCGACTTTTCCACTAACTGATGCTATATTTTCATTGAGGTGGGTTTAATGGTATATTTTTGTGTTCACTCTTGAAAAGCGTTTTCATTATGCATACTTTTAGGCTCAAATGGGCAAAAGATTTCCAAAACGAATGTTTATTTCTTCACTTGAAGATTAATTTCAGCATACGTTTTCGAAGCCTTTTCACTCAGTTAAATTTAGTTAGTGGAACGTTAAAACACCATATATTATAAATTTTATTTAACCAGACATTACCAGATAGTCAAACCTCTGAAAATTTGGTTTAATAAGTTTTTGCAATTAATCAAGAAGATCTCTGAATATTTCAGAATTATATTTCATTACCCAACCGAATATGTATCCCAGAATTTATTTCATTAAAAGGCATTTGAATAATTCGATTATTTTCTAGATTTATTTCGCTCTGATTGTTTTGGATATGCGCGCTTTACATGCACTCGGTTTTCTTTTATAAATTTATAATTGAAATTGTATTAAATGTTTCTTTAAATAGCTGACGGATTATCTACACTTTAAATTTATTTTATACTTTCGGATACGTAATCATCGAATTGTAAGCGGTAATTTTGATAGCTTATTCAATGCCGGTTACCAATGGTCGGTTATCATCATACAAGTAGTACAGACTACCTACAGTAATGCCTGCCGAATTGCAAAATATTTATACCATCCACTTATAGATCATATGGTATTTGTTTAATTTATACGTAAATGTTTTATGCGGGCGACTAGAAATTCCAAGAAAACTTTAAACATACAATACAATATGTGTGTACGGATATATCCGCTTACGGATTAATTTAATTACTTGCTAAACGATAGGAATCATGAAAATTACTTTATCTTGCATTACGCGTTACGTCTAGGGTTCAATTAAATATGGATACAAGCATCTGTTATTCACTTAAATGCTACTTAAGCACGCTTAAACGCAACTATTTAGGCATTCACTCCTCAACTGAAATGTAACTAAAGTTTGGCGCAACAAACCGAAGCCAATTGGATGGATCGTACTCGTATTATGCTAAATGATAGTTATAAGTTAGAGAAATCTTTGGTTGTAACTACAACTGAAACTGAATGTCGAAGCGAAACTCCTCGAATCGCAAATACGATGTGGTGCTGCCTCTTAACTTTGTGCTGATCAAGGTTGCAGTACCCATTCCGTGGATTCCCTGGAAGTCTGGATACGGCTAAGATGCGGCTATTACGGATTTGTCAATGGGCCAACCTAGTGTCACATACAATACATTGTATCTATAAATTATCACAGTAAAATAAATAGAAATCTTCTCTCTGCTGCTGCTAATGCTGCTGATGCTTCTTCTGCTTCTGATTTTTGCTGATTTAGATTGAGAATCAACCAAGGAGTGGGCGGACGAATGGCGTGCGGATGGATATATCCATTCGAAGCTGGTTCTGATTATGGAAGATACGATAGTCATAGTCCACATTTTGGCAAAACTGTTTAACGGTTCCCCTTCCTTTCCTTTCCATTTGCTCTTCTCCTTCACTTTCTCCAGTGACTTTCACTGGTTGAGGAGCGTGTTGGTCACCTCGGAGAAGGAGAGCAGCGGACTACCGTCGGCGTACGCCCCTCCGGCGGTGGGCGGGGCATAGGCCAGTGCCGTGTGCGCCGTTATGTTCGCCGGATAGAGCAGCTGGTGGTGCGGGTGGTGCTGCGCGTGGTGGTGGTGCTGCTGCTGGTAGATCGCCGCGTGTTGCTGCTGCTGCAGCGACTGTTGCTGCTGCTGCAGTTGCTGCAGCGATTGCTGCTGCTGCTTGGCGGACTTCCGATGCAGCGATCCGCTGATCCCACCGCCCACCTCCTCGGCGCAGATCACCAGTGGAGCGGCGGACACGATGGCCAGTTGCTGGTAGGGAATGTCCGATGGTGCTCCCGATCCCGCCGAGGCTGATCCATTGAGCAGGCTGCTCACTGCCGGCAGAGCAGTGGGTGATCGAGGTAACGCCACTGGTGGTGGTGGTGGCGATCCCGATCCCACTCCCACCAGCTGGTGGTGCAGTGGGTAACCAGCCAGCGTTTGCTGCTGTGACTGTTGCTGCTGCGTCTGCTGCTGCTGCTGATGGGTGGTGAGTATGATCTAGGGAGGATCGTTATGGTTAGTAGTCAGTCAGGCGAGAGAGCACTGTAGTCTAGTTTTCTATTGGTATCAGAAGGTGAGGTGGTTTTGGTGGTGGTGTTGGTGGTGGTTTACATAGGTGCGTGTGCTTCATTACGGGTGCAATCTAGACAGACGCCTTCTAGCGGTGACCGTGGTGCAGGTGGTGCGACTGGGTCGTTACATGGCCACCGCCCCCGGCCGACGGATGGTGCGTGTGCGGATGCGGATGCGAATGCGGATGCGGATGATGGTACGTGAAGTACTGCGAGTACTGCGTGTAGGAGGCGGGCGTCCATACCTCGCTGCCATGCTGATGCGTCGTCTCGTGGTGATGATGGTGATGGTGATGGTGATGCGAGTGGGGATGCGAGTGGGTGTGGTGGTGCTGCTGCTGCTGTTGTTGCTGCTGTTGCTGTTGCTGCTGTTGCTGTTGCTGGTGGCAGCTGGGTGGGTGCACCGCCTGCTGATCTGTGCCCGTGTTGGTTAGGGAACTGCTGGAGGCGCTAACATTGGAACCAACTCCTCGCTGCGACTGCTGCAGTTGCTGCTGCTGCTGTTGCTGTTGCTGCTGCTGGGGTGATGTGGTGTGCGAGGAGGCGGAGTACAGCCCGGAGTCGTCGTGCTGCATCTGATAGCTCTCCGGCGTACTGGCACTCGCTGATTTCCCCGGCAGTTCCTTCGTTCCGTTCCACTTGGCCGCCGTTGCAGGTTCGTGTTCGTTGTTGTTGTTGTTGGCGGTGGCGTAGCCAAGTCCATTGGTCAACGGAGTGGTCCGCTGGGGAGAGCCAGGATTTCCCGTTCCACTCCGTCCACCCTGCAGACTGTTCAGCGGTACGCCACTCGAGTGGGTGGTGCCCCACATCAGCACCGTTTGACGCTCGTAGGGATCCTGACCCGCTGCTGCAACCGCTGTTGCGGCGGTCAGCTCCACCTTGGGCGTGGCACTGCCGGCACCGTTGGGCGTGGCACCGCCCACTGGCGAGGGTCCGTCCGAGGAGCAGGATATCACCTCCATTACTTGCGGCGAGGACTTCGGCGTCTTGAGGGGAATTTGCTGTGGCAGAAAAAAGAAATTGGATAAGTAACCATTGATAAAAAAAGTAAAACTTTATAATTGCATACCAGAAGATATTATTTGTACTTCTAGCATATTGTACTTCGAGTTATCCTCATTATAAACATGTTATATTTAGTTATAGGCTAAAAATTTCTTTTTTCTTGATTTAAAACAAACAGCAAAATTGGTAATGAGTAATACACACTCATATATTGCTAACCGTTATTAGAAAATAAGTTCTTAAAAATGTTATTGGAAACATGGAAGAAGAAATTCCGATTTTACGCACAAGAGAAATTTTATATAAATAATTCAACATTTTTAATGATTTTTATAATTTTATTATACTATGTTTTATGAACATTCAAAAAGTTTTTTTTAAGAACTACTTTAAACAATCTTTAATATCTTCAGGTCTGTCATATGATATATTTCAGGACTCATCTCACCTGTGGCGTGGACGTCGGACTGCCGTAGCCGCTGCTGTAGCCGCTGTAGTACTTGCCCGTCTCCTGCCACTTCTCGTCCGCCTTGGAGGCGATGGCGTAGCCGTCGTAGGAGAGGAATCCGTTCGCCACGTACGCGGAGGCGGGAGCGCCGGAGTGCGGGTAATCCGTGTAGTAGCCGCCGACGGCTCCTTGCAGCCTGTACTGATGGAAGAGGTTCTCGCTGACCGGGTAGAAGGCGTTGGCCGGCATGGAGCTGCCCATGTAGAGGTTGTCCGCGGCACTGGCGTACGGCGATGTCGTGTACATGGGATTCAGGTTGGAGTAGGCGGCGGCCACGGCAGCAGCGGGATCGGGCAGATACTCCACCGCCACCGCCGGGGAAGGAGATCCCACTTGGCCGCCCAAGGGAGAGGTTTGCTGCGTCTGCTGCTGGTTCTGCTGCTGCTGCAACTTACGCTTGCTGCGGCACGTGGAGAGGAAGTCCCGCAGCTGCGTCTTGTAGCGGCGATTTGGACGGGTTGGCGTCACCGGAGGAGGAAGTGCATGGGCCGTGGGCGAGGCGCTCGGCGGCACCACCAGCTGATCGGCCTCGGAGAAGTAGGTGGACGCCAGTCCCGTGTCCAGGTAGCTCACCTTGAAGTCCATCGTGCGCTTGCCCAGCAGATCGTGGCCCTCCTCGTCCATCAGCTGGCGGTGCGTGCAGATCACGAAGTCCGGCTTGGAGTTCTTGTACACCAGACGGGAACTGGTCTGCAGCCACTGCCACTCGCCGTCCTTCTTCTGGTACCGATACGCAATCATCCCAGAGGCACCCGTCTTCAGAACTGTGGGGGAGCAAATTGAAGATTGATTAGATTTAGTAATCAATATATTGGTAAGTGTGTAAGTTTAGACAATGAGAGTAATTCAACTAAGCCCATAAACTTTATTCCTATTACATTTGACTTCATAAAATGTTTATTTGGTAAAATATTAATAATTTCAAGAAAAGAAGTCCATTAATTAATAGAAAAATCTTGTTTCTCTATTATTTGCAACTTGTGAAACTACTACTAATCTATAAACTATTACCAATCTCAAAATATCAATAAATTAGGCTTTAACAATTAAGACAATATTCATGTAGATTATATATTTATCCTCATTAAAAAAAGGCATTTCAAACAGTAAATGGCGATTTAAAAATTGATATTGATCATTAAATACAAAATTTTAATTTATTTATTTCTGTTAAGACATTTAAAATGTGTTAAGATGGTCAGATTAGAAATATTTGTGATTTAACTTGAACTTTAATTTCAAACTTGAATTAAATATCAATTTCTTATTGAGGGTTTGTGAATCAAACTCTTTATTCTTGTTGAAAATTACGGAAATATTAATAAAATATAATTTTAATCTGAATGAGTATACTTACGCTCCTGATGTGCGCTGGCCACGTAGGCGAGATCGTCGTAGTGGACGAGGTCGTAGCCGCCCATGTTGACCAGCTCGGCGTCGGCGTAGCCGAGGATGTGCTTGCCCCGCTGGTCCATGGAGACCAGCGAGAAGTCCAGCTTGTGCTTGGACTTGAACATGTTCTCCTTGTGCGGGATCTCCAGCAGACTCGGCGGACCGAACGGCGTGCAGTAGGCGAAGAGGGCCAGTGGCGGCTCCTCCGTCTTGCGGTTCTGGCCATGGAGGACCTTGATCCTCCCACGGATGTCCAGACGCAGGAAGCCGCTCGTGTTGTCCAGCAGGCAGCGGAAGCGGACGGTGAAGCTGCGCTCCAGGTAGAGCGCCTTGTCCGGCGCCAGAGTCTCCGCCAGCTGCATGCTGGACATGTCGGCGGGCAGGAAGCTGTTCCACAGCAGCTGGCGCTGCAGCTCCTCGCGGTCCTCCGAGTGGACCAGCTCGTACACCGACTGGTGGACAATGTCCGACTGTGGGGATTATATTGGTCAAGGGGTCAGTCACCTGGGCACTCTTATTGATTTTGCCCTCGCGCTCGCTCTCTTTCGCTTCGGGATTTCGGGGCGTATAAATCAAAATGCGCGCAAATTGAAAATGCGCCCCATGTTGGCCACAAATTGAGACATAAATTCTGCACGCGCCAGGAGGAAAGGAAGGAAGGTTTCGCTGGGGGGGACACAAGGGATTCTGCGGATTCTGGGGGACTATGGGGATTCTGGGGAGGATTCCCTGCCATTCTGCGCACACCAAAAGCAAACAAACCCAAACGTTAAGCCAGCAGCAGCTACGCTTTTAATTGAGCTGCCAAACGGGGCGTGGCAAGTGCCGCTTTACACATTTACAACTAAATTTCAAAAGGGAAAAAAGAACGAGGAGAAAACAACAGCGGATGCTAACTACAATTTCAATTTCCATTCGACAATAAAGTAGGCAAAAACTACAATGAAGGTGTACCCCAAACATGCTGCCGAAGGAGGCCGAATTCAAATCGGAATCAATCTGGCCACGCCCAGCTACTGCCGATGGAGTTGCAGTTTCAGTTGGAAGTGAAGATGGTGATGAAGATGGAGAAGGAGAAGGAGATGGAGCTCCGAGGAAGGAGATTCCCAGCGATTGCGCAATCTGATTTTAATTTATGATCTGTCGGGCCCGCGAATCGATTCAGGTCCATACCCTTCGAGTGTGGCGAGCTCAGGCGGCTAAGAGGACCGATTGCCGATTTGGATCGGATTTGGGTCAGGGTATACGGAAATCAGGTTAATCAACTTGTTCAGATTTGCTCAGACTTCAGATTGCTTGCCTTTGTTTGGGGGTGTTGGTTTACTTTGACGCCTTGTGCAGAAGAAATAAAATATAAAACAAATTTAAGACAAACTCTGCTTCCCGGAAGAATTTTTTTGTGCTGCTATCTTGATTTTAAACTGTTTTTCTTTTTCGCAGAAAGTTGTCGAAAAAATCGAAGACAAAAATTATGTATACACCTTTTTTTGCAGGTGAATTCTGGGCCAAGTCGTTATCCTTCGAAGGGTTGGCTTAGACTTAAACCCTTAACCTTTTTTGGATTGCAACTACATAAAGCAAGAGTTTTTTGCTGCTTTGGTTTTAAGCTGTTAAAAACTTAATATTCCTTTTAATAGTGATTTGAACATGCCTATCAATGTTCATACACAACAAATATGATCATATGAAATATAGAACTCTGACTACATCTTTGGATTTCCTTTTTATCTTCAAGGAACCTGTCTAAAACGTAGACACTTGTGTACACTCCCTAGTTCTGGGGCAAAGACTTCACCTTTCTCGGACCGCTTCCGCATGCCAGAGATTGACCCAAAAAAGACGGGGAATGTAAAAACCGACGGCAATTAAAATCAATCAAAAACGGAGTGAAGGAGAGCGGCTGAGGGGCAAGAAGCTGGTAGCTGGTGGCACTTACCTGATGAAATCCCAAATAGCTCTCGATGCTGTGCGTGGCAAAGAAGACTTCGCCTTCGCATGTCAGTATCATTAGAAATCCATTTAGGGCCTGCAAAGAAATTCAGAGAGAAAGAGTGGACCGGTCAAAATTAAATCAAAACTATGAATTAAATGTTTGTTTCTTTTCTTGTTGATTTCGAATTTGATGTGCTGCAGAGACAAGTGGATGTATCCAAAAATCAATGGGTGGATGAATGAATCTTCGGGATGGAATGGGTTGGGATGGGATCGTAAAGGTAAAGGTGTAATTACAGTAGCTGCCAGGGGTCGTCAAATTTGGTGAATGAAATGTTATTGATCATGGCAGCCGGCGGGGATTTTTTTACACTCACAAAAATATAATAAAATATAATGGGATTGGAGGATTGATATAAAAATTTAAGTAAATATTGATGTTAAATAATACCTTATATTAAAAGGTTTTAAATATGTATTTCAAGGTAACAAGTAATTTGTAAGGATGAGAATTTCGTAAACTAATTTAAATAGATAATTTATATAATTTTCCAAAATTTAATGTCTATTAGTGACCTTGAATACTCCACATTTAAAGTTAATTTATAGTAAAATAACAATTTTACTAAATGTTGATTTGATTTAGTAACATAAGTTAGTTAAAGACACATTTTGAGCTATCCTAGCTCTCGGATACAGTTCTGTAAAATTGTTTTCAGCGTTCTTGCAGTGACCAGTACGGGTAACGCCCCTTTGAATGAACTCGGCTCCAACTGAAGTCAGAAGGAAAACAACGATGGCGGCGCTTAGTTGCGGGCAAAGCGTAATCAGCGCTTAAGCGGCTTATTTCATCCAAGCCACAGGTCGCTTTGTATATGGGTAGATATATATACACGAGCATATTTATACCCAGTCCCGATCCCAGTCGGATCTGGAGTTCCACATCAAACACAACCAGGAAATGGCTTGCAATTAAATCAATGACTTTCAACTGAACAGAGCGAGAAAAACAGATGGAGAAAGAGATAGAGAGAGAGAGCGAAACGTCGGTGGATTTTGGTGTAATTGCAGGTTTCCATTTCAGTTCCCTTCCCTTAAAGCCCCTCCAACGTCCCCACCAAATCCCCAGATGAGCCATTGTCATTATCTATTCGGATATGCGCCACCAAAGGAAAAGACTTCGCAGCGCTAACAAGAAAATAAAATGTGTGGTTGTGGCAGCAAGAAAATCATGCAAAAGTTTTTTAATACGATTCATTGTTTTGTTTACTATTTGGCGCATTATTGTTTTTGATTGCATTTTAAAGTCGGACTTTATGGACTGCTAATGGCGGCGACGCATGCGATTCCCGGCCCGATCTTAACTGGAGCTAACGGTTAAGCCAGCCGGCAAAATGGCAATACAGCAATCCATCGAGCGACGTGTGAAGTGAAAATGAGGAGGAAAACCGAAGAGTTGAAGCTGAGGCTGAAGCTGAAAATAAACAACGAAAAACCGGCCACTTCGAAAGACAAATTTGCCAATGCTCCATTAGTGCCTCCGTGGCGGTGCGGCCGTAATTAATATAACCGAAACGAAAACAACACCGCTGAGTACACACACCACACACCACACACACACAAACACACAGAAAGTGGTATACAAGGCGCGTAATTAATACGGGCGTATTTAAATATCAATTTGCAGCCACCACATCGAGCGGCATCGAAAGGAAGTCCCCCCATTTTGAGCAGGAGAAAAATGTGCGCGATTGCTGCTAATTACAGAGCAGCAGGCGCAGGATTGGCTCACAAGAAGACCAAACACAGAAGACTGAAGACTGAATACTGAAGACTGAAGACCGAAGAGGAACCGATCTGGTAAGAGATCGGGCCAAAACAGCGGGGATGGCGACTCCTTGCGAGAGTTGGCATTAGCCGGCATAAATGCTAAGTGGCGTCATCATTTAAAACGCATCAACAGCCCGCAAGGATGTGCTGCTCCGTGGATTGTCATCAGGCCACGCGGACTGCTCTCGCATCAATAATCGTCATAAAGATCTTTCCAACGGTAGCCAGTGGATTCCGATGTTATATGATGCTTATGGATGCTCTATGTCCATATGATAGATGAAATGGTAGTGGCTCTATTAGATTTAATGTGGGAAAGCACAAAGAGATGCTGCTTCATAAAAAGTAAACCATTAAACTACTAAACAAAGGAACTCTTCACTTATTTAAAGATATTAACTGTACCAAATTTAAAATATAAGATAAGATCTTCAAAATTAGAGCGATTGTAAATCGAGTATTTGGTTAAAACTGCGCTTATGATTAACAGAATTATGGTTTTAATCTATACTATCAGGATTTCATTTGTATATTAACGTTAAATTCAGATAATTTAGTTTAAACCAATAATCAAGACATAAAAGTGTATATAAAATGTCGAACTCAAGTCCTGTCTACCTGTCTTATTATTTTCTTTCTTTCTCCACATTTTTTTGCTGTTCTCTTTTTGTTTCTTGCGGCATTTTACCTTTTTATACGGCCAAGAAAGATTTCTCCCCACAGTCTAATTGTTTCTCAGTCGCCGTCCCTTTCCCACCCGATGGCGAATCGCGGCCTCTCTGTCGCTCCCGCAGCCACAATTTATACAAGCCCGTCTGCGGCGTCTTCTAATGCGATTTTAATAATACCCGCCCGTCTTTATAAAGTGGGGGATCCGGAGATAGCGAGGCTGTGCCCGGCCTGTGTGTCCATATTTCAGTATTTCAGTATTTCAGTGAGTGTGTGTATGCATTTCAGTTGTGAGATTTGATAAGTTGGCAGCGATTATTTTACCATTTCCTAGGCAGATGCAGGAAAGACTTCGCGGTGGGGAAAGGGGTAGATGTGGATTCCGGGAGGGGGGGAAGCCTTTCTAGTTTGGCCAATTTGCCCATGCTCGTCTAGATAATTGCTTAATAAAGCCCACCCCCAGCGGCGAACCCTCTCTTCAAGTTAATATCTTCTGCGGATCTGCCACCAAAAACTGTTGCATGGAAAGTTGAGTTCATATCATGTTGGCTAGCAAAGTGTTGAAAGTGTTTTACTTTCAGTGAAAACGGAAGACAATTAAATGCTGTGCCAGTGTGAGCGTGTGTCTGAGTGTTTGAGTGTTGGAGTGTTTTGGCCCTCAACAAAGCTGCGTGACAAAATGCCATTTTCTAATGATAATATGTGACCCATAATAAACAGGAACAGCCACAGAAACAGCAACTGTAACAGCAACAGCAACGGCAACAGCTGCAGCAAAAAAGTAAAACTTCGTGGGGCAACAGGTAACAAATACCCGAGGTATTAAAACTAAATATGCACACCTCACCTCCCAAAGGCCCCACCTTCACTTCACTTCACTTCAGTTCACTTCGCCTCACTTCTGGCCCAAAAAGGACCTCTTTCTGCGAGAGACAGACTAAAAATATGCACGGAAATGCACAATTGTGCAGTTTTGAGCTCGACAATTAGCTGCAGTCAGGAAAAGGGTGGTGCACTCCACTTCACTCGATTCAAGTCGAGCCTTCTCCTTTTTTTTTTTCTGTTTTTTGGCTCGCATTCAAATTCGCCACTTGCCCGCGGGGCCACCCTGCGTATACGTAATGCAGCCAAACACGAACGAAACTGCAACGTGCAACGCGGAACTTGCATCGCGGCTCACTGTGTGTTAGTGGTGCATACCGCACTTGAGCGGGTGGTTACTTTGGACTTTGACATTGAATTGTGTGTGTGGCGGCGACGCCGAAAAAAGCGGCATGTGCAGAAAAAAAAAAAGCGAGAAGGTTGCAGCAAGTGCATGTTGCACAATTGCGTGTGTCTGTCTTGGACTTGGAGTGCTGAAGAAGTGGTGGTGGTGCAGTGGTGGGTTGGTGGGTTGGCGGGTCGGTGGGTCAGGGGGCAGTCGCCACTCGCCCGGTGGCCCGCGCCGCTTGCTCCAATGCCCGGTGAGCTATGTGCGCATTAAATTAAACTGTCATGACTGTGACAAGTGCATATGTTGGCGCCTCGGACAGTGCAACAAACAAATACTCGTACTGAGGCACATGCACTTTTAATTCAGCAAAAACATGCAACTGCCCCAAGGCGGCCACTTTTTGCGCACGGGGAAACGGGGGAGTGCTGTGCGACAATTTAATTGGACTATTTTGGCACATAAACTTGAAATGCATAATTTTTTATGTGTGCTCCACTTCGGTGCAGCTGTTTCGCTTCAACATGATAACTGCTAATTAATTGTGGAGAGATCGCTGTAAATCACAAAACTATTGGTGTTATTTATGCACACTTGGACTTGAAAGTGCGCGAATTTATTTAGTTGGATTGTAAGTAGTAATTTTGTAATCAAACAGCGAAAAAATATGCAGCAGGCTACATAAATGGCTAACAATTCTGGCATTCAACTTGAATTGGTTATCTCAGATATATTTACACGAAATTATAATGTTTCTTTAATTAATTTTAATTAATTTATACTTTCTAAACCTGACTAAGAAACATATTGCAATCCTGTTAATTAATGCTAGCCATATCATTTCCCTCCCTCAGATTTATCAGTTTTTCCGGTGGTTGGCCAATTTTCAATTAGGTTAATCAATTCGAGCACTTATTAATTGCAGACAATTACAAATGATGGAATCGAAGCGGGGGAGTGGATTTCCCCAACCACCGCCACCTTTCGATTGCGTGCCCAGTATTTATCAATGGAAACTCTCTCGGAAAACAAGACGCTGATTGATTATGCCCCTTTGCCCCACCCCCCAAATGAAATCGCCGCATATCCTGGCCAATGAAGCCATCAGACAGCCGCTGATGAAGACAAATCGAGGCAATTGAGAGGAGGTGATGGGGGAAGTATGGAGGAGTATGGATTCCGGACTCTAGACTAGGAACTCAGAACTCACCTGGAGGAACATATCACCATCCAACAGGCCGTGCTCGAAGGCTCCCAGCTCTCGTGTCCTGTATCCATCGTGTGCGTGTATGTGTGGCAGGACTCCATTCTCCTCCTTATCCTTATGCATAACAACTGCAAGTCGAGCAAGAGAGAAATACACTTTTTACAAACGGTGGCATTTTGGGATATTTTATTAACCATAAATATTTGATATTCACTCAAAAGAACTGAATAAAGTTGGGCAAATTGCCTGGCCATAAATAAGCCACTCAATTGTTTTACAAACCCACCTTTTTGCGGAGTGGGGGGAACTGGAATAACCATAGTAACTTCATAAAAATCCAATATATCATAGATATATACTGTGATGGGTATATGTGTGTCTGCCCCAACTCCCCGAAAATGCTCGTACAATAAATATTTACGGCTTTGGCAAAGTACTAAAAATTGTTTATGGTGTCATTGTAATATTTTATGAGAACTTTCGCCCCCTCGCTGCCCCCGCCCCCTGGAAATCCTTGAACTATCCACCCCGAGGAACGAGCAATCCGCCATTTTGCCGAAGGAAAATTTCATTTTATTCTCCTCCGCCCATTACTTTTGTTTATTTATTTCTTCGGCGGCGGAGTTTTATTTTGTGGAAGCCAAGCGGGTTTTTATAATAAATTTGTCACAAAAATTGATTTATGTGCGATAAACGATAAAAGAAAACTTCATATATTTTCACAATATTAGTAAAAGGTTTTCGGGTGACGGAGAGGGTGGTTCATAGTGTTGTCCTGGCCAAAAAATTATGCCACGCCAGCTGATGTCATAAATTATGATTTTTATCAACGCAAATGGGTAAAATAAAAAATGTTAAAGAGAAATAAAACAGCGGCTAAAATAAAAACAAAGGCCGCGTTAATTTACGCATGGCAAGCCCCGAGGAAAATTCCCCTACCCCTCCCCCCTCCCAAAAAACTTTCCACCAAGTGCAACCCTTAACTCTCGGAGCTTGGCTTCAATTTCAATTAGCAGGTTAGCATTCCTTCCCCTTCCCCTTCCCCTTCCCCTTCCCCGCCTCTTGGCCACTTTTACCGGCCAAGTCTGACCGCAAACTGGGGCTCCTTGTCGCCTGGCTTTAATCTCGGCCTTTCTGACCTTTTTATCAAATTAACAAAAGTGACTCGCTCCCACTCGGCTTCGTTACCCAAAACAGCGAAAGATTGTTCATTTTAGCGAAAGTGCGATAAAACAAATAGTTGCCTCTGGCCACTCCCCTCCTCCTCCCCCTCTCCCCACTCCTTCTCCCCCTTTTTAGCCCGCTTTTTCCTAATGTGGCCCAAACAAATTGCATCATGTGCGTGTAATCCTGGCGTGATCCTTTACAGCCACTTGGCCTAGGACTCGACCGTAATTATTCATAATTTAATTAGGCTCAGTTTACATTCATTCCACTTCTCGGCGCTGCTTTTTATTATTTCTGCCGGCATATATTTTAATTTTTTTGTACGTGCATAAACTCATTTAATTAATTTCTGGGTTGGGTTTGCTTTGACTTTCTTTTTTTTTTTTTGGTTTATTTTCCGTCCGGCGTTTCGGGTTACAAAATCTGCCTGGTGGCTTTATTGCACTTACATTGTATTATTACATGGCGAATAAACCAAATTTACGACAAATACTCCGCATTTTCCGCTGGTGTTCTTCCCCCATTTTCCCCGCTTGGCGCTTCCATCTTGGCGAACCCACCCTCAAAAAGAGTCGTTAAACGGACGACCATCCACCGTGAACCGCCGGCGGTGGATGAAAATCTTGTGCTGCGAACGGCCGGAAAAGCGCAAAATCTCAGCCGAAGGGTGGGGCAAAAAAGGGCAGAGAGTTTGCTCCGATGATGTACACACATAAAAATGGCGTCCACGGCTATGGAAAACCCCACCCAAGTGGCCAAAGAGAAAAGCCAGACGGAGAGAAAGACCAGCGAGGAAAACAAGTTGGGAAAACCACTAAAGGCAGAGGAAAAGTGTGCGCAGCGAACGAAGAAGACCCGAAAGATACTCGCCCTAATGACGTTGCAGTGACGGCACCTCCAACTCTTGGCCATTTTTCCCCGCCTTTCCTCCGCTTTTCCACCGCATTTCCCCCTCTGCTCCAGAGGTGGCGTCAATTATGCTGGAGATGGAGCTGGAAATGGGCGTGTCCCGATTTGGTGGCACGGCTTGGCGCAGAATAATAAATAAAGTTTAAATTTTCTGACATTTTGGCAAACATTTTTCGTGCCGACAGAAGCAAATATGTCATGGAAATGTCAAACTCATCAGCGGATTTGATTGGAAAACTGACAGCGCCGACGGCGCTGGAATACTCGTATATCGGAATATATCGGAATATATATATATATATATATATATATACATTGTAGCATCACAAGCGGCACCACCAGCAACCATTGGCAGCTGTCGGGAGTGACAGGCCTTCTGGAGGCGCCCCACCGCCATTGTGGGTCAAAGGAAAGGTTAACGGGTGGGTGGGAATTACTCGGTGGATTTTGCCTTTCAGGTGTGGAATATTTCCTTGGTGGGAGAAGTATGAAACAGAAACCGATAAAGCTGTCAAAAGGGGTAAGTCCACATAAGGATGGACAGAATGCTAGACATAAACGGAGTTTAACAAACAAAAAGCAATCTATTATAATTATTTTACCCAATAACTTAACTATCGAATTGTCTTTAATTTGGAAGGCTTATACTTGTTTAGTCTCGTAATTTTAAATGGTAATTAATCAATTTTTATTTATTGAAGTTTAAGTTTTACCATTTTGAATTGGCATTCATTAAAGCTAGATTTATTTAGATGCAAATAGAAGTAATATAACCAAACCTAATAAATGAATTTAAATTTTCAAATTAAATAACAGATTTGTGATATGGCATTTATTACAGCAAGATTAATTTAGATGCAAATTGAAGAATTACCAAATCAAATAAATTCTATTTCATATTTCAAACAGCTTCAAACCTTAAATTTGCGTTTAAGAAAATAGCTTTTTTGAAAACATCGATTTAATTATATTTTAAACACTTAATATAAATTAATATAAATTTATTAGTTTTCCCTAGCTTAAAGCGAGCTTCTGAGTGTATTCTTGTTTTGGATACATTGTGGCACAGCTCCTTGAAGTTGGATTAACCTTGCATAGAATCCCATAAACAAGTCTATTTGGTTTGCCGAAGGTTCCCTTGAGGTCTCAAGTTCCTGGCAAGGAGTACTTGCCAATCAAGCCCAGTGCGCAATTACATCGAGAAAGAGGGCTCTTCGGCTATTTTAAAGTAGCTGAATCGTTTATTGGACTTTAAATTGAACTAGGCCTTTAGACATTGTATCTTTTTTTCCACCCGTCAGCAGAGAGGGGAAATCCAGAGGGGGTGTCGACCTACGTAAGTCACGCAATGTTGTCTCCTTCCTTCCCTCGACTTCCCAAACAAGCCGAATCGTACGAACCCCACTGGCTGGGCTATACCATATAGTATGTATATAGAAACAGCTGAGCATTGGCCGGCGTGACAATCCGACGCCTTGGGGCAAAAACAACCAGTGAAGTAAAGCCGAAACCAACAGAAAAACACAACACCTACGTGGAGCTGGTAGGCAAGTGCATCGCCACATCGCCATCGCCATCGCCACATCGCCTGACTGATTGCATGTCCGCCTGCGACCCATTCATTGTCTGGTTTTGAACCCAACCGAACCAAGCCGAACCGAACCGGCAACAGAGGGTTAAGGGGACCATGGAAGGCCTTAACTGGAGCAACGCACGAAAGTCATGTTACAATGTACGAAAAATTGGCCAAATGCCGCTGGAACTGGCTTATGTTCACTATGTTTATAGGTTAAGAACTGAGCCTTGGCCTCATCCCCCTCCCCCCTTCTACCCCCCCTTCCCCTCACTTTACTCTCGCAGACTTTTTAACCCAATTGGAAGCAACTGCCTGCAGGCAATTTTGATAATAACATAAATGCCTCACTGGAAAGGAGAAAGCGGGAAGGCGGGAATGCAAAGACTCGCTGACCAAGTGACCTTGTCGTGGCCAATAATCGGTGGGTGACTTTTAGGCCATCACCCCACCTCCCCCACCTCCCCACTCCATGTGTCGCATGCTTCAGGTGCAACCTCTTAGCCGCAGATTCATTCATAACACACTCAGCAGGTTTCCACAGCTCCACAGCTCCTCCACTTCCCACGAACCCCCGAGAGAACCAGTTAAAAGAACGCCGAAGGCCAAGTCAAAAGTAATGGCGACATGATCTTCCACCCAATCTATGCTAAGAAATGTGGGATAGAGATGCCTAGATTTATAAATGATATTATCATTTAAATAATTTCAAATCAAATGTAGGTATACTAAGGGTTTACCTACTTTAATTTAGAATAGGGTCAAAAGAACAAGCAACTTCTGTATGCATTTAAAATATATCATAAAAGCACCCCTTTAACCTTTCATAAAATAAAACATAACCAACGATTTTGTTAATGTTTACAAATACCAAAAAGGTGAAGTTGTAAACCGTAGTTACTCCACATTTTTTTTATGACCACCATATTTTTAGCCTTCAGTTTTTCGCAGTGCCTATTTTAATCGTGTGTGGGAACTCGCTGGCTTGGCGAACCGCCAATGCAAATGCAAATGCGTTCCCATCTCAGGTTACCAAATCTTGGAGGTAGCTACTAGCTACTAGCTACTCAAATAGGATAGCATAGCACTTGGCAGTTCTTGGGAACTCAATTTGCTTATGGGCCGCCGTTTTACTACTATTTTAATGGCATTAGTTCACCGGCGGGGGTTAAACAGTTGGGGAAAACTGCGTTTAGAGCTTGGCGTGCTGTGCACAGCCAAATAGAATAGAATGAATAATAATCGTTAAAGGAGAAACTATCAATATCAAAAGGGTCATAACAACTAATGTTTCAGCAATTGCTCCGACCTCTCCCTTTGCCACTTAATTACGCAACTCATCAATTAGGCAGACGTCGAACTCGCAACCCGAAGACTTGCCACCGTTGGCATTAAAAATGTAGAAATTGCGCGTCTTAACAATTATGGCCAGTGGCCGAAAGGTGGCCGGTGGCAATTATGGCCAGTTGCCCCTTTGCCAACTTGGCTTGCCACCCCCTCAAATTCGGACCAAGACAATGGCCCATTAGCAGCGCGCTTTAATTATTTAGTTTGCGGCAAAAACCAAACCCAGAGATAGTGGAAAAAGCGCACAGAAAAGCACGAAAATACCAGAGAGAAATGTACTAAATCATTGGTGTTGGTTAGGGGGCGGCTGGGCTAAAGGGGCGTGGCTCTACCAAGTACAACAAATGCAAAAGCAGAGTTTTGCTTTTCCCCGGGTATAGAGAACATTTTCAGTTCGGTTTTGCGCTCGTTTTCGTTTTCCGTGTTTTCCTCTTTTCGGGGAGCAGAAGTTTTTTGCGCAAGTCAGGGTCAAGCAACTAAAGATGGGATCCCGCAACCCCAAAGTACATATATTTGGTATAGAATACATATATATATTGTCTAGGGGATACATGGTTAACTCTCGCAGTGGAGAGGCAGCATCCTTCCTCCTTCCGGTTGACATCTAATCAATTTTAATCGTCTTGAGTGCTTCCGCTGGTAATCCATGAGCGGCACACGTTGTATTTGAAACCCCAACCCAAACAAGAAAACCCTAATTCAAACTCAAACCCAAACCCATTCCCATGGCCAAGGGCTCGAAGGCAAACAAACACTAATTGTAAATTAAATGATCCCGATAATATCCGAGAACATCTATCTGGGCAAACAAATGAAACCGAAATGAAAACAAACGTTGACCTCGCGCCGAGTTTTGTGTTTTGTGACAACCCCTGGAAGGATATGAGTGTTGCAAGGGGCAAAGGACACTCACCGGGGCACACGCCGCAACGGTTCTGGTCCATTAACCCGTCGTCGTCGTTGTTGTAGTTGTTGTAGTTGTTTTTGGAGTGTCCGGCGAGGTTCCCTGGCTTTTTTTCCCTTCGAGGGGATGCCATTGGCAAAGGAAACTAATGTTGATATTGACTTTTCACAATGCACAATGCGGCACGTGGCACAACGGTTGCTCCTTTTTTTTTGTTTGCGTCCTCTAAGCCAACAGTTTGCCAGTGCAATTAACGCTGAACTCCGCTTGACCGCTAATTGTCAAAATATTTACTGAAGTTCTGGTGCCTTTTCTTGGTCACTCCTGGATTTTCGGTCACGTGGACTGCATTCGGTGGGGCAGGATGTGTGTCTATCGGCCTCAGAAAGCCGCTTTATTTCTGCACTTAAGCCCCATTAAAGCTGCCGCTCACCATCCCCTCCTCCTCTTCGCGACTTTGCCAATTTTATCGCAAACGAAAGCGAATGAAGCAATTAAATATTTTCTTTATTTTCATTTTTTCGTGCTGGTCATTAAAAACAACAAACGCGAAGTGCCAACGAACTCGGACGGACGAATCGTTAATCAAGCCATCAAGGCCCGAGAGTTTATTGCATTTGTTTTAATTAATTTAAATTATACAAATATGTTGACCCCTCTCCTCCCCCTTCCTCTCCCTTTGCTCATTGTTCAACTACCCCTAGGTCAAGCCACACTTTGGTCCCGAAAAAAACTTAAAGCACCCCTGAGAAAAGTAGAACTAGGAAAGTACAAATGTTAGTTACTCCAGCTCCTGTTTTTCAGGCAGTTACTTCCCAACTGACTGGGCTACAGACAATATCAAAAACACTGGGAAAAATCTTGTTTGAAAACTTAAACGATGTCAGAAAAGTTTTTTCTTATATAGAAAAAAAAGCTCTGGGTTCAAAAGCAGTGTTGAAGCATTTTAAAATTAAAAAGCAACAAATTTAGTTTGCACTTTACCAACAACTTTAAGGAGTGCAAATTGAACTTCCATGCTCAAGAAACCTTAGCTTAAATGTATTTTTTACTTACACCTCCGAGGTATGAAACAATATTTCTAAATTCATTATAATTTTCTACTGTTTTTGTTTTATTTATTTTCTGTAAAACTTTAAGGAGTGCAAATTGATCTCCCCTTCTCAAAAAACCTTCGCTTAAAGGTATTTTATATATAAACCTCTGAGGCGAGGAACTATATCTCCAATTCCCCCTGCTTTCCTTAGACATTAGTCGCTTTGTTGTAGACCGCCCCACGCTGCTGGCTGCTTCCTTCCTGCTCCTTAATCCGTCAACAGCACGTGCGTGTGTGTGTGTTTCTGTAAGTGTGTGTGTGTTTGTCTGTCGCTCCTTCGCTTTTTTTTTTTGGGAGGAGAGCAGCAGGACCTCCTGGCGCGGCGTTGAAATTAGTTTTGAATCATTTATGAGTCATGTTTAGGGTCTGGGCCGCAGTCTGACCAACCAAGCCAACCAAACCAAACCCAGAACGGGGAGTTCCTCGCACCGCTCATAATCGATTTAATAGGCCGAAATAGTTACGCGCCGTATGGCGAGGGTGTTTTTTCCCCCATATCCCCCACCCCCTCTTAATCTAGCCGACTGGCACTCACCTTGAAAATAACTTTTGGTTCTTAAATAACTAACGGACAGCCTTAGAATGCTCAGTCGATCCAGTTTGCTCAAGATGTTCTGCTCGAAGGGCAGAAGCGAAGCCAGAAGATCCAGCTCGGCGTTGAGTCGCTCCCGATGCCGTTTTGATGGATTGCTCTTCGTGACGCCATCCTTGGGCGGCGGCTTCAGGCTGAAAAGGGAGCGGAAGAGGGAGAGAACGAGTGAAAGGAAAATTAAAAACAATTTTCATGCATAAATGGAAAGTGGCCGCCTGGAAATAGAACAGAAAGCCGGAGGCCTCGACCGCGTCAGCTGGCAAAAGCGGTGGAAGTGGCGGTGGCGGTGGCATGAACTTGAAAAGGTCAAAAATTATTAATTGCACTTATCAGTTACCAGAAACTACATAATAGCCACACATTGGACCTCAATCCTCCCCGGATGACCGGCGGCTCTCAAGGATTACAACAATAAAACGGACACTCCATCCAGGGTGGGTTGCTTCGATTAGCCATGCCCACTTGGCCAGCTGATTAGCCGATCTGTCGAGGAGTGGGTGATTGCACAAGATACTATACATATATCCCTTCCCATTTTATTCTGCAAATGCGTGATTAGAACGTGCTTAAATGACCAGCACATTTTACTTTCCCTCACCATCGCTTTTCTGTTAATGCGAGAAATAATACTATTAACTTTTCTATTCAAGGGGATAATCAACTGAAAAGAATCTAAAACGTATCACCTTTGAAAATTACCTTGTGTATAAACGAAATTTTAAATATAAATTAGTTTATAAATGTAAGTATATAAGTTTTCACTTTTAATTCTACCTAATCTAAGTAATGTGTTAATAATAGCCAAATCGTTTACCAATAAAAGTGAAAACGAAACCTATAAAAAGTAATATTTTTCCAATAGAAATAAACCTTATCCAATTAAATAAACACTGAGGTCAGTTATCATACTTAATCAAAGTAAGCCATCGATATCTTCACATGTGCATACTGTATAATTTATAATATTTTGCCTTTGTAGTCCCTGTGTCGATTCAGGAAAGTTAATCGGCCCATTACCCGACTCCACCTCTAACAGTTTCCATGAATCAAATCATAAACGGGAATATGCACAGATCCGGGCAACGAAATCAGAAGTCGGACCGCAATCTGAAACCACTCCAATTAAATGTCATAAAACGTTCGAGGAGCCGGGCAGAAGTAGCATTGTAAAGCCAAATGCAGAATGTGATATAATGGTGTTCTGAGGGATAGGGGAACCCGCAGAACTCATAAATGCAAAATCCGTTTATGAGGGGACACAAGGAGTGTGGGGAAAACGTAAATAAATGGCGGCAATCTGGATTAGCTGGTGGTCGGACTCAAAAGCTTTACCGCTAATTCATCATTATCTTTGGCCGTAAGCGGATAAGCCAAACAGTTCTGGCGGATTGTCTTTATAAGCTGCACTCTACGTTTTCCCCCGCTTTGGGTTTTCCCCTCTCCGTGTGAGTTGTGTTCTTTTTTTAATCACATTCTGTCTCATCATTTTCATTGACATTATTACAAAGTTAATTGCGGTAATTAAATGTAATTATTTTTGTAATTTATGAGACGACCCCTTCATGGCCGATCCAACCCTTCCACCTCACCTTGTTTTTTGTTTACTATTTGACATTTTTTAGATGTTTTGTTGGCCGTTTGAGTTTTTGTGTGTGGCGCTGTTTTATTTGGAAAACTTTTTGCTCGGCTGCACAAGCACACGAGACGGTACGAAAAAAGGACGGCGACTTTTGCAGGATATTGTCGCGTTAAGTTAATTGGCTGGCGGACCTCGTCCTGTTAAATTTTTTCCCTGCTGCTGCTGCTGTTGCAAGTTCCCGGGTAATTGTCAGTGGCATGTCCGTTTGATGTCACAAAACTGAACGACATGTTGCCTCAAATAGTCGCTGGCAGGATAATCCACCCATGTTGCTATCGGAGCAATCCGAATCCCAATCCCAGTTCTATTATCGTGCCACCAAGGTGTTGTCCTGCCGCAGGAATGACAACTTGTCGCTTTTGAGGTGGATGATAAAGGGATCGCAGATAGGAATTCCTTTCAAAGACCCAAAGGACTCTTCCAGTGGCTAAGCAAATCGACGCTAAATGTGAGCTACCATCAAACGAATCGAAAGAACACATTTAATGAAATGGCCAATTACGAAGAAATTTGAAAATGATCAGTGTCTGGGCAAAAAAGGATAAACGAGCGAACTTATAGCTGGATCTCGACTTTGGATGATTATATTGATGAACGAAACCGTTAGACGCATCGGAATGCACTGGACTTGGACTGGAGGAGTCAAGGCTGCGAATTAGCAAAGGGAATCGACATAGAAATAATTTCGATCCGAGCCAAATTGAGGCCCCTGCCAAATTGGGGGCAATGCGGTGTATTATTTTTTGTTGCCGCTGTGCCCCCCGATCGCCTTCGGTTTGCGGCATAAAATGTATAATTTTCTTATTATCTATACCGAGGAAAGGAGCAGAAAAAAATTAAAAAAAAGAAAAGAAACCAAATGGCAAGGGCAAAGGACCAGCGGCAAGTACTGGGAATAAAATTAATTCCATAAACAACAAAAAGTAAAGAACTTTCGGTGGTGGCGGTAGAAAGGTGAAAGGTGGCCCAGCCTTTTGTCTGGGGGCCATAAAAACGTCAAGCCGGAGAAACACAGAGAGAGAGTTTTAGAGAGGAATCCTGGCCAACAAAGGATATCTGCAGAGTGTGTGTGTGTGTGTCTGTATGTGTGTGTGTGCCGCGTTCCTTGCAAACTTTCAGCCCCAAAAAGCCATTTTTATTCTCCTTCAGCGTCGTCGTCGACTTCGTCCTTTCTATACATTCTCCCCATGTATTATTTTTCGCCATTTACGTTGCTTTTCCCTGCTTTCCCAGCCTTGCCACCCCACCCCATCCCCCTTCCATCCATTTGGCATTCTTCTTCACATTTCTTCTTTCCTTTTCCCATTATGAAATGAATTGCTTTTAAAGAAATTACAATGCGGACGACTTTTGGGATTGGGGTTTCGTCGTTCGCCGGTTCGCCGGTTCGGAGGGAGGAGCCCAGGGATTGCGGACCGGGGATTGGGTTGACACAAATTGCAAGGTCCAAGGCTGTCGTCTCGCCCACCACACACCAAACCAAAGTCCCGAGATCTAACAAATAAGATACGAGTCCTGAATCCCGACGCACCACGCCCGCCTTTGTCTGGAGCAATCGAGATATGGAAAGCATAGAGGGAAACACAATGTGCTTAAGCGAACAAACTAAATTAATATACTAATTAAAAGCTTTTTAGCTCTATACAAGAAAAAAAAAGTTGACTTGAGTTATCATATTAAAATCTTAATCCACAAAAACATTTTCAACATATAAATTAGATATATGTTTTTACTTATTTATTGACTTTAATTACTTTAACTTAATTTATTTAAGAACAGCTTGTACCAGACGCTTTTGAACCACTAAATGTTTTATGGAATTAAAAAAAGGTACAATATATCCCACCATTTTCGGATTTAAATTTATCTATATTGAAGAAAGTTCTTTACAACCGTAACACAGCAATTGGGTCGAGATTCCTTTTAGTTATCTAACATAATTTAAAGTTGAAAAATATTTGATACATGATAATCTGCAATGATATACCAAATGATGCTTAATGCTCCTATATGAACATATTAAAACAAATATGAATAGTTAGGTTATATCAAAAAATGGGCTCGCATTTATATGATTCCCTGCTTTTAAAACCCATTGGTAGAAAAACACAGCGAAACTAAATACTTTGTTGGCTGTGTGTGGGGGTGAAAAAGTGTTTCAATTTGCAAAGTTGGGAAATAACCGAAAAGTTTCCTTTCGAACGTATTCCCATTTGCAAGTGTCGATTGTTGCTTAATCCCCGCCACGACCCCTCGACCTTTGCTGCGGATTTGCATACGGCTGGGTGTTAAGCCGGCACCCCCACTACCCCTCAATCCCCAACCCCTTTGCCCGTGGCTTTGTGATGTGTTTATAAACAAATGACACGCAATCCTTTGGGGGGCACGTGAGTTCACGGCATCCAGCGCTCAGCTGTCTACGCCTTCTGCTCGCTTCTTCGCCGGGCTTGCATGCAAAGCATTACGCATACGCAGCGTGTTCAGGTGGCTTTTGCTTCCGCCGAACATACAACGCGGTTGTTGTTGATCACAACACGCTCGATTTGGCGCCAAAATCGCAGCAAACCGTTAGTAGGAACAAAAAGACTAGCAGAAATACAACAACAACAAAAAAATATCAACACTCATACTCACGCAAAACGAGCCAGACACTCGTTCATTCATCAGCTGGCTGGCTCTTTTGACTTTGGCCTATGCGTGTTGGCCGAGAGCTGCGTGCCGCCATTGCACCTGATAGATGTGCCCCCTTGCCACCGAAAGCCGGCAACCCTTTCGGCACCTATAAAACGCCAAGTAGCGTGTCCAAAACCTAAAACTCTAAACAACTCGAGCGGATTTGTGGGTCATCACTTGGCTCACATTTACTGCAACTAATTTGATTTTGCATACTCTTCTTCTTATTCTTCTTCAACACACACCCACTTGTTGATGCCACACATCCACTTCCAGGGGTAAACATAAAAAATGCAAAAACACATCGGACTATCAGAATGGTATTTCTCGAAAATGTCACAATTAATTGAATTTACATTTTCGGCATATAAAAATGTCAAAACAAAGCGGGGCTCGAATTTAAGCGCCATTTAGGGAAGCTGTCAACCGAGGAACATGCCACTCTGCTACCGTGCTGCAACATTGGTCCAGTCACTTAGCCGCAAACAGCCAGCCAAATCTGGTCACAAAGGGAGCCTCCTAATCTATGGACCACTTAATGGATCTGCGCCAAATTCACGCATAAATTTTAAGGCTCAGCATCCCAAAGCTGTTAAAATTAACGAGGAGTGCGAACAGGAAGAGCGAGAGAGATGGAGAGATAGAGAGAGAGAGCGAGAGGAGCTTCACAGCTTGGCCAACTCATTAATTTTGTCAACCCGGCCGAATGCGGGAAAAGTGAATCGCAGGCAGTAGCTGAAACCAAAAGCGACTACAAAACGATCGCGCAACTCTGTCAAGATAACAAGGCGGCGGGGCGAGCGGATAAAAGTGGATCGCAGTTGGAGGATCTGGAGTCAGAAGATGATTACACAATAAAAAATCAGTTGCCAATATATTGAAAAACTCCCTAACAAGAAAAGGTTCCAAATTGATTAAGAAAAGCATATTTATGACTGTTGAATATATTGTTGAGGTGCTCATAACACTTTTTACATTTTAACTGATTATTGTTTCCTTCAGGTCCTTTTTGATATTAAGTAATATATGAGATATAAGGTCTTCAGGATACAGTTTAAAATTAAATTTTAGCTTCTATTGCAATTAAAGAACTGGTTGAATTAAAGGATGGATAACCAATTGTATGATAATAAATAGCTTTAAGTTCCTAACAACATACGAAAAGATCCGCTATAGCAAAATGGATCAGAAAACTGTAACGTATTCAATAATGTGATCCTAAATAGTCCACTAAACTGAAAAATACTCAATAATGTGATCCTTAATCTGAGACTGTTAGCTCGAGGGAATATTATCACTCTTAAGACCTTTGTCTAAGTTTTTTTTTTCTAAGTGTATCATCTGAAGTCTGCGAATGGGAATCTCGGCAGAATCGGTAGAATCCCAGGCCCAGGCTCAGGTTCACGGCCCGCGCTAATCGTCAGAGGGGCGAAACAGTTCTTGAATGGATTGTGAACCGAATTAAGTTGTTAAACGCATTATTTGCATATTTCGAATGCGATGATGCCACATTAAGATGCCACAAGCAGTACATCTTCCTTGCCCCGCGCGACTCATTTGCATATTAATTGTACAAACAGAGGCGGAGGAATGTTCGCTTTCGTTTCGCTTAATGAAGTGATAAATGTTATCGATAGCTTTTGAGGGGCCGCCAATCGCGTTTGATCTATGTATGTATGTACATACATATGTACATATATACAAGTGTGTACGAGAACCAGCGACATATTTCCCATCGCTGAAGTTTTGCGGCATTTCGAGTTTATGATCTACCGAGGGTAAAGGCAATTTGTATCCGCCAGATACATTCTTGCAGTGAGTACATAAAACTACGGCTATAACGGCCAGTGTGTGTGTGTATGAGTGTTTGGCCGTTTTTAGTTTTATGATTACCCTTGTCAAGCTCGCCTTCCTTGGCTCGAATACTTATTGTAGATGTTCCACGGGGCGGCAAAAGTTCCGCACAAGAATAACGTCAACTGTGCCAGCCAGGGGAACTGAAACTACGAGAAAGGCAATAACAACAACAAAAACAACAACAAGAAGAAGAACAACAACAGCTAAACTGTGGCAAAGGCAACTCATTTATTTTATCGATTAAACATTTTTGCGATTCGCGCAGCGGAATCTCTTTTGGTCTCTCACTGAAAGGAGCCCCAAAGCCATTCCATGTGGGCTTTGGGAAAAAATGTATCTCCCTGCAGTTCCAAAATTGATTTGTCGTCGATGAA